TGCGCGTTACAAACGGTTAAAATGTTCTACACACACAATAACACATGTACTACAGACAAGTATAAGATAGTACAGACAAGTAAACTTACAGACATATGTAAGTCAATTTAATACTTGTCTCATGACCCCTAACTGCACTTGACTTACATTATTTGCTTAAACTTTCTTACTACTTAGTAAGTAGGTACTATTTTAACGTATTCTAAGAACAAATAAACGAACCACTTGCTTATTCAAAATGGCAATGACCGCTTTGACAAGTGCTAAGAGAAAGCTCATCACATTTCTCTCAGCTATAGGTAATATAGACTGTAAATTTTATCTTTTAAACCTTCCAAAATATTTTTAAGTAATTTTAAGTATAACGATATAAATAACAAATAGATTAAAAAAAATAAAAAAATATTTTTGCTTTTTTTAAAATAAGACTTAATAAAAGTTAACTGTGAATTTAAAACTATTGTGATATATTACTTATATTAACAAACATATAGTTTGAAGAATTTAGTATTATCTACTTCTATTTAAAAAATCTGTCTTTTTTGATTAATTGTTTTGAATGCTCATTAATAAATATTTAATAAGCATTGATTTTATCTCCTATTGAAAACATTTCTAGTGGTGACCGCTTGAGTTGAACACCTTTCACGAACCAGTTACACCACTTTCGCTTCATCGCTCGAATCAGGTCACTTGGCTGTTCGGGATTTCTCCCATAATTTTTCTACAAATAACATGCACAAAATATATATACAAGTACCCATAGTTCCTGAAAGAGCCCAGACCACCTGCGTGTGACATTAGACAGAAACATATATGTTGTCGACCTATATATATGGGACACCTACTCGACCGTGACTAAGAATTGTATTATTATTTTTTTTTTCAGAATAAGAAACTAATAACTCTCAGCTTAACGTAATTCTAGGCAATGCATTCAGGAGTTGGTTAGGTAATGTCTGTAATTAACGCGAGTAGTATATATAAAACACTTAACGGATATAACCGAGAAATATAGAAGTTACTAGAAGCCCACCACGGCTGCTGCAAAGCATCCGAAACGTCGGGCCGAAGTTAAAAATCTTTTTCAAATAAGTTTGACTAATATTTCGCGTTTTAAACCGTTAAAGTGTTTCTTTTAAATTAAGTTAATGTATTTTTTACGGCAGCCAGACTTTTTGGTTGCTTTTCAGCTGTGTTTCACTGAAGATGGAGAGAGTCAGTAATGTCAATGTCTAAAATGAATATAAAAAAGGAACTCTATATATTTATTCACTAAACTTCACTTCCTTTAAAATAAATTATTATTTTTTGTTGTTTTTAAATGTAATGTTAGTGTCATGTTAAAACTACACACAATTTTATCAACGCTCACTAGCGAAATCGTCTAATAATATGCTTTAAAAAAACCACATTTTATGTAAGAACGATTCTTCTAGAAGCACGCCTAATGCAAACCTATGTACGCGCGTTGAAATCTTTCACTAGGCGACCTGCCATGCATTTGAAAGGAATTGTTTATAGAAACTCGGTGTTTAATTAACTATGTTCTATAAAATATTTAAAATTAGGTATACAGGAAAAAATATGCGAAATTAGCTTTATTACAATTCTTCGTTTTGTCCTGTCGTAGTATAAGAATTTGGAATATTTATTACCAATTTTAACAATGCAGGACAGGCTGGAAGATGAAAGTAACACAAACTAAATATGTATCATTCTAATAGTCAAATTTTTCTTTTTATTCAATGAAAATAAATATTACTTTATTTCTATGACATACTAACTGTGCCCGCGACTTCGTCCGCGTGGAATAGTGACTTGGGATAGAATTTTAATTATTTAGGCTGTTTATTAGCCTATATCCTTTCTCAGGCTCTAAAATTTATGTGTACCAAATTTCATTTAAATTCGTTCACTAGTTTCGGAGTTAAAGTAGGACAGACAGACAGAGTTACTTTCGCATTTATAATATCAGTATAGATTAGATATAGTATAGAAAACAAATAATTTTAATTATTTCGAGATATTGAGTTAAGATAAATGTAATTATTACAACAAAAAAAAACCAAGACTTGTTGTTATTTAAATTATAGAAGGCTTTTGTGATCTTTTCGCAGGCATGAACAGACTTATTAAGTCTTGGGGGCCACTCGGACAAATCATGAACTGATGGCGGGCCACCAGAAGTATAGGTAATTAAAGACAATAAAGAATTGATAATAATATATAATTGAAAATGAATTTATTAATTTGAGTATTATTTTTGCTGTCGGCGCGGCCACCGCGGGCCGCGGTCTATGCATCTTTGTATCCAGCAACTACTTCACAATGTTTTCAGCTGTTTGTCCTGAAAAAATATTTAAAAACCACGAAATACCTTAACCAATTGATCATGGTGACAATAAATTCACGTTTCTCTCCATTAACACGCGAATTTCGTGAAAACAGGAACTCTACGTCATTAACAAATGTAGAAGGTTAAACGTTTTTGTATAGTCATGTGCGTGAGAGACTTTAAAGTAATTAACAGTTTAATTAAAAACAATGGACGTTTGACGTATTGCACTTTGTGTGTTGCCTGTTTAGTTATTTTTATTCATAGCATAGCTGTAAATTCGAAATACATTTTTGTTTATTATCTCTAGTAATTTTAAACATTTGATACGCTAGTGCATAGGTTAAATTTTATCAATAGAATACGTTTATGAAGTATCCGTTTAAATAAAACAGAGGCGGACATATTTTTGTGTCCATTTCACAGATTTTATTATCGGGCGAGTGGTATGTGCATGGTTTTACTACTAAGAACTTTTTATTTTCCCGGGATCAACACTCTGCTAGCGCACTTAGCAATGCAAACCTTTAAAGTTGTTCTCTTAAGTTTACCTGAATACAGTATGTAAAAAATTATGATTTTATGTGTATTTTATCAATATCTATAAGATTCATATATGTATAATTTTTTAGTTATTTTATCAATATGTACTTTATGTTTTGTGACCTTAAACTAAAATGTAGGTCAATCTGTCGAGGTCAAAACCTGCCTTTTTAACAATTATAAAACGCAAAATGACCTTTTATAAAAGTAATATACTTAAAAGTGTTGTTTTGGACTTACATTTTTTTTACTTAAATTACTGCAGTAAGATAGATGTGGGAAAAAGCAGAAAGCTCAATTTGCATCAGTAAGTTCTGAGGACAAAAACATCGATATACTTAAAACGGTTCTCTGACCTAGCCATTATTCTACTCACGCTTAGAAACCGTATATTTGTAGAAAACTCAACACACAAACCTCATCTATACTAATATTATGAAGCTAATGAGTTTTTTTGAACGCGCAAAGCTCAGGAACTGAATTGTAATTGCGAAGAGCGAAGAAAATGTGGGTAAAGTGGTGTTATCGAAAATGTCATTCATCTTTGAGAAATTGCGTCATGTGCGCTGCGAAAATGGTTCAAGAGAGCATATTCCGTTGTAAATGATCTATAGATATACCCGACAGCATATGTCTATTTTAAAATGAATTCACAAGAACGCTTTTGTTATTGGCCGCTATCAAAATAAATTGTAAATAAGTTAACTTATATAATTCGCGTTTAAAACATTAAAAATTTATTTATTTAAACTCAAAAAAAATTACCAAACATGATGGACCCAAGACGAATCGAACCCACGACCTGTTTATAACATTAGTACCAATGGATCAGAGTCTGATAATATACGACCTCATTCTTCGCAACCAATGTAGGTAATGCAACTTGTATTATGCGAGCGTTAGAAGAGCATCATTACTGACCTATCGCGTAATTGTTTCCCTATTCTAACATATTGCATCATAGGACTTCCGCATAACCTCAAAGTAATAATGTGTAATCGATTTTTTTTCTTATTTTCAGCTTATCGTTTTTAATCTATGAAAGAATCTTCTTAGCTATGAAAGTGAAAGTAAATTATGTCATAAATATGATATCGGCTGTATCAATTGTCGCTTTCGAAATAATTAATTACTGCGCGAGCGCAGCGGGCCTATAGTTTTTTATTAAGAAGTGTAATCTAGATACTTTTATTACTATCCATATGAATCACATTATGTGCGATAATAACGATAATATATTGTGGTAAAACACTTAACGATTTAGTACGCAAAATGTATTAGTTGTCTGCTTCACTAGCGCCACCTATTTGTCTTTGACATTATTGACACGCTCTATTTTCAGCCACAACTGCTGCAGAGCATTCAAAACGCCAGGCCGTTTTATTTATATGTATTTTCTCAACTTTTAAAACATGTTAAACGCAAAATGTATTGTTATTCTTTATCTCGTGTTATGGACGGTTTCTCTGATTTGTCATTTAAAGATAGTCAGACCTAATCTTAGTTTGAGATAGGAAATAATGCATTGTATTGTATGACATTCCTTGAAAGTTAGACGTGTGAAATCTCTAAAACACTAACAAAAGCGAGAAACCTCAGTGTTCTAAGAACAATAAATTTGTAACACTAGCATTTTCTCTTTTATTGTTTAAAAGATTCTAGACCGTTGCGGGTACTGGAACAAGTTGTTACACGTTAGTTAGTTTTAATAGAAATATTCTTGCAAAAGTGCATTGAGTTTTTTTTTTTACGTGGGTAAATCCTTTCTGATACCCACCGCACCAGAAGGAGCAAATGGGTAATGTCGGACTTAAACCGACTAAAACCCCACAATAAAAACCTCCGACACAAATGTGAAGCATCCTGGGATCTCTTTAGAACTCGAACGGTAGCCTCAATATGTCTGCCTCTTACGGCACTCCACAATAAACACTATTGACTATTCATATCATAAAGAGCACATGGTTTCCCATGCACTAAGAACAATACAAGTGAATTAATAAATACACACATAATTAAAGATAAATATATATTATATACACATATATAAATCAGAGGTCAATTCTGCGAAACACGCGTCCTCTCACGTTCAAATCTCTCTTTCTGCAACATCACAGTATTACAGAAAGCGAGCATCGCCTTCCATCCTTCCATCCAAGGCATTGCGTTCAACAGACCAAGCAGGACAAGCTTCTAATGTATGCTCCGAAGAATCGTCATTACTACTGCAATGGTAACATGCAGCAATAGCCTGAAATACCTGCACCAAACGGAAAGATAAAAAGACATGGCGCCTTGTCAACCAAGCGTCAAAAACCGGCATAATCGCGGAAACCGTTCTTAAAACAAAATCCGCATTCTTCAACCTCTCAGACCAAATTTTTAAAGCTACTTTCCGCAAATTATCCTTTTCCTTGTTCATCTCAATTGGAGCCAGACGAAAGCCTCTATTTTTAATCACTTCTTCTGACGATAAAGCTCTTGCATCTAGATCCCATGGCAATGATCCAACAAGAAGACATGCTGCATCAAAAGAAACTGTCCGGTATGAACGAGTAATCCTGATAGCTAAAATTCTCTGCGGCCTCCGCAAGAGAATAATATCTCGATTTGACAAAGAGTCTGCCCAAATTGGGGACCCATAAAGGTGAACTTTTCCATATACAATTGCCGACACAAATAATTAGGACCATTTTAATTGGGAAGTAGCCTAGCACCAGATGTCCGCAGTAGTTTTGGAGATAAACACCTAAAATGAGCATTAAAATTCTATCTACTATCAAGAACAAGGCCAAGATACTTGTTGACTGCAAGGCTATCGAAACACCTCCTACAATAATAACAGAGCCAACAGGAGGTGCTTTACGAGGTCCATGAAAACAAATAGCTTCTGATTTATTCAAAGCAACCTCTAAACCTAAGCGACTAATACGATCAACAGCATCAGCCACACCAGCTGTCGCTAAAACCGATTCCTCCGGGAAAGATCTTGCTCTAGCAGTAACAAGAGTATCATCAGCATAACATAAAAAATCAGTTTTCAAATTTTTGTCGGTTACAACATTTATAGAAAAGGGCTTTAGGGTATATAACATCATGCTGCAACCAATAGGAGCGAAGAAACATAGGGAAATGTGCAAAAGACTTGGAAAATTATATATCTTTCGGGGCTTCTCTTTTGCTAGTAGGACTTAGTCTATTTATTAAGATTAACGATACAAGTACAACACAAGAGGCAACGACAATAGGACGCGAACAACTTCTTGGGTAATAGATATAGTTTATAAAAGCAGAAGATTTTTGATGCCCAAAATAACAATCCCACGCAGATGAAGTCGAGGAAGAAGCGAAGAATATTTATAAATAATTTAATAAGAGAAACCCTAGCGTCTAGACCTCCAATATCGTCTGATCTAGTTAGTATCAAAGCGGAATTTCCTGATTTTCGTAGAGCAGGTAGATGTGTCAGATATGCTCTATTAACTCGCAGGTAGACTCGTTACTTATGTAACAGATAAATTGGTTACTGATAAACAAATTACAGTCATTAATATGTTTATGCAATATTAAAACAATGCATTGTTAAGTCTACAGAAAACCGGAGTAGGCGTACGTTGTAAAGTTGTTCAAGTTATATCAATTTTTCCGTTCGACAGTCTACAATGTTTTAATTTTGCAGTACTTACTCTTAAATCTGATAAAAATAGTCTCACAATAAGCGTTGAGCACCTGCTGAGTTTGATACCTTTGCAAAGATCAAAATTGTTATTTTTTTATTCTATTTGTAAGTTTTTTTTATTTATTCGGTTTCAATATTTTTTTATCGGTATTTTTTATAGGAATGAAAGAGTTTGCAAGGTTGCCTTTGAGTTTTCTTCAGGAAACCTGTTTCGTATCAATTGGAACGGATTGGAAATTTTACCAATATTTTTTTATTTATAAACCACAGTACAAATAAATATCTTAATATAGAACACAGAACTATTTAGGTTTTTCCGTTCATCCGGTGGTCAATACAGAACATAAAAGAATATAAGATTATACATTTAAAAAACGTATGTCACCATACTAAAATTTTGGAGTAGGAGTGAAGGAACAGTGAAAATAACAGGGTAAATTATCTTTAAGGGTTACTTTACCTGCGCTGCAAAAATGGTTAACGAAACGAAAAAATGTGTGAAAGAATTATTTGTCTTTATATGATCTGTTGTAATGTAAAAATAAGTCCCCGATAGGTTTTTTTTAGCGTTTTTATTGTAATCAAATTTAGTCCAACCAATTATTTGTTAATCAACATAATCAAACTTTGTAAACAACAAAACATTTTCCGAATCAACTATTGAAAAGGCTTGTATAGGCTTGCTACACATTCCTGTAATAATATAATATATATTATTGTTTCAGGTCACTAATGAGGCGACTCTACTTAACAGACAGACACCTAAGAGTGATGCTGTGGTGTATCTTGCTTGGTTTGCAGCCTGCGTTTGGAGGAATTCTTGACCCATTTAACTGGGCAAGGTCAGACCGCATCGAAGTTAATATACCGTGGCTTCCATGTAGGTATACCAAAGATGTAAAAAAAATTGGTCTTACGTGTGAAAATGAAACCTGGGCTTAGGTTCGAGTCCTGTCATATTTTTAAATAATTATTAAAATGTAAAAAATACAATGTATTCATTTATTCAAACTTTATTAATTATAAAGGTTACAGGAGTGATTTATATAAAAAAAACTAGCTTGTTAAAGGCGATTATATCGCTTAACAGCAATTTATTCCAGACAAAATTCTACGACTCGTATTATTATTTTTTTATTATAGAGGAGGATAGCGAAGCTTACAAATATATAATATTATAAAAATTTATTATTACAAATATATAACATCTAAATAAGATGCATTTTCGACTTTTTAGGCTTTGGATATTCGGGAATCCACAGACTGAAATCGCGATAAAACTTTAACGACATTTTCATCTGTGGACTGCACACAAATAAACAATGGTTCTTAACCCAGACACAATTTCGATATTCCTACTATTAATTTAATATCCAGACTTCCAGACGAAGTTTAACATGTTTTAGAAAATTATTAACGTGTTTAACGAAAATATATAATATTTGTTCTATTAAACTTTTAGTCGAAAATGAGACCCGGTGCTACGATGAACTTGGATGTTTGAATATAACGAGGAATTGGTACCACCTTATACATCGGCCCTTCAATGTTTTTCCTCTACCAAGGGTGGTTATTAATACGAGGTTTGTTACAAACATTACGTTATTTTAAAAAAAAACTACAAATTAAAGTTAAAAAAAAGATATAAAAAAAATATATTTTGTGAACTTAGGACGCTTAACGTTTATCCCCTAATAATGAGTTGTTAAATCAGGCGTTTTCCCCATGGGGCAATTGGAGCAGTTATGTGTTTATTTCACTAATCGGTTTTTTTACAGGCAATTTATTGATCTAACTTATATGCTCTGCCCGTTAAGTCGACCTATATCCTTTAAGGCTTTATAGTGTTCATCATTTCTGACTAATTTGTTTATGGAAGAGGAAGACAAAAAAGCCTTTCTTAAAGCGTTTTTAGGTTATGGCACATTTAAAATTTTGAGAAACTGTCATTTTTCGTCTTATTTTCACTTTTTGTTTCGTCTTCATGTTTTTCGGAATTTCTTGTTTTTATTTTATTTTTTCTTAAGTCAAGCTTAAGTAACCCCAAGGTATATACGTAGAAGTTTAGCTGTAGTAAAAAGTACATAAATCTTTTTGGTTATAATTAAATGTTTTTGTGTGATAAGTAGCTAAACAATTTTAGAACCAATAGAATGAACTGTTTTATTATTTAAATAAAACACTTTAACGGTTTAAAACGCGATATATTAGTTAAACTTATTTAAAAATGATTTTTAACTTCGGCCCGACGTTTCCGATGTTTTATTATGCCATTATATTTTATTCTAGGTTCATCCTATACACAACGAAGAATCCCACTGATGGACAAATCTTGAATGTAAACCTTAATAAGACGATAGTAAAGTCCAATTTCACTCCTCGGCGGCCGACCAAAATGATAATTCACGGATTCATAGACACTCCTCTTTCGAACTGGGTAATTTGCTTTCTATCAAGTTCAAATAAACCACTTAAACCGTTTAAAACGCGATATATATTACTTAAATTTCTTTGAAAATTATTTTACATACGGCCCCACGTTTGACTGCAGTGACGGGGAACGTCGGGCCGTAGTTAAAATAATTTTCAAATAAACTTAACGAATATATATCGCGATTTTATCCTTTGACGTGTTTTATTTAAATGAGCACTAATCACGTAAACTACAGACAGTATTTTCTATCACGTTTACTGGAGATTAGTGAGTTCCTTGACCCGTGTAACGGTTCTTGGCTCACAAAAAACATTGATGCAGGTCATGGAATGATCTGGTCAGGTCGGTTGATACACATCATTGTTAGTTACATACGCATGATTTTTATGATAGAGCAGGACATTCAAGTATAAGTTAACTTGATGGGAGGTGAAATACTAAGCACAAGAACACCTTAACGTGATGCGCTGTCGCCTATTTTCGCTTTGAATATTTGAAAATCTACATTCCAAATCCAAACTTCCAGACATGTTTCAGAAAAATTATAAATTAGTGATATGTAAAATCATGTAATTCCCTGTGGAAATTGGGACGATCACTTTTCTGTGTCCGTGTCACTATCGTAGTAGTTGATCAGACTTCAGTGTCTTGTTCGACCTAAACAATATATTGGTGCCCCGGGATTTGACCCCGGAACTTAGCGCAATACTAGGCAACACGCAAACTACCTATATTCAGAGACGATCTTATTATTGTGCACGATAGGTTATTAAATATAAATTCTAATTGTAGTAATTAACTCGTAACGTGACATTTTCTAGTTTTTCCAATGTCTGTGAGGGTAGTCACAGTTCAACTAGCGTTTAAGCTTATTCACTTTTATATAAAGGTCATAACTATACAAGGCAAACATCTCATTTTCATTCGCATTCATAGTAAAATATATTTTATTTAAAGGTCAGCGAAATGAAAGACGAATTGGTAAAGGCTGGAGATTTTAACGTCGTGATCGTAGACTGGGCTGGAGGTAGTTTACCACTTTATACGCAAGCTACAGCCAACACGCGGCTCGTTGGATTAGAAGTGGCCCATTTTGTCAACACTTTACAGGTAAGTTGGGAAATGTTAGTAACACGCGAGAGGTGCATGTATCAATTGGTTGAAAAAAAATCGGCGATGACGAGTAGGACTCGATAGTTCAATTGATTAGAGCAACAGCACGGAACGCTGAGAATGCCCGTTCAAGTCCTGCCGAGTCATGATTTTTTTAAACTTATATATGGTACTTAAATCATTTATAAGTTAATTCATATCCACGCAACATTGTATATAAAATTGTATTTCTCTTATATTTAAATTAGAAGCATATCTATAATTTATTTTCACAGAAAGAACACGGTCTTAACCCTCTGGACGTTCATATAATTGGGCATTCTCTAGGAGCCCATACCGCTGGTTATGCCGGAGAAAGAATACAGGTGAGTTTAAAAGTAATCTAAGAGCTGTCACAGCTTGTAGATGTAGCAAAAGTAAAACCCTTAACATTAATACAAGCTCACTTATGCATGTTTTTTATGATAGAGGAGGACAGAGAACCTATAGCTTCTCTGTCCTCCTTCACTTGATGTTAAACAAGATTTTGTCTGTGGATATTTGCAAAACCACAGACTGAAACCTAAGCGATTAAGCTTAACGGCTGTTTCATCTGTGGTTCGTGACCCAGACGAAATTTCGTTATTCCTACCGCCCATTTAGTATCCAGATTTCCAGAAGTACAACGTGTATTAGGAAAGTTATAAATTGATTAGAAATAAGTCGTTGGTTCGATCCCATCGGGTCCAATATTGGACCCGATGGGATCGAACGAACGCTCTATATTAAGCATACATTGCACCACATCAACGAGCCCTTCAAATTTTTATGTATTCAGGCAATTGAACATTGTATTGTCCTTGATTCAGCTTATTTTCCATTAGGATCTAGGAAGAATTACAGGGCTTGACCCAGCCGAACCTTATTTTCAAGGGATGCCCACGAATGTTCGCCTGGACCCAACAGACGCGAAACTGGTCGACGTCATACATACGGATGGAAAGAGCATTTTCCTTTTAGGTAATCGGAATTTATTTTTGGAGGAAAATACGTTGGATAACATATTGTATGCTTTTAATGTGCACTATATTATATTCATTGTCATTATAGCGAAGCTATGAACTTAAATATTATGGAAGCTGTTGGAAGTTATACTTTGTACGGTTATACTGTACAACCAGTTTGCAAAGTACAATAGATCGACGTAATAATTATACAAGACATCACGAGTTCATCAATTAGTAATGCAATTTAGAATCAAATCCGTTTTTTCACGTTTTAAACTGTTCAAATTTCTTTATTTAAATTAACAATAAGTACATCAATTTTCATTCTGACCGTCGTCCTTAGCTGAAAAACCAGTAGGGACAAAATTTTAAAAGTACAGTTGATTTAAAGATCGAAAATAAATTGAAAAAAATTTCGACTCGGGCAGGACTTGAACCGGCATCGTCAGCTTTCCGTGCTGTTGCTCTACCAATTGAGGTTCAAGTCCTGCCCGAGTCGAAATTTTTTTTCAATTTATTCTCGATCTTTAAATTATATAGTGCCTTCATGTGCAATAACATGTGAAAAATATTAATGTTTTCAGTACAGTTGATTTTAAAGCTAAAATAGATTGATCGGATAAAAGAAAGCCAAGACTTTAAAAATTAATTATTTCAACAAATTATTTCCTAAAGAAACGAATTGTTTATAAAGGAGATACTATTGAAGTTGTTTTTAAGTCTGATGAGTTATTGCTAAAATACTCTTACATAGTAAAAGTATTTTATTTTATATGACAACTGTGTACTTTGCTTTGCCACTTAAGTATATCGCTTTTTCAGTGCACATATACTTAAGCAGTGGCGGCTGTACTTTACGTGCGCTCGGTTGCTAAACTGCTAAATCAAAGGCCTTAAAAATAACTACATCTTTTTAAAAATTTCCATTGATTATTATTTTCTAAACATACAACTATGTATAAAAAAAATTAACAATTGTGATGAAACAGTTTGAACGCTTTACTAAACTATAAGAAGCATTTTCCTGTAAAGACACGAAGGTACGATTCAAAAAGCCTGACACGGAAACAAAAGATAGAAATTAATCTGTTCTCGAGCGCCGCACGAGCGAACCGAAGATTGCCGAGAGCACCCGATGTATGCCGAATTTTAATAAAAAATGTCCTATTGAATTTCCTATTTTAATATTTGGTAAGTAAGTAAAATGCACCACCAGTTCGAAAACTCACCAACTGTATCTACTTAAGTGTTTGTTGTTTTGTAATCTATAAGAGAATTTTAAAAACAAATTCATCGTCGACTGTCCTCTTGCGATATTGGGACATCAGTACGGTCTCCATAGTATATTAGTTCATAGCAAATAACACATTTCACAACTATATACATAATTTTTATATCCAAGCTTCGTTGCTAATCGTACCTAAAATATTAACAATATGTGTATATTATGTGTAAATATCGCTTTTTAGCTTGTAGGTCATATGTCATTTGTATATATTATATATTTTATTACTTGTTATTGCTCTAACTAATGTTACAACGTGTTTATTCCACGCCTGCGACAGATTTTGTGTTTATGGCAGGATACGGGATGTCCCAGCCCGTTGGGCATTTGGATTTCTATCCCAACAATGGGAAGGAACAGCCCGGTTGTGACTTGACTGAGGGACCTCTGATACCTCTCACGCTAGTCAAGCAAGGTCTAGAGGAAGCTTCTCGAGTTCTGGTCGCCTGCAACCACGTGCGTGCCATAAAACTCTTTACAGAATCCATAAATGGGAGATGTCCCTATATAGGTACGGTATTTAGAACATGTTTCTTGCAAGTACCAGTCGCTGTAGAATCGTAATGTTATGCGCATTTTTAGGTCATCAATGTCCATCGTATCAACATTTTCTTGACGGTAAATGCTTCCATTGCGGGCACGGGTGTGCTATAATGGGGTGAGTAGAACAAAAGACAATTGTATGATTCATACTAAATAATAAATTACAAGTAACAGAAAATAATATAACAATTATAAATAAATATTTGACACCATCATAGCGTAAACTAGGATATAGATACATAAATTGCTACGAATACTTATTACAGAGTAAAAAAACAACAAGATATAAAGACTATCAATAATAAAACTACCCTGTGGTTATGTATGATAATAGATTGACTACTATTTTTTATTATACTTTTTAAATAATTAAAAAAGTCCTATATAATATATTTTTATCAACAAATACTAGTCTAAAATGTCTGTTAATAAAAAATTAATAAAAAATTGATATTTATTAAATAAATTTAGAATAATTAAAAATTATTAAAGAAAAACAACAAAAGCTGTAGTTCTGTATTATGCACATTTAAAGGCGCCATTAAAAAAAAATTAAAGGAGCAAGGGTCACTATTGCAAATACTACGTGTATTTTCATAATTAGTCTATTTCTTAATAAATGTAGATCCAAAGCTAGACGTTTTCGATCTACATTTATTCACATTTGAATGTTTATACTTTTTGAAACGAGCGCATTAAAATATAGATAGATACCTCCTTTCAATATTGTTCTGTACAATAAGCTACCCGGAAATATATAAAACGCCTCAAATAATAATTATTTTTACTTTATATATAACACAATAAACTTATATAAATATAAAAAAATTTTAAGCCGAATACTTTTTAAGCATTGTTTTTTTTATTTCTTATGTTTTTACTTTATAGATTCCACGCGGATAGTTCTCCTGGACTTATCACAAATAAGGACAACCAGACTGAAAATGAGGTGTATCCATCTGAGGAACAAGAGACAATCGGCGCAAGATATTTCCTTAACACGGGCAAGGAACAACCGTATTGCCGTAAGTTACAAAACGGGTAACCGTACAATATTAATCCTCGGTTACGTTGTACGCTACTTGTGTAAGAAATATAATTGGCTAATATATTTAATGACTAAACTATTTGTTAGAGACTGGTACTGCGAAGTTTGATACCTATTATGGTCGAAGTAGTTACTATAGAGAAGGACAGGGAAACACAATGGAGCTCACAATATGATAATACGTCGACAGATTGCGGCTTTTATATTCCGACATTAAACTTCACGGCTTTTTCCGCTGTAGACGGTAGTAGATTGGTCGATAGAAATTGACGTAATTTCGATATTTCTACCATTTTTTATTTAGATTTCCACACGAAGACCAACAAATTTGACAAAAACTATAAATTGATTAGTACAATTTTCTAGTCGACTTCACTTATTTTTTTTTTTCACATGAACTTAAAAAACGGCTTTATTGCAATAAAATCATTCGTAACTTTACCTAATTGTTTGTTTTAGAGAGACACTACAAAATCGCAATTCATCTAGCCAATCCGAAGGGCGCAGAATCTTGGGTGCAGGTAAAACCTAGTTGCCAAAAACATAATTTTTGTAATGATTTCATACAGAATTAATTTCAATTTTTTTTAGGGATTTCTTAAAGTTACGTTGATGTCTGAAAAAGGTGTTATTCGAGGAATGGATTTGACTCCTGCAAATTACGTAAAGTGAGTAAATATTTTTGAAATATTATAGACAATATATTCAGGATTGTAATATTATTACTTTTTTAGATTAGAACACGGAAGCTCATACACAGTGGTCGTTACACATCCAATGGATTTAGGAGGGAAAATTAGAAAAGTAAGTCACCCAAACACTATTTACCTATACGTTTCCAAAAAAAATCCTATTTGTGTATTTTTGATTTTTGCAAAAAAGAAAAAATTCAATAAAAAAAATTAAATAAGGTGTTAGGAATATCGAAATTCCGTCCGGGTCAAGAACCACTGATGAAAAGGCCCTGTAGTCAAATCGCGTTTTAGATACAGTCTGTGGATTTCCGAATATCCAAAGCCAAAATAGATCGACATCGCATCTTGGTTCGATGTTATATGGGGCTTTCACCTACTATCAAGTCAACGCCATCCTCCTTTATCATTAAAAATGCAAATCCGATCTTCTACCTCCATCTGCTTAGACATAATATCAGGCTAACTCGGCAAGACTGACTCAGCAATAAAGTGACTTAATACGGCCACAATATTGTTTTGTTTTACATATATTTATGTTCCACTATTAAACTTTATACATTTTTATTATAGGTCACAATGTCGAAAAGAAGATATATTTAATTGTATTGTATTCTTATGTCTCCAGGTGGAACTGTCGTGGGAGTACGACATGAATGTACTGGAACCACGATCACTTTGCATTTTATGGTGTAACGATCGACTCTACGTGAAATCCGTTATAGTTGACCAGATGGAACTTCCAAGTAGAGGGTATATAACATTTAGAATAATTTGAAACACGGACCGCCTATAAACAGCTCAACTTCGAGAAGGATCTTGGATTCGACACTCGTTCTGCTTATATCATATGCGTGTAGGCTGTAGAGCTTGACACGAGCTACACAAAACGATCTTATTTGTAATTGATTTGATTACAATATATGTTGTATAAAAACTCCCTTTAATCTATTTGTTTTTGCCAGGAAACGTAACGTGGACTTCAGCAGCAAACTTTGCACGCCAAAACGAGATTTCGCCGAAATTCCGAACAGAGGCTCCGCCAGTTTTTACGACAACTGCGGCAGATAGCTGTCACTGTGACATTGTACACCAGCTAATAGGAAATTTAGGGAACAAAAGCGATGTTTCGAAAAGCTTTAATGAAGGAACCGTTTGGTTGTGATAAAAGAACTGCCAGTGATATTAGTGTTACAGGGTGGACATTCTAAATTATAAATTAGCATAAGGTGTGTAAATATGAACTTAACCCACTGTTCTGGCTCTCATTTTATTTATTTTATATTGATATCGTTTGAAATTTGCTTGAGATTAAGATTCATGTAGCGACTAGAACGATCGGCGCTTCGTTTTAATATTTTAAATCTAATATTAGTATTTCCTAAACAAAATTTTTTTCAAGATAAGCTACGCAAAAACACACTCGTGTAAGTACTATAAGATCCAATGCAAACTTCCTTATGGTTTTTTTATTTCTATCAGGAATAGATACAAAAAGAGGCTATTATTATTTTTTATAGAAAACCTTTTTATTCGTCTTTTTGTAATAAAGACTTGTACATAGTGTTTGTAAATATATTTAAATTTTGTTAGCAATAGAATATAATTTTTACGTGTATGTGTAATTACTATATTTTAGTTTTGACTTAGGTATAAAATAGAGAACGACTATAAAATTGTGTTAATTCATTTACAAATGTCTATAAATTCATATTCCTATAAAATATTATTTTATTTCATCCTTTTTGTTTCCGAACGAAGTCAAATATCAACTACCCTTGACCTTGAATACTACAGTAAATATTATTTACTACACAGTATATTTAAATAAATCGAATAATAATTCTCTCTATTCTTATCTATTATATATAATAAAAACAGTTATAATTTTACCTATTCTCATCGGCTATCGAATTTTATTTTACCTTGTCAATTCAACTTGTCTCTAGACCATTAAATCTTGTTTAAAAAAATTCAACGACTGTCATTTTGACAGCAATAAAACAGCTGATATTGTCAAAAGAGAAGAGGTAGAACATAGAGTACGTAATATAATATTATAATCAATAAACAAAGTTTGAAAAAATGTTGTAATTGTTAAAAAACTTGAAAAGTAATACAGACGTACATACAGTAATTTCGTAGATATTACTATGATACGGGTTTATTTTAAATTTCTTAACAGTTGATAATGCATTTTACATAACACATCCTTGTTGTTTGTAAGATACTTTAGGTTATGTGTTAGCCCAATATCATAATCGAAATATATTCATATATGTGACAAATGATAATACATTAATCGAGAAATGTCTTCAACTTCATCTAAAATAGTCCTGGCCTTATCCTTTATCATAAGCGGAGGCATTGTTACTTATGTTCATGTTAAACAACAAATGGACAGGTATGCATATTATTTTGACATAAAAACTGAAATCACGTTTCCTCTTGTGAGGCATAGGACGAACACATTTTTGTGTCAGTTTCACTGTTTGTTTCTGAGACAGATCAGTAGTTGATCAGACTTCAGGGCCCTGCCCGACAAACAATTTTTAAATTTATTCTTCCCATGGGATTGGAACCTATATAAACCTGTTTAACACAATGCTAGGCTACATGTTTAACAATATGACTACAATATAACTACAGTACTTTATAATAAGAACATTATTTTTGTTTTTTATGTAGTTTGCAATAGACTGTTTACATAATTTACAAAACGGATCAAAGATTTTAGGATACACCGTGAGAGTTAAATAACAGTCTGATAAGGAATGGGACAATTTCTGAAATGTCATTTATATAGGTTTTACTCATACTACCTTACGGTTATTTAGTAAAGATGTTTAGCACAACTAGCTATGCTGTTGTAATTAACAATTAAATCTTTATTTTATAGGGATAGGATGCATGAAGGAGTAATAAAAGATACAGAAAGACAGCAAAAAAGGAAAATAGAAAATCTTTACATACTTGAAAAGCAAAATGAATTGACAAAACAGCTCAAAAAGGATTTAGGTAGTTCTTAAAAAAAAAATACATGAACTAAAAGCTATTTATTGTTACAATAAAAAATATAGTCTGTAATCTATTTTGTTTCTTTTAAGCCATTTAAAAATATGTTACTAAGGTCTAAATCCCTTCCAGTAGGTTCATTTTTATCAGTAGTATCTATAAAACCATCTAGGCGAAGTTTCTCTTTTGCAACGGCAGCAAGACTTTCAAATGTTCTCGGTTCCCATGAGGCCAAATCTGATAGAGATTTCCGGTCGAGCATTATATTAGCACGATCTAATCCTTCTCTAAGTGTATATGCTGTGATATTGTGTTGCTCGCAAGCAGCAGTTATTCTGGTGTCCCACAAGTTTTTCATATCATCCTTCTTCAAGTAACGTGCTTTTGAACCGTAAACAAGAGCACGATGGACATTCCGTACAGCCACAGAGTAACAGTTTCGACGTCGACCAATAAAATGAGATGCTATTTTAAAAATTTTCCTTTTCCTCCATATTTCATCGGGCCCTCTGCATCTTATGAAGTTGACTACGCTTAAAAACACCATGTTGTAGGCGTAAGGGTGTTTGTTGTTCGTAATTATTCGTTTCCTATGTTTTGTATGCTTTTTTATCACAATATGCAAAATAAAATAACATGAACCATTAATATTTCGAAATGTAAATACTGCTAGGTTATAGAATGACAAGTGACAATAGAGGAGGTTAGAGAGAGAAAATTCCCACAAGTCACAGATAAAACAGCGTACTTAATGTTGAAAATGGCTTCCTCGAAAGACATTGGCATAATACGGCCGACGTAACTTGGCAAGTCTGAACTTAGCGCGAAACACTGCGCAGAAATGTTCGAGGGATCTAGGCTAGAGATTGACCCAATGTGAACACAATCGACCGTTTATTCTATCCAATTTCGTAATCGTTTTTTATCGATTTTGATTATAGATTTTTAAACGTATTGGATATTGTAGTAAATGGATTTATGAGCGCAGTGAACGGTGTTGTTAATAAACGATATCATGATTACTTTTAAAAGGAAAATAAATTCACTAAAATCTTGTTTTTCTTTATTGACGACGTGATTTAGTTTAAATAGGAGTTGTTATTATTTATATAATTACTATTTATACACATTTTTATCTTCTTTAAAGTTTTTTATACAAATATATTTCTACGATCGAATTTTGTAATTTCAATAATTAAAATTTCAAGGAAGGTTTAGTTATTTCGTAAGCTTCGTACAATTGGTAGTTCGTATTTAAAAGTGATTGTTTATTGTTGAATTTATTACTATTGTTTCTCTTTTCTTATATTTTTGTCTCAGTATTTTAGTGGAAGATAAGTGTTTGTAGCCCTTATTATTTTTGAATCAATCATCGGTATGTTACTTTTGCTTGCTATATATAAAATCTTTCATTTGTCCCAGTAACGAAAACAAATGGCAGTATTAGTTTTCTTTACGACTGTACACTATTCGTCTAACCTATGTTCAGACTTGCCAAGTTACGTCGGCCGCATTATATTATTTATAGTAATTAGTAAATCACATTATTTCTTCTATGTATAAGTATTACAACATTAATAAAAGACGCAACCATTTTACTTAGAGATCCCGAATAGCATTACTCTTTTCATTATTTTTAATCCCGTCATCACTGTCTTCCGCCTCAACATGACAGGATTCACTTGACATATCAAAATTTTCATTAACTGGCATAATGTGGTCTATTAACATCTTATGAGAACCATTATCCGTAGAATGAATTACTACACATCGTAATATAAGGATCTAAAAAACAACAGAACTTCAAGCGAATAGCTAATTATAAATAGATTTTGAAATTTTATAAAATAGAGATAGTAGTATGTTTTACCTCTAAAAGTATAACAGCCACAAATAAAACAAGATGAATATTCATCGTCACTATAATAACGTGGTACATTAGGCTGCCGCAGCCGCTCGTATTTATTGAGTTTGTCCCAAGTTCATCCAAAAAACTTGACACACAAGAACCGCTCTTGCAGCAACTATGAAACAATTATCATTAGGTGTCACTAATATTATATTTTACCTAATAAGATTAATGAATTAATTTTCTTATCGGATCGGAAAGTTCAAATTTATAATTCCTAAACAAGTTGGACTTTGTCTGGAAATCTGGATATTAAATGGATGGTAGGAAGAAAAATAATTCTGCGGGTACGGTAAGGACTGTCCATGTAAGAGCCGTGAAATTTAATCGCCTTTCTGTTTTAGTCTTGTATTGATTTTATTTGGCTGTGGTATTTCACCAGTTATCAATGTCTCTCTTTCTCTATCAAAAAAAATATCTTTGACCTTACCTCAGCGGTACGCTATCAACGTCATTGCCGTCTCTTTTTAACGCTGCATTGGTATCTAATGGCTCCAAATCATAATCGCGCGCTTTATCGTGCCAATCGTGTTTGAACCAATCCTTATAAGATTTCAACTAAAACGCGAAAATTATTATTTTTCTCTTAATCATCGTCATTTTAGTAGAAAAAGTAAATAAAAGGTCTTTACCCCACAACATTGCAAAGACAATTGAAGGTAGTCTATAAATCGTTTGTACTTGGGATAAGTGCGATAATTCTTCATGCTATTAGAAAAGAATTTAGTTACTGTGTCTTGGCAGAGGTATATTCGGTGCATACATAATATGACGCCGATAAAGCTGATGACTATGATCCACAAAATGCACTGCCACAGCGGACAACAGAAAACGCGTAGTCTAAGGCTGTAAAAATATTAAATGGCATTGGGACAAGCAACGACAGGAGTTCACATAGAAGTGGTCAATTCAAGAACTTATAATTTAATATTGATAACAATAAATACAAGTGAAAGTAGATATTTTATTAATGCACTGTTATGTTCTAAACTTGAAAAACATAACAATTAATAACTTTTAAATAAACACTTGAACGGTTTAAACCACGATATACATTAGTTAAACTTATTTGAAAATTATTTTAACTAAGACTCGATGTCTCCCCGTGACCACGGCTTCAAATAAGTTTAACTAATATACCTATATCGTATAAAACAGTTGTGTTTTATTTAAATGTGTAGATACTACTCGCGTAAACTACAGAGAGACTTTAATTGATAACTTGTAAATAAAAATCCATATGTTGAAATAGTAGTCCACTATTTGAACATATGGATTTTTCCAAGTCCTGGAACCAGCTCAGGGAGGTGGTAATCCAAACCCCCCGGCCTCTTCTGGATCCGCCATTGGACCTAAGTACCACTATAGAAGATAAAATTCTACACTCAATATAAAAATAAAAAATATGTTTTAAATAAAACACTAACGGTTTAAAACACGATATATTACTAATATATCGCGTTTTAAACCGTTAAAGCGTTTTATTTAAATATGTACTACTCGCGTAAACTATAGACAGTATTTAAAAATATGTTTACTCAAGTTTCCTTCCCTTCGCAATTTGATGCAATATAAATAAATTGGTAGGCAGCAATGTTACCCCAGACAGAAGCACAATAGCATTGACTAAATCCGTACCAGTCAAAAATAGCAGATCGCTTACACCTAAAACGGTTGTAACAAGATCTTATAATATTATTTGGATTCAAAGGAGGATTTTGGTATCTGCCTCACGATAAACATACAAAAAAGGAGTAGTAAAGACCACATAATAGAAAATACAGATATAAGCCACAATGCAGTAGACGCCCATATAATAAATGGGTGATTCGGTCCATTCCATTCCATGGTGTTTGTGTATTTTGATTTTGTAGCTTCAATAATACCTTTGAAAATAATTATTAATTTGACAACCTTAAATGTCAAATATGAAATGTGTAGTGTACCCAGTAGCAAGTAATAAAGGAGAGAATAGAAAGGCTAGTAATATTCCATAAAGTAACTAACTTGAACGTTAGGAAAGTAAAATTTTAACAAATTCAAAAAATTTTATTTCAATCTGAAATACAGTATTAAAAAAGTGAAAGCCCGTTGCCCCCTCGTGGGGCATGGGATGAACACATTTCTGTGTTCGTTTCATTGATCCGTTCTTTTAACGGGCAAGTAGTTGATCAGATCGAAGCAATTTAATTTGTTTCCCCGGGATTCGAATCCAGAACCTCTTGCGCTCAACGCAATGCTAGGCAATACGTTTAACCATTTGGCTACAGAGGCAGTCATATACTGTATTAAGATTTCAACCAAAAGTCAGTAATAACAATTTTTCTTCTATAAGAAGACTACGAGGACAACTTTCAGCTAATCAAATATATCATCTCAAATATTGTTTGCAGGCCTTATTTGGTATCGGCGTACGCAGAATAAAACAAATATGTTTTACTTTTAAAATATATTAAACATGATATAAAACTAGAGTAAAAATGTGAGTAACAGTGATAAAAACATTTATATAATATGGCAGTGTTTACTATACAAAAACGAGAATATTAAAAAATATAACGTCTTAACATTAAACATACTAAATTGGATATACATTTTAAGTCTTAAAAGTTAATAAATCCGAATAACACACCGATGTTTTATAGGATTATTTTTAAATCACTTGCTAAGATAGGGAATTGTAATAAGTACAATAGTAAGTACACTTTAAATAATAATAAATAAAAAAAACTTTTTTCTGTGTGCATCATAATTTTCCACAAAAAATATCCAGTCGCCGAAGTTTGTATTATCTGTTGCTATTTGCGCAGATTATCAATAAATTTCTTATCTGCTGAAAAATCGATTTAAAAAATCCCGAATTTATAGTCTATGTCCGACTATTCCGCGTCCATTTGAGTGATGTCACCCATCTTTTTTAGATTTGGCGACACATTGAACTCGCATCCAACACTGGCTACAATATCTTCCACCTTTACTCCATCTGCTAACTCGACCAATGTGAGGCCTTTTTCTTTATCAACTTCCATTACGCACTGAAACAGTTAATATTTAATATCCAAAGTCAATGTAGGTTGGTAGTGTATCTAATACTGTAATTGAGATGTGGGTATTTCAACATGTCTGTCTGTCCTCCTCTATCATAAAAAAATAAGAAAAACTTACAATCTTATCTTTAATTATTTCATTGCATACAATGTTGAACCTATAATCAACTACTCAGAACCCTGTAGTCATAGATTTGAGTCCTGACAATTTCTAGATTTTTTTTAATAATTATTTCAATGTACACAATTGACTTATACATGTACAGTAACCTCTGGTATTTTATACATCAATTCTAATGTCTAACAGTTGTTACAATTTTTTTCAATCAGCAAAATGTATCTATTGTAAAAATTGTTAAGTTAAATATTTTTTTACCTTTTCTGTAATTATCAAATCAACACAATGCTTTCCAGTGAGTGGTAATGTGCATTCGGGTACTATTTTGTGTCCTCCATTCTTAGCTGAGTGTTCCATAGTCACTACAACTTTAGTACCCGGTGATGAGACAAGATCCATGGCTCCACCCATACCTTTCACCATTTTACCCTATTTCAGAAATAGTTAAATTAATAAAAATAAACTACATCACTAGATTTGAAAGTAATATAGTAGTCCTTTTTTTAAGGTCATCACATTTAACGGCTTAAAACGCAAAATGTATTAGTTAACTGATAAACAATGTATTTTAACTACGGCCCGACATTTCGGACAGCAGCCGTGGTCATAGTTAAAATACATTTTCAATAAATTAACCAAAACGTTAGCGTTTGATTTTTTTGATGACTAATTGACAATATGTTGGTTACTGTTAAAAATAAGATAGCTATGTTATATGCACAAGTGGTTGTCGCAGCCACAGGCCAGTATATTAATTTAACTCTAATAATTAAAGAAGCTATTTCCGGGTATAGCTTAGACTTTGAGGATACTAGGAGATGCTGAGGACCTCGCTACGCTTGTTTTATGCATGTTGAAAACCCTTAATTATAGAATCGTACCGGTATCATCCAGTTGGCTAAATCTCCATATTGAGAGACTTGCAAAGCTCCCAACATAGTTAACTGAACGTGACCTCCACGGATCATAGCGAAACTATCATCGGACGAGAAGTATGATGCACCTGAAATATTGACAGTTTATAATCGTCGTAATATTATAAACCTACTTTGCAAATTAGACAGGTGTAGCAAGGAAAAGAAGCAAACAATTTCCAAAATTTATGACGCAGTCAATCTTCACAACTACAACGTTCTTTGCTGTTGGCTTACCAAGTTATTATAAGTAAATAAAGTCTATTCTTTCATTCAGTAGTACACATTTAAATAAAACACTTTAACGGTTTAGAACGCGATATATTAGCTAAACTTATTTGAATATGATTTTTAACTTCGACGTTTCGCCTGCTGGCTATATCGCGTTTTAAACTGTTAGATGTTTAATAACCGGTAAATTTCGGTATTGTTGTAATTTAGTAACATAGGGCTGCTAAGAAGTAATCTTTATTTTCTGTTTTAATTTACTTCTTCGTATTTCCTTCGATTCTATAACACTGAACATCAGTTAAGATCTAAAATACGTTAATAGCCTCCAAATCTCATGTATTATATAACTATTCGGGTAAATTGTATTATAAACATTTACATTTTAAATTAAAAATCCATTTTTGATTGCAAAAATGTTTACGACACGGAGATGACTCGCCGCGTCATGCGCTTGTCTGTGGCGTGCTACCGCGTCCTACACATCATCGTCGAATTTTTTCAACCTATTGATACTTGCACATGACGCGCATAGTAATTTCCAGCTCTATCCTTACGTATTAAGGTTGAAATTACCATTTAATTTATATAATCCAGCATGTGATATAAATATGTTAAACATTTTACCTGCATTAATAGTAACGGTTTCCTTTCCAGCGTTAATGAGGTCAGCATCGATTTGATCTTCAGTCGGATAAGGACCAAGCCCGAGGATACCATTCTCAGATTGTAAGAGTACATTTACGTTCTTAGGGATAAAACTGCTTGCTAACATTGGAACTCCTGTAACATGGAAAAGTGGATTGGATTAATTCGTTATTTTAAATTGTCAGATTGGCATTCTATCAAGCAGTCAAACATTTATCTAACATTTAAACAAACGTCTGAATGTATATCAATAAGATTCTACTTACCTATACCGAGGTTAGCATGCATTCCATCTTTAAATTCCAAAGCTGCCCTTTTTATAATCCTCTCCCTAACTAGATCTGACGGTTTCTTCTCCTTATTTTCCTTGGCCTTTGCGACAGTTCTTCTTTCAATACGCTTCTCAAATTTCTTACCTACAATAACTCTATGAACATAAATGGACGGTGTGTGGACGATGTCTGGATCAATTTCATCAACTATCTCTTCAACTTCAGCTATGGTTATCTTAGCTGCTCTTGCCATGGTCGGGTTGAAATTTCGAGCAGTTTTCCTGAACAGCAAATTTCCGTGTTTATCTGCTTTCCATGCTTTGATTAAAGCGAAGTCACCAGTTATGGCTTCTTCCATTATGTAGTTGTTCCCATTAAACTGCTGTGTTAGGCGTGGTGAACTTGGGATTTCGATCTGTTAAAAAAGAGGTAGAGTCAAACTTTAGTTATTACAGCAAGCAGCAATTCTTATAATAGTTTATTACTTTTCAGTCAAACTAATTTGGAAAATTTTAATTATAATTTCTTTTAGAACACTATAACTATTTTTACCTTTCCATCCTTAGTGTATTTAATAGGAGAACCACCTTCATGAATGAGAGTTCCATAGCCAGTTGGAGTAAAGAAAGCTGGTATTCCAGCACCACCAGCCCTGATTCTCTCAGCCAAAGTTCCTTGAGGAGTCAGTTCTACCTGAAAATAATTGATTTGTGCAAGGTAAAAATTATATATATATAATTTACAGTGTGACTAAATCTAAATAATTAATTGTTCAAAATACAAGACCGAACGTATAAATGTTATAATTTGGCAATAGATACTGATACCAAAAACATACAAAGTAAGTGAACTGTAGAAACACATTGATATCTGTTATCAGCTATGCACTTTTTTGCTAAGAAAGGTATTAAACATAAAAACTCTTTAAACATAAAATTGCTAAAACTTATTTGTCTATGAATAATGATAATTATACCTACTTCCAACTCTCCAGATAGAAACTGTCTTTCAAATTCAGCATTTTCCCCAACATAGGATGATATCATTCTTTTCACCTGTTTACTTTTTAGTAATACACCTAAACCAAAATCGTCAACACCTGGAATTTTTACAAACAAATATATTATTGCATTTTAGCATATCAATGAGTAGTTGAGTCTTTTTTTTTTTTTTTTTTTTTTTTGGGGCCCCCCTGGGGGGGGGGGGGGTTTATTCCCAATTTACAACCTGACCTTTTCACCCATTTCCCTAAAAATTCCCCATTGCATTGTGTTAAGCACAGCTTCTAATTCTAGTGAAAATAATATTTCGAATGTTATGGCTCTAAAGGGTATTCATGTAAATAAAATTAACTAAGAGACAGTATTGCAAAAGATGGAGAAACCACCCCTAAAGAAATACAGTCAGTTAATCTACACTATTGACATATTACATCATAATACACTTATCTGCTCAGTTCAGATGTGATTAGTTTGAATAAACACAGATAAGAATGAGCACATATAATTATATAAGTTCTTACCAGCATTGTTAGAAACAATAGTTAGTTGTGAAACTTTTTTATTATTCAGCGCTTTAATTAAATTCTCTGGAATACCACACAGACCAAAACCTCCGACAAGCAACTTGGATCCATCTTGTATATCTTTTATAGCTTCATTTGCATCTGAATATATCTTACTTTTGGTACTATAGGCACAGGCCAATATCTGTAAATTAATTATAAACACTTTACATACTAATACACAAAAATAAATACTTGCAATATTAACAATTTACTGATAAGTGTAATAAGACCTGGCTAGAATTATTACAAATCTAAAATATGGTAATATTAATAAAGTAAACAAAGCCACAAGCCAGCCATTAATATTGTTATTTGTACCTAAATATTTCATCTTATTATTGCAGTAATATTACTTCTTAGTTAGTGAGCAACAATAACAACCTTTTCTAGGTATTAAAATAAATATAACATACTTACCCGTTTGTAAGAATTAAATTTAGATAAACCGGAATTAATTTTAAAAATGAAAAATGTTTTCGCTAGTCCAGACATTGTAGCCGGTCTATTTCACGCGTATAAATACTGTTTTGTCGCTTACAACTACACTTCACGAAAAGGGGATAGTTATATATAGTTATATCTAACACTACAAATGTAAATGTTTTAAAACAGAAATTACTTAATTTTACAAACAGAAGTGTTGTTCCATCAGTTATCAGGTTTATTTTATCGCAGTGAAATATCTAGTAATAATACAAAATAAACGACTCAAGGTCAACCACACACAAGTAAACGTCCAATAGGAGAACAGATTTTAGCATTTATGATACTTGTGTAGTCAAGAATTTGAATAAATTAATAATTTAATTAATTGGTGGCTACGCAATATTATTTCACTAATTTTTTTTACAAATAGGCATTTTTTATTGTAATAAAGGGCCTTTTTTTTTTCAAATTTTATGGAAATTCGGCGTCGTTTATGTATTATATTAAAAGGCATGATCCGTATTCGAGTTACTGTAATAGTGTTCGAAAATGGAAATGTAAAAAATATTATGTCTCTATTATTACTATTCTTAATATCATTACTAGTATTTAAACAACAGTCAATGCAACTCCATAGATAATCTTCTCTTCGCTATTAGCATTAGACTTGCATAGTTATTTTTGTGAGAGAAAACGTTTTGCACGATCCGTTTCGAATTCGCCTGTGATATTTATTTCAAAGAAAGATAAATTGACTGGAGGAATGTGAAGCCACTTCTCCAGTTTTGATGTTGACTGTTATAGAGCCTAGATAGAGGTAGTCATGCAATTGTGTACAAAACAGGTCCAAATATCTTTTCAGGCTCAAGTCACCATTCGTGAAATATCGTGTTATTAACAATTAGCTTGGTTAAGTTTAAACTTAGGTTTTGTTCTTACTTATTCAATAAAAATCGTTTGCTAGTTAGGTTCGTTAAGTCTTCTTGAGTGTATGTAAACAAAAAAAGTTAACGAAACAACTTATTATAGACGTAAGTTTTAAATTTCTATCTAATTGGTCCTAACTAATTTTCATTGTTTACTGTTAAGTAATTTATTACGATTGCGTAAAAAGGGACCTAAACGAAAATCTAAAAGTATATCATAATTGTGGAAGTACAATTAGATACAATGTATTTAAATATCTATTTCAATCCAGTTTCAGTGTGTTTACCATTTTTGTAGAGAATAGTGGTCTGACCAAAAATTTTTTCGATTTAATTTGACCTTTAATCCCTTTCATTTATTGCCAAAAAAAGGATAAATCCCTTTGCTCTTTTTTGTCAATTAGGAGAGTGCTGGAAAAATAAAATAGTTTTTATATCAAAATACATTTATTGCAATTCATCGTTAATACTAAAGAAAGGTAGTAAATGCGTAAATGGAACATTTATTTATCATTGTTATAAACCTGATTATTTATTTGCTATGTGTTTTGACCGTTTAAAATAAGGCACTCCAGTTCTTATTTATATTATTTTACTGAAAAAAAAAAAGTTATGAGTTATAAAAGTTTTGAAAAAGTACCTACTATTGGTATTGGGTAGTTACCGATATTTAAAATACAGATCCAGCCACTTTTTTACAATAAAACTGTTTATGCCTACCGATATGTTTTATACAAAACAACTTATAATAAAAAACCAAGACATATCTGATATCACATACCTAAGTATGAATATTTTTTCTCTACAATATATTAATTTATGACTCATAATTTCTTAAAATAACTACACAATATAAGTAATAATATCTTGCCTTCTTTTGTATATACAATAGTAGACATAACAATACATATGCCTTTCTTTAATGCATTTTTGTACCCAAATTTGTACAAAGATTATCAATTTCTAATAATTATATTTTTTAATTAACTAGTTCATAATATAATATACTCCTATGTATGGATAAAATAAAATTCTTATAAAATATTACTTTGTTGAACAGTAATCTTTGAAGTAAGGTAGTTTTCTGGTTCATATTATTCAAAATTAAAAGCTCTTCAATCTTTTACAAACAAACCAGTTCACGAGACAGAAAGTAACGCCCCTGCCCATGCCTATTCATTCACACATTTTTTCCTACCTCCACACATTTTTAGACAGCCGATATAGCTCAATCTTAAACACGTTGCTTAACATTGTATCCTGCCCCAGAGGTCCTAAGTTCTTACTACGAAGAAATATAATAAACTTTCAATTCGTTAGGGCAGAACTCTATTTAAAAATATTCTTTCTTGTAAGTAAAATCGATTAATGAATTAGATAGAAATGTTTTAATGTCCTTTGTAGAGGAAACAGGATTACATAAGTATGGAGGGCTTGGTTGACTAGCTGATCTATGAATGCATAGCTCAAACAGGCCCTTTAGACATATTTGTTACCAGATTCCAAGAACACAAAAGTACGGTACATTAAAAGTATCAGAAAATTTACTATTGTTCTCAATTAATAAAAAAGTTATTCTTGCCTATACAATAAATATAAATATGTTCCGTTCCGTTTTTCTTCTAATCACTTGTAATCTAAACGTTAACTAGTAATAAGATATAGAAATATGTAATAGCTAATATGATTCTAAGTTATCTAAGGCGCCCAGATCTTGCGTCAGTTATAGCGCCCCAAAGTTCTATAATAAACTCATCAGTGAAGCCGAACTCTTGTAAATCGCTGTTGTCTATCGCATCAGCTAGTTGCATTGAATTTGCCTTTCCTTCAGCTAGATCCCACATTTGTGTCGCGAGTTCCGTGTCGTTGATGCCCATAAATGACTCCAGCAATTCATTGATCTTCTCTATTCCCGCCTTGGACTTATCGTCGTGCTGAAAGAAGCAAAAAGACATCATTTATCCATACACATTTGTGGTACTAATAAGTTGTATAATATTAAATAAAACATTTGTAACTGTATTAGATACTTAATTTTTAGGATCTAACGTTTTGGATTCTCTACAGCGACGATATAATAATAATGTTATTTAGTTAAAATTTAACATTGTTTTCACAATGCCGTTTTAAAAGTAGGTTTCTAGGTTTTGACATTTACGTAATGAATACATAACTGTACTTAGAGACATAACAATAAGACAATTAAATATTTTAAACTGACTGCATCGTTTGTTAATAAATAAATTAATAGATGTGCATCAATATAAGAATAATTCGTACTTATTTTTGATATTTACCTCGTTCTCTATAGTCGCTGATCCATTCGCTTTAAACCTTAAAGTTTCTTTGCCGGACCCATAGCCCTGTTTCTTCCCAGATCTTGCACTGCTCGTCTTAGGTCCAATACTTCCAAAGCCCGTCTTCAAAGGTTCCACTAGACGAATCGTAAAGGTCGTCCCCAAAGGTATTTCTTTAAGTAATTTCGCTACTTCGTAATGCCTCTTCCCAACCATGCTTTCGCCTTGCAATCTCTCGATGTGGTCTCCAACCTAAAGGGAATTATGAACGTGAACAGTTTAACTCGGTAATAGATAATTTCCTGTTTTATTGTCAACTGTTCAATGACCTCACTTTAAAAGGCCCACATATTGCTGGGCCATGCTTTTTATTAGTCTTTAGAGTTTAGAGTATTAGATGAATTAACTTTTGTATTTTTTATTTACAAGACGGTAGTTACAGGTTTTCGTACAATACAATTCGTTTTATACTCGCAAGTTTAAGAAAGGGAAGTTCAATTTAAACTAATCATTGCAACAAAGTTTTCTTTCTTTGCCTCTATGAGCACGTTGAGCCGTTAAAAGCCTTTTTCTTTTAGCGAGATAATAAATGCTTTTACGCCCTTCTGTTGGTGAGTCTAGGTCTACCAAGTACTTGGTCAACCCACTAAAAAGACTCAATAGAGGCCTGCCAACATGTAATGCAATGGTGGGTCTAAGCTATTAAGCTCTCCTAAAGGAGAGGAAACCAGTGCCTGTGCAGTGACACACGCGCAATATTAGGTTGACACAAATTTAATCTTACATGATATGGTTGTTTCATTTATTCTCATGATGTCTACCAAAACATTAGGTAAGTTAAGACAATAATATACAATAAACTAAAACTCGACGGCAGAATCCAAACCATCAGTGATTTAAGACGACTGGGATGCGCGTTTGACCTCTTTTTCTCTTGTTTTACAATTCCATTTATAGACGATCTCGATTCGACGGTTCTTACAAAACTACTTTATTCCAATATGGATTTATAAATCACAAAGTCAAAAAGTGATATTTGGTTCTTGTTGGCTTGTCACTTGTTTGAATTGTTATACGAATCCGATAAGTTTGCGTCTCATGTCGATGTATAAACATTTTTAGAGGATCCAAATAAGAAGCCACATTAGTCATATTTGATTATAAATTACTTACTTGTATGTGCGGTATCCTCGCAACAATAGACCCTTCCTTTATCCTCTTAATGAAGGAATAACCAGCGCCATTGTCAGTTATAGTTAAACCAAGTGAATCTTCAGTCTTCACGATTTCTATTTCTTTCGGTCGGCCTTTTCTGTGTGCAAATATAAAGTCTTCTAATCCAATTTGGCCGCCTAGCAGTTTCTTCATATCCACTTTGTGAGTATTCAACGTACAGAACAAAATCTGAAACCGTACAAATAAGATAATTCAGACATTTGTTCCGATACCTTCGGTCGAAATGATTAGGCTATTTGTCTTATCCGTTTTAATCTGTTTAGGCTAATTGTACTAGTGGCTTTAGAAGTAGAGTATTATATATAGAATTATAAAAAAAAAATCACTTCAATAGGATAACGCTACCGTCAACGATAACGTTATCCTTTAAGAGAAATGTCGATACGACAGGATTATTTTATATTTTCTTTTATTTCTTATTATTAAGTTCGCCAACGTTATATTATAATCTTACATGCTACGTCATATACTGAAACGGTAATTTCTAAAACTAAAGCTATCAACTCCAATTAGTCGATTATAGATTACAGTCTTTATCCTAAAAGATGATCTTGAAAATAGTGCCTAGTCCTTATTTAGACGAGCTTATTTAGAGTATAGTATTATACTTAACGGTATAAAACGCTGACTACATAATATAACAATCATCGTCTATAGATCCTCAGACCACGGCTGCTGCAAGCATCCGAAACGTTCAACCGTATGCAAACTTTTATCAACCACTTAATGAGAATTTAATTTTAAACCGTTAAGTGTTTTATTTAGTTCGTGCTTTCGTCATTTAGCAATGGTTGAAACTCTATCAGAGTGTAGTGTGTCCAAACTCTGTAATTCCAGGTCTTTATTACTTGCATTGGGACTACACACTAAGGAATTTTCAGCCTTTATAAAGACAATTTTTTCTGCTGCTTAAATGCCTAGCTGCCTACAAATTAAAATACTTATGACTCACGAAAAGTCAGAGTCTAGAAACGTATTACGATTTTAAGTATGGACACGCTTAATTATTCTTTATTGTTAATTATTAACGGTGTACAAAAAATCTCGCAGTGGAAAGTTTAGTAAATATGACGGTCTAATGGAAGCAATAATCAACGGGTCGTAGTCCGATTCCTATCGTGTCTAACATCTTTCTAATCAATTTATAAAATTTCCGAAACATATCTGACTTCGTCTGGATGGATATATAAAAGAAATATCGAAATTCCGTCCGGGTCACGAACCGTCGTCCACAGATAAAAAATGCATGACGTTTAATCGCGTTTTGGTATCAGTCTGTGGATTTCCGGTTATCCAAAACTAACATAGGTCGACAGAACGTCTCATTCAGTTATGTTGGTGGGGTATTTCACGTTCAGTGAAGTGAACTCCATGATTGACTATCAATCTCTATCTTTAAAAAAATATTAATGGTCTAGAAAAAATACACTTTGATGTGGAAATATTTTTGAATACATGTAGCCATGTATAGTTGCACCTCGTTATCAGTGCAAATATTTTTTTAATCTTTTATCTCTTATCAAGGTTGTTTCATCCAGCAGATATTGTGATATTAATATAACAGGTTTTCCTGCCAATATAGGTATATATTGAGAGCTTAGCCATGTATGATTGGTATATACTATAACAATATTTCTGCAAAACTTTTGCTAGTTTGTTTGTGAAAACCCGTTTCTCCTGTGTACTTTCTGCCCACACACACATTTTTGGTTCTGTTTGACTGATCGTATTTATATAGAGGAAAGTACTAGTTGAATGAAACTATCTTTATATAAAGCATAGAAATCGAACCCAACACTATTGGTAATTAATGCAATCCTCAGCAATGCGGTTAAACTACGATGTGAAGTTTACTCGATTAGTAGGTCCACTCATGAAATAGGGCGCTTTTAACGGTTTAAAACGAAAAATGTACTGCTAAATTTATATTTAACTACAACTCGTCACATGATAATTTAGAGCTCTTCAAACGTATGTACTTACGAGTTCAAAATGACCTTAATGGGGTTTTTGGGGGGGGGGGGGGGGGGGGGGGGGGGGGGGGGGGGGGGGGGGGGGGGGGGGGGGGGGGGGGGGGGGGGGGGGGGGGGGGGGGGGGGGGGGGGGGGGGGGGGGGGGGGGGGGGGGGGGGGGGGGGGGGGGGGGGGGGGGGGGGGGGGGGGGGGGGGGGGGGGGGGGGGGGGGGGGGGGGGGGGGGGGGGGGGGGGGGGGGGGGGGGGGGGGGGGGGGGGGGGGGGGGGGGGGGGGGGGGGGGGAAGGGGGGGTTGTGTGGGGGGGGGGGGGGGGGGGGGGGGGGGGGGGGGGGGGGGGGGGGGGGGGGGGGGGGGGGGGGGGGGGGGGGGGGGGGGGGGGGGGGGGGGGGGGGGGGGGGGGGGGGGGGGGGGGGGGGGGGGGGGGGGGGGGGGGGGGGGGGAAAAAAAAAAAGGGGGGGGGGGGGGGGGGGGGGGGGGGGGGGGGGGGGGGGGAAAAAAAAAAAAGGGGGGGGGAAAAAAAAAAAAAAAAAAAAAAAAAAAAAAAAAAAAAGGGGGGGGGGGGGGGGGGGGGGGGGGGGGGGGGGGGGGGGGAAACCCCCCCCCAAAAGGAGGGGGGGGAGGGGGGGGGGGGGGGGGGGGGGGGGGGAGGAAAAAGATTTTTAATTTTTATTGGGGGTTTTGGGGGGGGGGGGGGAAAAAAAAAAAAAAGGGGGAAAAAAAAAAAAGGGGGAAAAAAAAAAGGGGGAAATTTAAAATTGGGGAAAGGGGGGTAAAAAGGAGGGGGGGAATTGAAAAAAATTTTTTTATGGTGGTTTTTAGGGGCGGGGGCGAATTGGGCTTCCACCGGTAAGGACAATGTAATTTTAATGATTAAATAAATAAATTTTAATTTTAATGATTAATAACTCAATAAATATCATACTTAATATAAAAATAATTACATACATACATTACATAATGAAGTATATGGTTCGACATCTTTATTTTTAATTTGTTTATCGTACATGTGAATTACATAATGTACTCTTACGTTGCGTTAAACAGCTTTTCATTTATTTTGTTGTAATTTCCATAATTATTCACGTTAAATCTACGTTAGTAAAACAGACATTTATTTATGTCAAAGACAAACAGACATTTTTATCCTTGACATAAATACTACACTAATACTAGCTAACTCATCATCAATTAACAACTAGTATCTCGTTTTTCGAAGTTCCTTGTCTGGTTCAATTTGGAGTGTAATTCTTTATGTAAAAAAGTTTGAATATACGACCTCAGCGAACTTTAACTATAAGTTTGATATTTTTAAAATTCTACTAATACCCCGTTTTGTTAGTATAAAATTTACCCGTTTCGCAGTATTTTTTTGTAATTTTCTAGTTACAATTAGTACCTACTGTAATACCAAATAATATTTTGTAGTTAATTAATTCTACATTTACGTAACACGACCTACATTGAAGAATTTTCTTCATCAATTTTACGTAAAAATGTTTTCTATTGCCAATATATTTTTATTTAATTCTAACTTGACTTTGAAAAACACACCGTATTGTAGTATAGTAGGTCAATAGTGAATCAAACATTCAAGATTAGACAGATAATATTGAATAGTTAACCTAGAAGTGAAAGTTACAGATAACCAACATGTATTAATATCGCATGTACAAGTACCGCCTCTGTAGATAAAGGGTTAAAGCAGTGCGTTAAGCGTGAGAGGTAGGTACTGGGTTCGAATCCTGAGGAAACAATGGATTGTTTCGGCCTGTAAAAGTTGCAGTGAAAGGGACATAGAATTATGTTCATTCCGTGCACAAAGAAAGCAACGAAATTTCACTTTTATGGTTTATATACACATACATTAGAAATATGTCAAAATAAACACGTATTGAGAATCCATTTTGTTATTCATGCGAACTACGAGGAAAATATAGTAGGAAAAGTAAAATAGTTCATCATTCTAGTAATATGGTTTCCAAGGTTACCGCGTCTTACATATTCGTTTTTATAAATACTTAAATAAACAGTACATTTTATAATATTTAAATTGTGTCATTAAAGTTAGTCTAGCGAAAATGATACCGATGTTCGAGAAGAACTAAATGTATTGATTGACAAATACGATCGCTGAATAATGAATTGTTTGTTATTTTATTATTTTTAATCAATAATTTGCTTCTTTTTGAAATGAGGTCGAATAGGCATAAGTATTTACCCCCCCTATATTTTCCCCGCGTCATCTTTGTAAATTTTAGCCGTGGCAATTAAACCAACCAACTCTTCAGCTTTATAATATTAGTGTAGATTTTGACTTAATTAGAGATAACGCTTTGCGTACAATAAAAGTAATGTACATCATATGACTGAAGGTAGATAACCAGATCGATGTCGTGGTAATATCATTCTGGTAATATGAGTGCCCAATCTGCAATCGCAGTTCGCCGGGGTCGATCCGCTTCCTGGCCAGGCACCCGTGCGTGCTTCCGTAACGACACTTTTTTTAATCTAGTTACATATATTACACTCGACTATATTGCAGGCAATGCGAGCAACTGTGCTCAGGTGAATGGAGGTGAGGTCTCACAGTTCAAATTTTAAACCCTGGAAATCTGGAAAATTTTGTCTTTATTAAAAGATTCGTCATCACTATTTAGATATTTTGTAACAATTTTTAAATGCGAATATGCGAGTTACAAGATATTGTGTTCTTTTGTTTATTTTCCCAAGTTATGAGGAAATGTTTGGGTGAAAAGGTCGTGCCTAATTAAGATTAGGCCCGTGTCCCTGCCATTTTCACTCGTCAATGACCTTTCAAGTATTCACGGCCTCGTTCGACCGACTTTCATGGGCATCGTTTACCATAAATCTAAAGTACGTACTTTCTACGATGTTTACATCACTAATATGTTAAGAAGAGAATTAGCGATAACTATAATACCTATATATAACCTGACTATACTTGTTTTCGTTTCATTTTGTTTCATTAAGTTCAGACAATATAATTTCCCGTAATAAATATTTTCATTTAGCATCCGCCTCTGTAGCCAAATGGTTTCTCTCTATGGTAATGGCTCTTTCTATCTCTAATCGCGTGATTCAGAAATTTTATTCCGGTCTTACGAATGGAAAATTACGTCCGATCATTATTTTATTGGAACAAAGAACGATGTAATTATAACAATAACATACGATTAATCATTATCAATCAAAATCGATTGTTGATAATTTTTTTTCAATTGTAACAAGAATGCATGTCAAATGTAATGTGCACTAAATTATCGAACGATGTCCAGTTTTTGTTTAGTAAATATTGTATTCCAGTAGTTTATGAAGGTTAAGTAAGTTTTAGTAGTGGTAGTTACGTAATATTTATGAGGGGTACGATATAAATATCATAAGGGGTTGTCCATTAATCATGTGACCTTTTTTTAGAATTTTTAACCCCCCCCATTGGTGATAGTAGTGAGGTTTAAGACCGCCCCCCTACAAGAATCTTAAAATTTTCTGAATATTATCCTAATATAATAGAAATAGGTATAAACTATAATTTATTTTATTTGAAATTAAGGACCATAATAAAAATATCTACACCATTTGTTTAAAAATCGCGGTTTGACGAAAAAATAAATAAGAGATATCTTACTACGAAACCCTTGTGTTATTTTCGTGATTTTTATCAAACCCCCCCCCCCTTTGACCTCACGTGATTAATGGACAACCCCTTAGAAAATATCGTACTAAAATGAATGGTGTCTGTAGGTTTTATGTGACGCGTGAACAAACATACATTAACAAACAACAAGTATAATGAAATATTTTATCGAGTCTAAAGAACTATTGTCTAGTTGACATGAGTACACATACTGTCTATAGTTTCCTCCCCGTCCTTCTGCTGCAAAGCATCCGAAACGTCGGGCCAATTAAAAATCATTTTCAAATAAGTTTAACTAAATATCGCGTTTTAGACATTAAAGTGTTTTATTTAAGAGAATTTAAAACGCAAAATTATTTAGGTAACATTATTTTTATTTATTTTACCAAGGATGTTTTGTGATCACGGGGGAAACTCCTGGGAAATGAGTCTAGAGAATTTTCTTTATTTATTTATCAATGTTATAAAATACTAACTATAATTAGACTACTGAATGTTGCTTTATTGTTATACTTTCTGAATTAAAGGAAATGCTCATAGAACTAAATTAATTCATCATCTAGTAAAATGAAGAAGCTAAGTTATGTTAACTTGAAATTTTAATTATTATATGGACATGACAAAATCAGTTCATTCAGTTACCCATATTTGGCCATGACAGGACTTAGGTATCTTTTCAATTTACATACATTTTTACTTTATTTTGATGAGATAGCAGTACTAATTGCTTATTTATCGGTCAACAATATGACAAATTAATGAATCTAGCTGATTGTACTAATATAATATATAATCAAAAAACCATATAATATTCATCATACAATGAAAATTATGGTAGGCATACCCAAGCCTACAGCATCTAAACAAGATGCGCTTTCTATATTCCTGCCACCCATTTAACATCCAGATTTCCAGACGATATCCAACATGTCGCAAAAAAAATATAAATTAAATAATTCTAAAAAATGTTGGACCCAGTGGGGATCGAACCCGATACCCATTGATTATTAGCCATACATTGTTACCGTTAGACCAACGAGCTCGCCTAAAGGTTGAAAACAACCGTGTTACTCTTGCCAACTGAGTTAGTAGTGGCCACATATACGATTGTCCACATCATTGTCAACTAATAGATTTAACCAATAAACATAGTTTTAAATATACTATCTACAAAAGTAACTGATGAAAAATGTAAGATTACACACAAAACCAGTATTGCAAACATCTATCAAAAGATATGTTTATTCAAATTTAATAAGCATTATAAAAAAAATATAGACTGGTTTTCCACTGAAATTGAGACAGGCTAAAGTGAATGAACAAAGATGCTTACATAACTTCCTTATTAACTACGTTAGCTTAGCGCTACAATATTATATTCTTTGTATAATCTTGCCTGTATGGCGAAAATAAAGATAAATACGATAGTAATAACGGCAGAATTGTTATTTTATATTACAAGAAATCGGAAAAAACAGAACGAAGAAAAAAACGAATAAAATGATTATGATTTGATTAAACAAAGTATTTTCAAACATATTCTCAGAATGGTAAAAAATACTAAAACTTAGTAGCCCGTAGTTTATGTAAAAGATATGCTCATTGAAGTAAAGCACTTTCAAACGGTTTATAACGCGAAATTACTTGATTGATTTTACACTTCGACCAAGGAGTTGTTATGACAATATAAGCGTAAAAAACCTTTTCTAGATGCCAAATATTGAAGACCAGTAATGGCGGATTATTATAGTAATAAATATACCTACGTGTTCTCATAATAACAAAAAAACATCAAAAATGATTTCAGATGAAAAATACTTTCAACTTGCCAGAATCAAAATGAACAATAATATATTATTTCCTTTTGCGGTCATGCGATTAACAATGGTTGCAAAATAAATACCTAACACATTACCGATTAGACGCTAATAAGGAAATAATGAGTCATTAAGTAAAAGTATAATACAATTAAGTCCATTGTCGTTAGGGTATTTGTTAATTTAGTGTTATTAGGAATATTATATAATGGATATATGCAAAAGAGATACGTTACAGTATTCTCATTAGAATTATTTTGACATTAATTTATTCTTATCAAACGCGGAACTAAATTACAGCATATGGTCCACTAATCGACAATTACTTATCATCACAGGTACCAATCGAGTTTTTTATTTAATTCATTAGGTATTTATCAGTTAATTTAGTTTTAATAACCCCGCTTGAATGTATACCCAGTTAATGAAAACAAATACATTATTAAAATAAGTCAAATCAGCACCTTAATTATGTCTAAAAAAAGTTCGAATTTGACAAATTTTAATAATTTGTTAATGGCAAGACCCAAAATACCTAACAACCGAATGGAATTTCAACGGATTATTCATCGATAATCGTGTGTCATAAAATATGGTATCGATCAAAAATGTGAACTTACATCTTCTGGAGGAAAGTCGTAGCATTCTGCTATTTTTTGATACAGCTCCTTCACGTTGGAGAAACCCGATATGAGACCCAGTGGGCTTCCCTGTGCCTGCTGGCAGTGAAACACGAGCTGTGTCTTAGCAGCATTGTTGTTATCAACACCGTTAGACTGATTGTGTACGTCCTCCACCGGCGGGGGAGGAACCGGCGGCGACGCGTATTTAGAAGTTTTCTTCTTAAACAGCGACATAGCTAGGGCAACACGAACTAACGGTGAAAAGGTTTCTTTGGTAAGTTCAAAACTCACTCATTACACCCGCGCACTGTAAAATTTTAATCACTATCACATAGCTCATGAGAACTGCTGCTATCAGCGCGTCATACTCGGTGATAAGATATGAACCAATGGCGATATTAGATAAGATTATAGCACTATAGTTGAAGGTAACACATTATTAACTTCACGTTGTTAAACGAACAGATTGCACGTACACTCGATCACCGGACTGACTGCTGACTGAATGTTGAAGGGAGACGGGCAATGTTGCTTTCCTCTGTTACAAGCGCATTACGCATCGTGCTTGAATTTTGCTTGGACTAATTTCAAAGTTATTGTTTAAAATAAAAACATATTTTATTGTTATGAAATAATATTTTTAAACTATATGCTTTCATTACTACTAAGAATTTACAACGTTAGTAAGGTGATGTATTACAGAAATTAAAATAATATATTTATTAATTTTAAAGTATTACCACTTTAAAACTGTAATTTTCTTATTTGCTTTTGTCTCACTCACTTTTTAAAGTTTTCAAGAGCGTAAAATGATACTTTAATTATTTTTAGCTGCGTGAATTTACTATTAATGAAATAAATATAAGTATTAAAACAATATTGTCGTATAGATGAATCTCGTTCCTAATAGACGTTTCTTTCTTTTGATAGGCTGGTTGCTCCAATGGTAGTATTGTAAAGAGGTCGTTAGTTCGAGTGCCGCCAGGTTCAACATGTCTCTCATGCCATGCTCAACATGTCTGTCAAACGGGTGGTAGGAATATGAAAATTTTGTCTGGGTTACGAAACACCAAAATTAACATCACAACGCACACACAAAATAAAAGCCGCCAAGTTTAATCGCGTTTCGGTATCTGTCCGTCGATATCCGACACTCCTAATACAAAAGCGATATGTTATATGGCTGTGGTATGTTTTTTCTCTAAAATATAAGCTACTGTCCTCCTCTGTTATTAAAAAATACATTTTTATGTGTAAGTTTATGTTTGTATTTAATGAATTTACTGAAAGCGTTATGCAAGGAAGCCTTGAGTTCTATTGTTTTGTGATCTATGGTCATGGACAGCTAAATAACAAATTACAATATTTGAATAGCATGAAAATGTCGAACATCCATTATGTCAAGGATGCGGGACGGAGCCCGTATTGTTGTACTGACGTTTTAATAATAAGACAGAAAACAGAGGGTAACTTCGTTATAAAAAAAAAAAAAATACAGTCGATAATATTTTTTTTTTCAATTTTCTTAAACAAACTAGAAATAAAAGGTTCCTAATTAAACTGAATATATAACTCACTATTTGTAAATTCAAACACTGTTATTTTCAATTACCTATAATCTCAATAAATATAATGCCGACATTTTAAAACTTAGGTAAATATTGCATTGGTTTGTAGTACCTACTTATTTTTAACAAGTAGAAAAATTAAACATAATTTGTGCTCACAACTTAAAACAAACATGCAGTCTCGTATTTTCAAACTTAAATTATTATAATTACAACGTTTTATGGACATATTATTGTATTCAAACAATGGCATATGTGACAAACAAATTTTAAATTGCATTTTTTACCACTTTTGACGGTTTAAAACGCGAAATACACTAGTTAACTTATTTAACTAGTCCCCCGTGAGTTATAAAGTAGTAGTGAAATCCCGTTTCCCCTCTGGCATGGACGAACACATTTCTGTGCCTGTTTCACTGATCGGTCTTTTTATTTCGAGGCAAGTAGTTGATCACACTTCTGTGCCCTGCCCGACCGGAACAATTTTACTGTTTCCACGAGATTTGAACCCAGGACCTCTCCCGCTTAACGCAATGCTAGGCAACACGTTTAACCATTTAGCTACAGAGGCGGTCAGTTAGAAAATAGTTAACTCGCATTTTAAACTATTAAACGTTATGATAATGTTATACATATTTAAATAAAACGGTTTAAAACGCGATATATTAGTTAAACTTATTTGAAAATGATTTTTAACTTCGGCGCGACGTTTCGGATGCTCTGTAGCAGCCGCGGACACGGCGAGACACCCCGTGTCGTTACCACGGCTAAAATTTGACCGAAATCATTTTCAAAAAAGTTTAACGAATATATCGCGTTTTAAACCGTTAATGTGTTTTATTAAAATGTGTACTACTCGCGTAAACTATAGACAGTATTTAGTGTTATACATACTCAAAACTGTACTAGCGTAGAAACATAAATGATTTACTTTAATTAATCGTATTTGCAATATACAACAACTCAGACCACCACCTGTACATTTCTTGGGGTGTAAAGCTATGCGCTGACGCCAATTGCCAGTAAGATGTAGCCACAGGTAGCCACGGTCTAAAGCCATATAGCTTGTCCTCGTGCGTCAATGTTAAACCCAGTTTCCGTTTCGCCACCAAATACGTGATATAAATATCCTCTATATTAATTAAAGGCACTTCGTAGGCAGCTTCCAGAATTCTGCTTAGGTGCTTTCCTAGAAAATAAATTTACGTATTTAACCAAAGAACCCAATAACTTTAGACCTAATGTTTTATCTATGTTTTTTCTTGGTTTTTCCCACAAGACCGTTGCCATGACAACCAATGTAGCTAAATGGTTGAACATAGCGTTGCGTTAAGCATGGGAGGTTCTGGGTTTGATTTCCGGTGAAACAATAAATAGTTAATTGACCCGTTAATTATAAGCCAGACGTTGTTACATTTGCACCAAGGAGCCCGTCCACATCTAAAAATAACATACTCGCGTAAAATACAGAAATAATTTACGCCTGTTAAATTTATTGTACAAATTTTCCGATTGTTATAATATTATACCATTTATCAGATAGGCGTTTCCGGAAAGGTATTCGGGTACTGTATCATTTTTATACAGCCAACGGGGTAGATACCATTTACTGTGTTCTTGGCGGTAGAGACCCGCATTCTTGTTAACGTAACCTGAAAGGAAAACGTTATAAGTACAAATGCCATGCCATACACACAAGTCTAAAAGATATAATTAAACCAGCGCATTAAAAAAAACCTCTTAAATGTAATTTTAAAAATGCAATATTGAGAATGTATGTTATAAAATTCAATATGTTTACTGTACGCGATTTATTAACTTTTAACGTTTGAATACAAAAATATAGAAGTTAACTTATTTACATTTTATTTAATTACAGGCCGTCGTTTCGGATCAGTAATCACGTTAAAGGTTTTATTTTAACATTTTATTCGCCTATAAAGTTCATCGTAGAGTGAAGGTGATTCTAAAGAAAATATAGACGATCAGTTTGTTAACAGCCACTAACTCCAATTGGACTGTGCTTAGTCCTTTTTTCATTTAATCAGTCAAATCGAAGTTACGTACAGACGAGAACATGTATTCTATCTGAGCAAAATAATTTATCATTTCCCCATGATTCAAAAGAAGAAACTCTTACGCCTGACCGTATGCTTAAGAACGTGTTTAAGCATACGGTCAGGCACGAGAGCTTATTTATTTAAAATTGATTTTACCAATTAAATCCGCGTTAGGCCTTTTCTCGATAATCTTTTCCAATTGCCATGGGTTTAACAAAATATCGTCGTCAGTTTTGAGTAGGAAATGCACGGATGAGCATCTCTCCGATGTCCATTTCAGCATGAGGGCAGTCTTCAACGTGAGATTCTGATAATGCTCTTGAAATTCGTAGACTATTAGATCATCGTGGTCCTTATCTGTCTACAAACGAATGATTATGTAATAAGTTAATATAATAATATTACTACCGGTTTATTTATTAAGAATTGTATTTGACTACTTATGAACTACTCATAGATAGAGCAAAATCACGAAAAGCGGTTCGTGGGTGCTCTGACCAACACAAAAATATTGTTTTATTCCCACCAGTAGTTTCTGAGATTAGCGTGTTCAAACAAATGAACAAACTCTTCAGCTTAGAAAAAAGAAAGCTTTCAGATACGAAAATGTTCGGTATATATGAAGTTAATAAGATTCGATGAAACTTTTTAGTCAAACGGCAATTACCAATAGCTTTTAATTAGTAGACTTATTTACATACCAGATGCTTAAGTTCATGTGGCCCATTAAGCCCGACGACGAACAAGGTGGGCAAACGAGTCGCCCATGTTTTTCTGATCGCGTCGCGCTGCTCGGCGTGTGAAAAAATTGTTGCAACGGTAACCAGTATTGGTATCTCCTTATCTCTGCACGGCGGTATTCTAGGCTCCAAGAGAAGTTTCCTGCGAGATTTAAATATAAGTTCAAACAAAATAAACAAGCAAACGAACAAAATCTTTGTCCACTTACATGTTATTATGAATGTTATCATGTAATTCTTAGAATATTCATACGCTACTGCTGATGGCTTATATGTTTTGTTATAAAGAACCCAATCCCACCGTTGCTCTACAAATTTAGCAGCGCGTCATATAGCCGGTGGTAATAAGTTTACGTCGCGACTACGTCTTTTCGATTAAAAAAAGAAGTTAAATTTATATATGTCTATAGTTTATGCGTAATATACATTTAAATAAAATACTTTTAACGGCTTACTTAAATGCTGAATATTTTAGTTAACTTATATTTAATTGAAAATTGTGTTTTATAAAAACGCGACACGAACATAAAAATTTGAATGCATGTAAATTAGGTAACAACAGCCACGAATTAAAATTAAAGTAAAGGAAAGAAATATCTATAATGTTGCTAAGTATATTTTTAATTTTCTTGCATTCTTGTAATGATCAAAATAACTCACGTCTCCTGCAGGTAAGAGGATAAATTTCGGTTATTTTTGAAGTGATTCAAATTCAATATGTAGACTATTTCAGCTGTATTTTTATCAGCGGCGTTCCACCAACACAGAACCGAAGTCACCAAAATAAGGATAAGAAGTAAACCTTTTGTGACGCTTAGTCTATGGCCTGCAACGACAAACATGATTCAGTGCCTAATGCTTTTATGCAACTACCCTCACAAGCGAGACGCAACTGCGATTATGATTTGGTTACTGCGTTCAGTGAATAAATATTAAAATGTTCTTTATTTAAAAAATCAAAACGCACCTGAACAAAGTTGTTGATGTCTACGTTCCTTCATTATTATACATTACGTTTTGCGCAACACTTATAGCACATAGTTTCGCGGAAACATATAAATCTGTAAAGAAATCATATCTAAAATCAGTGCTACATATGATAACGATTGTGTGTTGATATGCAATAAAGGTTACATAATAGAAATGGAAATAAGAATAAGGTCGTTCTATAAAGTAAACAGTAAACAGGTAAGAACAAAGTTTCTGAGAATTATAATAAAAAAGTGTAAAGGACTCATTTTGCCATGTATGTACTGAACCTGTAACGCTTCTTTTACATAAAAAAAAATATTTATCTATAAAAGCCAGTTTTTTTTCGTAATTTTAATAAAATATTGATCATATTATATTAGTTATAGTAATAAGAAATAGTTAGACATTTTGACGAAGGTACTTTAACGCTGAAGACTTTGTTTGACTTGTGTTGGATGGACCAATAGGAGCAAAGAAACGGTGGCAAATGCGAAAATCTATGAGAACTTCAGTTGCGTGCGTTACTGTAACGGTTCAAGAAACCAAAAAATATGTACGAAAGAATGATTCCTCTTTAAATGATCTCGAAAAATGTTCGCGATATTATATGTTTGTCTTTTAAATTAACTTGAACGTGAACAGAACGAGGGTAACAGTTAGTAGACAAAAAAAGCGTGTAGCTTAAATATAATACTTAATAAATAAAATAGATAAGCGTAGCAAATATTAAAATAAGTTACCTTTTCGCCGTCAATCCACAAATGTTATTATTACATTAATAAGATTTTCCTTCACTAATCATTATCTGGGAATCCTTATCATTTTGTCGTCAATTGATGGTTGGCGCTATCGAACGATTACTTATTGATTAAAATTTTGGTTTATATCACGAATGTTGTAACTTAGAAAATATCAAGTCGATCATCTTTAACCAGTGCTTACAACGGTACTTCATAAACGGTGTTTCAATAACTTTTACTTCGTGTGACGATAAATTCAAAGTAATTACTAAGCACAATATTTACATCAGGACGAATTTGTGCAGCACAGTTAACTGGTAAACATTCGAGAGGACATTCTTATCGCTCATTACTGATTAGATAAATAGGTATGTTCGGTTCAGTACTGGTCGTCGATCGGTTCCTATCCTGACACCTTTGCAAACGTTCTCATGCCGTATACAGTGTTTCGACCAAATTTGGTTTTCATAAAAACAGTTGCTGTGAGTTAATCTTAGAAGATAGACATATATCTACTGTTGCAGGCATTTTTTAGATAGATTTATTTTTTCAATATTTTCTGGTTATCTTGAACCGTTTTCGCAGCACACGCAACGATAACTTATAAAGATAAATAATTTTTCTCGTTTTTTCACATTTACAGCCATTTCTTCGCTCCTATTAATCGCAGCCAATGGTTCAACCAACACTAAAATAATTTTTCAATTTGAACCAGCAGTTCTTAAGATTAACTCGTTCAAACAAACTCTTCAGCTTATAAATAATATTAGTATTCTATTTCCTATCTTCGTCTTACTGCCAGCTAAAACTAAAACAGCGTACTTTAGCCTAACAATAAATAAAAAAAATATCATTACTTTTATCTTCATAAAATATAATTTTTATATACTTAACATTACAGTATACCACTAGCATGGCGGGATTTCAGTTGTAGCAATCTAAAAAGTTATCTGAGAAAGACCTGAAGTAATTACCTATAGTTTAGTTATTAAGTTGTTCGTCGAACTTTTGGATAATCTGAGTACAAATATATTGACGGCTTTCGCAATTGGAACCTGTCAAATCTCGTTACATCAGTGGCAAATGTTTACCTAATTATGAATCACTATCCAAAATATCTATCTTTGCACTAATATAAAACTATTCGTATTTTGTGCTATATCATTTACCACGGCCGATAGATATTATCAATGTCATCGTATTTAGTAAAGCTATGCTAATTGTTAAAGGTACCAGTTAAAACGTATTTGTAATACCTAAACACCAGTTTTGTGTGAAACAGAGTAACAAGCTGCAAATAATGTTTGGTATACGTCGTGTCGCTGTTATTTCAGGAGAGATTCAGCTGAAAGTCTTGCATCACCTTGGTACGTAGGTACTTACATTGAGTTGTTTATTGTTATTGTCCACTGTTGTAAACTGTGTAGCAAATTTCACAAGAATAACTTTTAATAAGACACAGGTTAGTTGTAAAGGTGTTCTGAGCGAGTAGTCCTAGGATCAAATCACAGGGAACTCTATCTGAGCCTGCTCCCATGTAAATGGAAATGAGATTTTGCTTACGAGTGTTGGCAAACATGTCGGTCTTTTTCACCAACATTAATTATGTTTAGTTGATTTAACTTTTATTTTTAAGAGTCAGGAATTTGAACTAAGTAAACCTCACTTTGTATATACTTAATTTCAGCAACAAACAGCATAACAAAAAGACAGATTCCAAGGAAAGTTATACCAGTTAAATATAATCGACACTACTTCTCTTCAAAAGCAGACCCGCGCATTGCTACTTATGAAGATGTTTCCAATGGTATCAAACAGCCTAAAACTTTTATAGTTGATGTGCGTAACCCTGATGAGGTCCAATCTACGGGTTTAATTCCATCAAGTATTAATATTCCACGTAATAATTTTACTTTTTTTTATTTGCATTACACAACTTTATATATTTTTAAAAGGTTTAATTTGTATCTATTACAGTGAATAACATACAACAAGTACTCAGTTCAATGTCTGAAGAAGAATTCAAAAGAAACTACCAGAGGAACAAACCAAAACAGTCTGATGAAATCATTTTCTATTGTAAAGCAGGAAATAGGGCTACAAAAGCAACAGATTTAGCCCTAAGTCTAGGATACTTAAAGTGAGTTGTTCTTGCAATAATTTGGTTGTAGCCTATAATTCTTGTAAACCAGCCTACTCACATGACTAAATTTAAAGCCAATTTCTATTATCATTTAAGTAGATTTTATAAAAAAAAATATTCATACAACATATACATTACCAAACCCTACCTTAAGCTATAAAGTTTTTAAATGTCTATTAAAATTATTTTATATTCCCTTTCAGATCAAAAAAGTATTTAGGAAGCTGGAATGAGTGGTCAAGTAAACAAAGTTAATGTCATTTAATATTTTAAAGCGCAATTTGTTTGATAAATTTATTTATATACTATGTATTGAGATTGTGTTTTTTTTAACAAGCATCTTTACTCACAAAGTAAAACTATCATTTCCTTTTATTTAATTTTTCTTTTCAACCTAATTGCTAGAATATTTAAATGAAAAAGTTAAATTTTTGGAACCTTTTAATTAGTTAAATGTCTACGAGGAGGCAACAGCTTTCTTGGGGGTGGGTTGGCCCTCTTTGAATCCGTTGCGGAAACGCCTTCTGACAATCTTCAAGTGACGCATGCGGCCAGTTCCTGTGGTCTTCCTCCTCTTAGCCTTCACTGACCAGTGGTCTGCAAGGAAATACATTTCATGTTTAGTATCAGTTTGGTAATATAGTATATATTGACGTATCTCCAAATACAGTTTTTAAAAAGAATTTATATTAGAAAGATGTAAATAAAATTAACTTAAATAGCTATATTAGAACTCATTTACTAGTAAGGTATAGTTATTTTACAAAGTATTATAAATGAAAATTTTCTTGCTTATTAAGAAACTATGTATTTGATTTCATTAATGGCATGTACGAAATTGATCTAATACATAGTTATTATAAGCCTATATATTAATACACAAACTTCAGTTTATATACCTACACATACAAGACAAAATTGCACATAACAATCATGTCTCAATCATTGTAGGATTATGCCATTTAAGAAAATAAACGTACTACAGTTAGTAATAGTTGCGAAAACAATGTCAATATAATACTGATCTGTATAGAACTAACATCTTACGACAAACCAAGGACTTTACGAATATGGCTGCGGTGCGGGTATTATATGACGCATTGGTGCGTAGCCATTTAGATTTTAACTCCTCTATTTGGGCCCCGGCCGAAGAAAAATACAAACTCATGTTCGCATTCAAAACAAATTTGTTAGGCATTTGTACCAAAGAATGTATGGAGTATATCCATATTATCCTTTAATGTATCCGACTCTTTTTGTATTAGGCATGGTCGGATACAATGAATTGAAGGTACGGAGGGACTTATTCCTTGTGATATATCTAGTAAAAGTATTGCGGGGTCGAGAGTTGAACCCAGGAGTTCTACAGTCCTTACACTTGTCTGTTCCGGACCGATACGTGTGGAGGCGATTACGACCACCGTTACTTGCGCTACCGTACTCACGCACCAACTTACTGATGAAATCCCCTCTTGTTCGTGCTATGCGTGTTATCAACAAGCTGCAGGAGGGGATCGACATTTTTACGTGTAGCTTGGGTGAATTGACAAAAACATCACTCCATGAAATATGTATTAAATAATTCTATCGCAATGGACATTGTTCTGTAATGTTAGAATATTTTTATAATGTAATAAATAAATAAATAAATATTTCCATGATCTATGTAAACAATTAGGTAGACTGATACCACTGATAATATACTCGTATACCAGACCATAAATAGTCTGGGGGCTCAAAGGAATAGAATTGGTAAGTTTCATGCATAACCTGAAAGCTTTTGACGCACGTTAGGTACTCATGTTGTTTTTCATACTTACAAGAACGCAGCTTAGCTGCGGGGTATCCACATTGAGCACATTTAGATTTTTGTATATGATATGAAGACCTTCCACATCTTCTACATAGTGTGTGGGTCTTATTTCGGCGTTTACCGAAGCTGGAAGTTCCCTTCGTCTGTAATCAGCCCATAAAACACCAATTATTTTAACACTCGTACAAAATTAAATTACATTTAAATAATTCACTAGAACATAAATACGATAACGTTTTAAATACACAGTAAACCAGTTAGATATCTATGATTTATTAAGATTTAATTTAGAACTTTAAAAAATACACTACCATTTTTGCCGAATTTGACAATGAAAGGAAGTTTCACAGTGTTGCCAATTACTATGTAGTACTAAATATTAAATAACTAAACTAAGATAATCAAAAAGTAGTCATCCCACAGACTGAGCTCAAGGCGCATTTATTGTATAACTATTCCCTAATTTGTTAATTAGCGGTTGTTATTTATTATACATTCAAATGATAAAAATAAAGATTTATAAATATTTAGGTTTTTAAGTTAAATTAATTATCTGGCAATAGATACTGGCAGTTACCTCTGCCAGTACAGACTACAGCGTACTACAGTGTCAATTGTTAAACTAAACTACTACTGTAAATGTAAATATTTCACTATTTGAAGCTTTCAGCTACTGGCTAGTTCATTCGGATTTAAAAAGGTAAACCTAGATTAATGTAGATCATCTAGATAGTAAAATTTACCCTGTATCTGTAGATGACTAAAGTATTGATCGATCCTCCCTACCTTTGCTCCCTACTTAGATAGATCTTAGAATACACTCTAATTTCCATATACCGTGATTTGTGAAACAAATATATTTTTCAGTGTTTACGGATATTAAACAAGTAAATTTCTGTACGTATATGTTATACATGGAAAAATTGAAGTTTACTTTTTTAACCGTATATGAGGCTCATAAAGGCATAGTGGTCAGACAAGAAACATGATTTTCAATTAGGAGGATAATACAAATGCGCATTTAACGTATGCGAAAATAAGTTTGTACTAATATTTGTGTAATAATTATGGTAACAATTTTCAATCACTGCTCAAGCCGTAAAATTGCAGTTAGGCTACGCTGCCTCTAGTAGCCTCATTTGTTTCAAGAGTTATATTTTGACTCAACATTATAGAAATTACTATTTGTGGATTAGAAGCATACTTTATTTATTGATATATTTCTATTTTAGCTTATTAAACATGGAATTGCTAGATGTTATGAAAAGTTTGAGTATTAAAACTGTGCCTCTTGCAAAAGATCAGACTTTTTTCAAGTCTGTAGCTGTTGACATTGATGAAGTGCCTACAGAAATAGTTTATGGGGGTTTCTCGGATAAAGATATGCTTATTGTTTCACAATATCACAAAATGGGAAGTCTGTTCATGATTACAAAAGACCAAGTACAGAATCCTCTCTGTACCAATGATATTTATACAACAAAGGTTATTTTTGGTACTTCAGGAGAAGAGCAGCAAGTGACCGCACGGCATCTGGCTGAGTTGATACAAGGAGACAAACCTGTTTGCATATTTTTAAGTCTTAAATCATATGACATTGAAACAGTTAAGGCTTGTAAGGATATTATCCTCGAATTAAAGAAAGACATCAAGTAATTATGTCATTAGTAGAGAAGCATAAATTTAAAAATGTAAATAAGTTGTATGGGCAACTGGTAATAGGACCACCCGGTGCAGGCAAGACAACATACTGCAGTGAAATGTCAAAGTTGCTGAAAAAACTTGGAAGGAAAACCATTATAGTCAATCTGGATCCAGCGAATGATAATATTACTTATATTCCTGATATAGATATTCGTAACTTGATAAATCTAGAAAATGTAATGGAAAAATTTGAACTGGGGCCCAATGGAGCATTGCTTTACTGTATGGAATATCTGGAAAAAAACATTGACTGGCTCTTAGAACAGTTAAGGGACGAACATGGCACAAATTATATTTTCGACTTGCCTGGCCAAGTCGAGCTATATAGCCATCATGAATCTTTGGGTGTTATCTTTGCAAGTTTAAGTAACTTTGCGAACATACAACTATGTGTTGTGCACCTTATAGATTCCCATCACTGTTCAGATGCTGCTAAATTTATCTCGGCATTAATGCTATCTTTAAATGCCATGTTAAAAATTGGTCTTCCACACATTAATTTGCTTACCAAAGTGGATTTACTGAAAAAGCATTCAGATAAATTGCAATTTGGAATTGACTTCTATACTGAGGTCTTGGATTTAAACTACTTATTAGAATGCTTGGATACTGATAAGTTTGTTAATAAATACAAAAAGTTAAATGCTGCATTGATCTCTATTATAGAAGATTACAGTTTGGTATCATTTCAACTTGTTAACATGTATGACGAGGGTAGTTTAATGAATATCAAGAATTCAGTTGACAGAGCAAATGGGTATGTTTTTAAAGCAGAAGAAGGCCGTCATATCAACAGTATGTTAGCATGTGCAATGGGCGTAACTGATCAAAACAAAGATGACTTTTGATGCTCAATAAAAGTATAAGATGAGATACGGAAATGCAATAAAAGAATGCATAAATGTCCAATAATAGAAGCGCACAGTTCAAATAATGTTTCATTAATGTTGTATATGATTATAAATTCATTACACAAAATGTAATCTTACTTGTTTTGCGACAGAATTGAAATGTATGTCGTTTTTAATGTATAATATATTCAATGTAAAGCAAATACGAAATGTTTTATTCCATTCGATGTTTATAAATCTTTAAAGGCTTTTGTTCATAAAATACTGGTGTATTGTTACCTATTTTCAGTTATTTTGCTTTGTTGCAGATGTCTGAAAGCAAACGTAAATTATATGATAAATTGTTGGAAGAAGAGATGAAACTTGATAAACTTTTAGCATATGACCGAAATCAGATACAGCTGAAACTACTGCACCAATACAATAACGTAAAAGATGCGACACAAGTAGTTATAAATCATTTAGCGAATTTGGAGGGAAGCACACTTATAGACGTTCACAGGAGGTTTAACCTTCCCGATAAATAAAACAACATTATGTAATGATGGAACCTTTTATTTGAAGACAAATACAACTCTTTACAGTTTAATTTCATCCAATATTGTATTTAAATATTCACGTAAAAATGGTGAACATCACTTTAACGAACTTCTAAGAGCAAATTTATGTAGTTAAGTTATAAGTGTTTTCAAAAAGCCACAGTTCCATGTTGCTACTCAATTACGAAAAAGGTATGAATATGACAAATAGTTCTAATATATTTCATATGTTGACAAAACATTATGTTACCGTTATCAGCAAACAATTTTATAAACTGCATTATGTTATTACACTGTTGAATAATCTAAAACTATACGGAATATTGGTTTCAAGAAACATAAAAACTACTTCCTTCTCGGAATCAGTACTAACATTACAGTTTATTACATACAAAATGTGTGACAGCTTAACATTTATCAGCACAAATACCGTAAACACAAAGGAAATTTAAATATGCAATTTCCGTTTGTAAATAAATCACTGTTAATAGTGCTCATTGCTTAGAAACCGTCTAATATAAACATGCATCCCATGAAATATAACCGACCCCACTAAAACATGCTTTTCACGTTATACAATTCATAATAAAATGAAATTACATTGAAGTCAAAAATCTAAATGCTACAATATTGTGTTTATTTTAATAAGCAAGCAATATAAATGTTTATATAAGTATGCGTCGTACGAGACGAATGATAGCTACCCGCTGCGTGCGCGCGCGCAATGGCGCTCGGCTTGCGAGCTTTAAACGAATCGCTTCGGCGATTATACGTGTCAGATGCGTTATTACTTTTCTTAGTTATCGGTGATCGCCTACAACAACGACGTGTTTTCGCGATCAAATGTGTTCCACTAGTTCTGATCAAGTTTCCATTAAATCAATGAATATGTTATTGTGGCAACATATTTGTCTCTGTTCCAGCCAGGGAATAAAGCGTTCCAAATTGTAAAGTCTTCATTAGTTCCATTCTCTATTGGTGTCAACCGTTCGCTACTTTACAGGCTTCGAGAACGTCCGTCGACTATGGAATGTTATGTACGATGTTAAACAGTGTGTCCACCAATGGAGTAGTGTGTTAAGACTTTGTCTTAAATATTTGTCATTCCAGCTAAATTTAAGTATAACAATATAACAAATTTACAAAAATACATATAAATTAAAGAACATTCGCAGTTTTGAGATTCCAAAAATGCATATAAATATATCACTAACAAATCTAAGATATTCTATTCAAATAATACCCTATAGGATGCGGAAAGCTCAACACGCGAATGTTCCCTCAGTTCCATTAAACGTCTACCGTTAGACTTATACCTATCAGTTTCAGACTCGCTTCAGGCAGTCCCACAGACTAATTTTCAGAGCACCAACCATCAATCAATAAATGCGATTTTAATCCTAATTTCGATATCCTCCTACCACTACTCATCAAATGTCTTCACAAACGAGTGCATACGAAAATAGTATATAAAAGTATACTAGGAGGACCAAAATTTCAACAACTGTAACAATGTACCGCTTATCGGAGAAGCCTGCTGTCTTATACTATTGCTGATAATGCAGACAACAAACTACTGCGATAAATTTTGAAAACAATCTCACATTCATTCAATAACGTCTAAATATACCATGATCCTAAAAACAAGTCTGAATACGTTTGGTTTAGCTTATGTAATCGTCGCTCAATAACAGTGAAGAGTCTATCAATATGTCTTCACGCCACTCTTGGTATAAACCAAGTGGCGTAGGAGATAAGTATATTTTCATTCGGACAATGAGTACATGCAATTCGTTTCTTTCTTTTTGGAGTTATGACAATTTAAAAAAGTTAGTGCAACAATATTAGGTAAATAATGTAACGTGCAATATATAATGGAGAATAATTTTTGGTTATGCACAGCACGAGCGTCGTGTTAACAAACAGTGGCGTTCTTGGCCAAACCAGTGTTTTTAAATACCGATCTCTTCATGTTTCTAATACTGATATTGGTTTGAATTATATCACATAGGCTAAACCGAGCTTAAAAATAAGATATTTTGGTAAATTGTAAATATACTATGTGTAAATAAATAATGCCGACTCAGTAATTCATCATATTATGCTAAAATAAACACATCGTCCACCAAGTCATTTAATTAGACATGACTCAAGAATCAACTTGGTTATTTTAATATATATTTACTTAATATCACTTGTCACGTTATTAGATGTGGAGGTGTTTCATCTTTTGAAGATCATTTTGAACCTCTGTGCTTGGCTCATCGGTTTCGACTAGTTTAAGGACTGTCGGTTTTCAGTGTCGTCTTAAAAAGTTGACGGAACATTGAGCTAATTATGTCTCGTTTGGAACGGCTACGCACGGAGCTCATCGCTACCGACTTCAAAATTACACGGCACTAGTATCAACAAATGGCTCTAATAGCTCTCAAAGAGCGGATACTTCATATTTTATTTGATAACAGTACCGAGCAAGGCACTAGAGCGTCTTAACGTTTTTCTCCGGTAAATTGCATGGATAGCCTTCGCTTATTTTGTCACTATCGCTTCGAAATTACGATTAACCGACACTAAACGTGTCAAATTAATATAAAATCAGTCTCAACATCGGGAAGTCTTTTAGATGGTTAGGCACGTATACATTTAGTCGTATTACAGGCGACAACAATATTTCTAAACATCAAATATAGCCTTGTACCGTCGCTATTGGAAATACGCGCTAACTCACGTGAAGTTTTGTCGCCAAGAGTCAGTTAACTATATCTATCATTAGTTTCTAGCGAATGCCAGACGTTTTATCACTAAACAGCAAAACAGGAATAAACGGAGCATCACTAACAACAATAAAAAAACTTAAACTACGGAACAAAATGAAAATAGAATATGACGTTAAAAAGTTAAAGGGACAAATAAATACAAGCAATACCTCTTTTATTACAAAAAAAAAAAAACAAGTAAAACAATCTAATTAGTAACAGGCGCGTCGCCTTGACCGATATGCTCCTGTTCCGAGATATTAGTTTGCTCCTGGACCTAGAATAAACGGGAACAAGTTACAAGAGATCTAAAGGAGCACTGCAAGTCACTACCGTCAGTCGGACATCCAAGTAAAATAACATTCAGTTGTAGATAGAGCAATACTGCGGTAGTTGCTATTCATGCAGTCACCTTGTTCTTATCGAGAGGTCCGTTGGCCTCCAACGATTGAGCCACATCGGTCTTCGTCGACTTCTTTTTGCCCTTGCCCATATTTTTCTTGGCATTTTTTCCAGTCTTTATCTTCTGTTGTTGAGCTCCTGTTGAATATATAATGTTAGTTTGATTATGTCCTGTCTTGCTGTTCTATCACATGAGATTATGCTCCAAAGCGCATGATACCTTCGGCGTCGTCGAAAAGGGCGTTGTCTTCGTGGGGACTACCGTCGTCGACAGGGGGACTCATCTCATCAGATCTAACAGTTTTCCTGAAAATTGTAGGCACTCATTGTTATAAACTGCTGCATATCCGTCGTCAGATTATTTATTTTTATATATAATCAAAAAAATTTGCATTATTTAAAGGTAAAATATAAATAATACGGATGTTGGAAAAACTTTAAAACCCTAACATATATACATATTCTAGGTTTGGAATTTATATATAATATTTACTATATAATTAATAAATAACAAGTTATAACTGACCAAAAAAATAGTTATGGATAATTTTAAACTTGTCCATACATATTCATTCTGTCTATTTTGTTACGCAACTGTTAGACTGAGTCATTTGTTTTAACAACATTTGATAAATTAAGTAATGTCTGTAGTTTATGCTAGTGGTACGTATTTAATGGAATTCTTCACACTATATAGTGCATATTATAAAGTATTCTAAGTAATAAAATATATCTTAGTTACCCGTTGACAGCGATAGTAGCAGGGCGCACAGGCTCATCGGTGTCGCGGCGAACCCTTCGGCCACGCCCACCACGAGCACTCTGCACTCCGCGTCCACGACCACGCCCACGACCGCCGCGCCAACCGCGTCCACTATATGTGTTACGTGGTGGAGGCGTGTATCCATAGCTAACCTAAAAAAGTAGATTTACTTTTGTAACACATCGACTTTGCTACTTCTTAAAAACTGTCAAAAAGTAAAACATCAAATTAGAAATTAGTTTATTAATTTGATCTAATTCTTATTAAAATGTTTATTGCGTATGTAGTCTATGTCAGATTCAATAATAGGTGTATTTCAATGTGTAAAAACTTTATATCTAATTCTTAAAAATAAATATAATGATATTAGGAATAAAAAGGTATATATTGTAATAAATTACGGTTTCATATTCTTTCTTTCGAAAATGTCACAATATTTTACTGGTGAAAAGTCACTTGGTATATTTTTTGATCTTGGGTATTTCCAATTGAATACTGAGGAAACTCGTATTTTAAACTTTTTGTATTTAGATGTATGTTAGATTATATATATGAGATTCGTTAAAGTAAACGTTTTTTATTTAATCATATATTTATCCTACTTCATAAATTTTATTATTAGTTTGACTAATACCTGTGGGTAACGCGTCGTTCTTGGCGGGTAGCTACCACCACCCCATTGCCCTACTACGACGCCAGCTATCTCCAGTCTGGCGCCGCGCCCACGACCACGCCAGCCCCCCAACGGCTCACCCACCACACCCACTAGTGGTAACGGTGGTATAGCGAACTCAACCTCCAAACCTTCTAAAATCGCTTTGCGCATACGCTCCACCTGCAACAGGTTTCCTTATTGATACACAAATACTATTTACATAAAAATATAATAAATAAATAAAATCCGGCTCGAAAGACCAGAAATGATAATGTCATTTTGGGTAAAGTACTAGTAAAATAAATAAATCAAACAATACCTTAACAACAGTATCAAGATGATTGTCGCAAAGCTGAGCGAGGTGTTTGCAGTGATTCGCGCGGTGGAGGTTACGCTGCAGTAGTTTGCCATCGAAATAGAGCCAGGGCGCGGCCACCAACCACGGTACTGGTGCACCACACGCGTCGTTAGCCAGCAATGCCGCTTCCGCGCCGGCCATCACAAGTGCACCTAGTTGCACACCGCGAGAGCTTATACCATTCACCTGAAAAGTAGAAAGTGTAAAAGTGTAATTTTGGGTAGAACTATTATATTAACAATACCTTTAATTAGGTTAAAACTTCCTGACAAAGTCAATTCAAATTGATTTGATTGGTTCGCTAGTTAACCAATGCTAGTCTAATAATAAACGGGTCGTGGGTTCGCGTTTTTAATCAATTTTGATTTTTTCTGATACATTTTAGGCGTCGTTTGGTAATCTGGATTAATATTTATAATATAAGGTTATGGGTAGGGATAAAGAAATACTAAACTGTTGATTAATCGCATCTGTGGTATTCCAAATATCCATTGCCAAAAAAGCTTGACCTCCAAAAGTTGTATGGCATGGGTATTTCATATTCCATCAAGGGAAGCACATTATAGTACGTCCTAGACATTAACCCAAATAAAATTCTGCTTCAATAGGACCAGATATTTTTCAGTTAATAGAAAATAATAACTTAGAATTAACATTTACTCACCGCCATCTCTTGCAAGTGAAGAGCGTTCATGAGATCACTAGAGAAAGTTGTTGCTAAGAACGCGTCCAACTCCTGTCGCCTCAGGATTTGGATTTGAGATGTCATGATGAATCTGGTAAGCAAGAGATAAATTATGATATTGTCCTATCCCCTAAATGTTTGGAAAATGAGTAATTAGTATTTTATATTACCTTAGCACTGTTGCTAATATCAGAAGGTGTTGTGGCACATATGAAGTGTTTAGCATCAATGGTGTATCCGATTTCATGCACGAGAGAAAAGCTCTCATACGACGACACTTGTCATCTTGAGCAGTTCTAGAAATGTTTAAAATTTTTAGACATTAGCTATATATTAACTTTTCTGACCACTCTTTAAAGAGTGAGAAAATAATAAAGTTAAGAAATTATTTAACTTTTTGTTAAAGAAATAATTCATATATCATACTATACATACTATGTAATATCTTGAAAATATTGGAAATGGCATATATTACCAAATATATAATTTACATCTATTTTGGCTGCATTATACAGACTACGAAGGATAGTCATTTCTAAGAACATATTGGTTTTTAATTAGCATTAGTATATTTTCTAGAATTACATATGGGTATTAATAAGGTTGACATTATTCTATTTTTATACTAAGCATGTATAAAGCTTACCCAAACCATAATCTCTGCACAGTGGGCACCGGCCAGTCTAAAACAACTCCAGGAACAATTTCTGGACTCTTGCCGGGATTCACTCTTGAGTAAATCCATTCAGCAACTTGGACTGTGCATGGACGTTCATTGCACATTGATGTAGTTGCAGTGCCTTCCTCTGAAATATTTATATACTACAAAATTTGAAACAAGGAGTTTGTTTGAACGCGCTAATGTCAGGAACTACGGGTTCAAATTGAAAAAATATTTGTGTTGGTTAGAGCATTTATCGAGGAAGGTTATGCGCTATGACTAATAGAAATTACGGGAATAACTAATAAATAGAATAGAAGAGAAGCGGGAAATGTGAACAAGACAGGTTAAATATTTCATCTCTATGAGTTTCAGATGCGTACGCTGCGACAGTGGTTCAATACACCCAAAAAACATTAATTAGAGAATGATTCCTCTTTAATGATCTTAAAAAAATGTCCGTCAATCCCGATGTCAATATCGGATAGCAGTTCTAATTAATAAAGATGAAGAGGAGGTTTGCAAAAAAAATTTGGATGCCCAAAATAACTATTCTACAAAAGTCGCTGACACAGCTAATAATAAATAAGTTGAACCACACTTACCCTTAGCTTTGTGGGCCATAAAGCGGTGATGATGCATGTTGTACAATATTGCATATACATTTTGCCTGATCGGTCTGTAAAAGTGGTGTATAGATGGTATTTCTCGATGATTGTCGTCTTCCATCAGCACAGGCAACGTAATCTGCCTATGCGTAAGGATGGATAGCATCTGTGGGTGCATGAGACCGCGTGTGTGTCTCTCTGCGCACGTACGGAGCACCTCGGCCGGTGCACTGGGACAATTGTCTTCGCTTTGCAAGTTTGCGCTTACTGTGGGCATTCCCTGGAGAGAAAATTCTCTTAAGTAATGTGAAGAAATAATTGATGCCTACATTTTGAAGCATTAAGTTATATGAAACTAGATGTCCAAACATACAAAAAACGTCTATAATCAAGAATGCGATTTTTCGGTAGTCTACTTAGTTTTCTGTTTAAAATGTTTATAATATTCTTGATGTAATATGTATAGAGACTTCAAAAATTTATTTTATATATTTATAACTCTTAATTTATATCAGTTTTGAGATATAATTAATAATGGTAATTCCAGATTAATAGAGAAAAAGTTTAAGTGTATTCTGTGAGACTACCTTAGTTGCATTACGCAATACGCAACATTCACGCGTATCAACATAATGTCAATAAGACTAAAAAAAAAATCCATTTCTGGGCTGAGTTTAAGGTTATTAGGTACTTGAGATATATGAAGTGAGACTGTATCACACCTCCTTGGATGACGGTTGGAGCTGTGTGCCGTGCGGGTCCGCGGTCTCCAGCGACATCGATGCGACACCGTGACTCAACTCGTTACTATGATCTTCTAAGCTAAAGTCTGCATTAATCGACGCGTTAACTGTGGCCAATTTGTAATCTTCCAAGCCTTTTAGCTGTAATTCATCGAGAGTCAATTTTGACAACCATCCGAGTGCTCATATAATATTTACAAACATATTCTAAATAAAAGTACATGAATGGATCAAAATATATATAAAGTAAATGAAGTATAATGGAAATGAAGAAAAAGGAAAAACAAAAAAAAAGCACCCAGCACATGGAAGTTTTAGATGATTCTTGATGGACCATGAAAACGTTTGCCAATTAATTACGTGCCAATGTGGATGGAAAATCAAAAGGCGTGGATGACCACAGCAAAACACTAGTGATGAAAAGTCACCTCATGCTCCGAAGACTCGGTTGCAAGTTTGGAAGTGTCCATATCGGCTGATGTGGATGGTGGACTATGTTCGGGTTTGTGGTTCTTTTTGTTATTTTTAGGACGACGACCTAAAAAATTATTAATTAATTCAATATATGAATGACATGGAACAATAACCTTAATCAAATCATTTAAGTGTAATATTTAAATGCATTTTAGTTAAAAATGCAAATATGCTTACCAGACGCAGTTCTATACTTTAAAAATCCATCTTTGGTGCCATTAAAATAATACTGAACAGCTTGTTTAAGTTTGGCAGCACGCAGATCATTGAGATCACCAAAAACTTCAATGCATGCCGCATCAATATCAGATGATGGTAAATCACGAACAAACTGACCAATTGCTTTCATTATATTCTCTGGCGGTACTTGTTGCTGTAAGAATACTTAAAATCAAATAAAGAAATTGGGCAAAACTATAAGGTTTAAAGCTTGAAACTTTATATCAATTAAACTTAAAATTAATAAAACAAAATTATGTCACAGTAAAAATGTATGAGTTCTAACCTTCTTCTGATTGATCCCAAGACGTTTGTAAAAGTCAGTCAAACCATTTTCTGAAAGAATTACTCCTCCGAGAAGCGCAGCAAAGAGGCACAAACGGTCTTGAGGCACATCTAATACTTTTGGTAACTCATGAACCATATATTCCTTTGTTTCCAATGATGACTACAATCAAATTGAACCTTATTGTAATATAACTACATAGGAATCAAATGAGACTTTCCTTAAGTATTAATACTAACCCGATATGTAAGTTTTAATTGCGATGAACTGAAATACCTTGGTGGTTGAAAAACTAAGTATTCTCCAGAGCAACCAACTAACCCTGCATATGCTTTCTCTCGGCAAAGCCCAACTACTTCTTGGCAATGATCATCAGAGGACACCATCTGTCAAAAAACTATGTAAGTAACAACAGTTACAGAATTTATGACAGATTAACTCAATAATACATACAATTGGTATATTAAGATATCTCAATGCTGTCCGAAGGCAGGAGTGTAAACCAGTTGGTGGGACCCACCAAACTTTGGGCGGTGGAGTACCTTTAGTTACTATATGACGCAGAACCTGCAAATATAAGAAAAAAATTCATATTTGTTCTATTTTCTTACTGTCACCTATTTTAGTAAAAAGTAATTTGAAATTATGATTACAGAGTGATCTTAGGACTGTTCACTGTCTGTGTGTTTTACATTTGTAATTGTATCCCATACCTCTGTAAATGCAAATTCAACACAACGTAAAAATGCATTGATTTTAGCATTTAATTGTCTTGAACTGAATTTTTAGTGTAAATCAATTAATTCAAGCTATACTAACAGAGTTAACTCTTTGTCTATATGTAGCTTGTGTCTGGATCCAATGTTGGGGCAAAGCTGGGGGCGTTGGATGGGCTCCATTAAAACACACACACAGAGCTACCTGGTGTTCAGCTAAAGCTTGTGCCAGAGTGGTTAAGAACTGAACACATCTTGCCCACTGACCACCACATGCCCAATCTAAAACAATCGCATTTATTAGATAAAAACAGTAACAATTGAAAGTAAAAAAATTTGGGTAACTCACCAGAAAAATATCCACCATATAAACGATCTAGACACCCTTCTGCGTCAAGTACTAAGCGAAAACCACCAGGATGAGTTCTGGCGATTCTAAATAAGTCTACTCCTACTCCTTCGTTTTCTAAAAACGTTTGTAGGTCTTGTATGCCCATGGTTATCGGCAACTCCTAACACTCCCTCGATGATAAGATCGTTTTGACTAATATTGATCTAAAAGAAAATAAATGAAATCTCTTAGTAAACTGCTGTAAACCCTAGTTGTATAAGAAATATAGAGCGGTAGATCTATCAAAATCGACAAAAAACAGAAAAAAATGAATGCATAACCGGCACGTTTCGGTGCTATAATTAAATATAAGATATTTCGTATCACCAAGCAATTATATTTATCTAAGTTGCAAATTATCCCTGCGAGATTGATAAAATTAATACGAACCTTAATTTATTTGAACCATGCCACTAAATAATTACGGCAGCCGAGAGTTGGAAGCGGAAGCCATTTGTAATTTTCAATTTTGTAATATTCTAATCCATTCTTACTAGTGACGTCTGAGAATTGTCAAATATAACTAGTGATGTTTAATCGAACCTTATTAAGTTCATTTGATATTTTATTATATTCAATTTGTACGAAAATATAATTTAATGAATTGAAAAAAACAAAAAAAAAGGAAAAAAAAAAAGAATTTCCTTGTTCTAAGTTTAAAAGAAATTTATAGAAAAAAATACAATGTTTTAAGTTGTGATTTTAATTAATATAAAACGTGAAATTGGGGAACAGGCATGTAATCACAAATCGCTTAATTGCCATAAGGCCGCCCGTTACACTCCATACTTTATAAATATTATTATTATTTTTTAGTTCATTGTATTTGTGCGCGTGTGTTGTGTAAAAAGTATAAAAAAATAAAATAAATAATCAAATACTCCACTTATAACATTGGATTATATCATAATAATGTGATCAATATTTGTCTAAATTACTCTGTGATATTGTTTCGATGTTTATTTACTCTGTCTCTATATAGTCTGTGCAGTGACTGATTCCTCTACAAAGTTCAATTTCAATTACAGATTTTAAGTCATTTTTTATTCTTCACTCATCACTGACTGGGCGTTGTAAAATAAAAATAAGAATGTGTTATTATTTTTACAAGTTTTCCTCAACAATTTTACATAGCTCCTAAGTTGTATGTTACCGTGTAAAGGATTTCTAGTTCATAAAATGCAGTAAAATATTTTTTTTCGGCTGGAAATTTTGTGATTGATTTTCGGTAAAGGTTGAGGTTTTTCTAAAACTAGTGATGCCGGAGCAAAGTAATGATTATCGGGTCGTAGTTTTTGGTGCGGGTGGTGTTGGAAAAAGTTCACTTGTGCTGCGGTTTGTGAAGGGTACATTCCGGGAGTCATATATACCGACGATCGAAGACACTTATAGACAGGTATTTCAATAGGTTTAATATTTAATAAGTTCGGAAAATACGGCTATCAATATTGAAAAAATCTATAATTTGAAAACTATATATAGTGAATACTAAATACTGTAGCCAACAATACTGGAATATCACATAAAATTTGGTATCATTTGCTTACATTTTACAAACTATGTTATAAATCATATAAAATTTAAAGTGTTGTATTTTAATAATTGCGCAAAGTAAAAAAGTTTTGACGTCTCAAGTTTCAAATAAACCTGATATATTTGCAAAGATCATAAAGTTTATTAAGTAGTTATTTCTTTGTGGGACCTTGTAAGTTATTACAGCATCATTCAAGTTACAGTCTAATAATTTCTTTACTTTAAAAATGCTCTTTTCAAACTTATATCTACTAAAAAAATCTTTATTTGAAAACACTCATGAAATCTTTTTAATTCATAGTATTAAATTCATTAGACTTTAATAAAAAAAAAATTGATAAAGTATAAATTATAGGAAAAACACCAATTACCTGTAATCTTCAGTTTATTTATTCTCGTATTTCATCACATTATGACTTATATATTATTTTATTGTTTTAGGTTATAAGTAGCAACAAAACAATATGCACACTACAAATAACGGACACCACAGGTTCTCACCAATTTCCGGCTATGCAACGACTGTCTATAAGCAAGGTATGCAATGTTTTAAATATTATAGACGGGCAACGTTTTTGAGCTTGTATATTTGGCACAATTTTGTCAGTATTCTCCTATAATAAAAATACCTTAACCATTAGGTTATTTTGTATGTGGAGCAGATAAATCTAGTATTAATAAAAGGTTTTTTATATTCACAATTCAAAAGTAATTCTTGACAATTGTACTATATTAAAAATGTTTCTTTTACTCTTTTAGTAGTGCATGAATGAAGTGCCCTATTTCACTATGAATGTTGCAGTGAATAAGTTAAATATGACATTTAAATAAATTATATGTATTCATCTATGTATGTCGAGCTGATTTTGGATATATCTGAATATATAAATTTTATCTGATTTACCCTAGTATATTTTAACTTACAGGGCCATGCATTCATACTTGTATATTCAGTAAGCAGTCGGCAGTCACTGGAGGAACTGAAACCCATTTGGCAAACAATAAGGGAAATAAAAGGGGCAGACCTGCCCAATATTCCAGTTATGCTAGCGGGTAACAAGTGTGACGAAAGTCCTGAAATACGAGAAGTATCTGCTGCGGAGGGCCAAGCTCAAGCCCAGGAATGGGGTGTGTCTTTTATGGAGACATCAGCAAAAACCAACCACAACGTCACCCAGCTGTTTCAGGTATGATTGCAATTCAATAGTTTAGTATATAAAGCTGTTAACTTTTTTTTTTTTTTAATCTGCAATCAGTGGCAAGACTATAAGCGGATGGTTTGAAAGAGAATAACGTTTAGGCGTCGAGACCACTGACTCGACTGCCTTCCTAGAACACATCCTTCCTTTTCAGCCTTTTCGTTGCTACAGAAGGTTTTAGGAGATCATTGGCCAAGGAATTTGGGTGAACCAAAAGCCAATCGGCATTTTTTTTTTTGAACGTATCATTTTCAGACTGAATAGTGGGAACGCAAAAATACTCGTGGATCTCGTCTCGCTAGACAGTTATTATTTTAGTATTACAGTCATGAGGTAGGTAGTGGAGTGCGACAGTCATTTTCGACTGCAACATTGCCCGGGCTAGACGAACCACAACGAAAACTCGCATGGCTCCACCTCTAGCCTGTACGTCAGCATAACTAGAGGTAGCGAGGACGTGTATGGTCGGACTGGATGATGCGCGCCAGTAGCCCAGTGCCGCACACCTGGACGTACGCTATTGGCTCTATATCAGCATTTTATAGATGCATATCGCCTAGAAAAAATATACACCACCGAGGCCTGACATCACCTTCCCCCCCCCCAATACAATTTCGATAATAACAATATAGTATTCTTCTGTATACTTACAGGAGTTGCTTAACATGGAAAAGAATAGAAATGTCTCCCTACAAGTCGACGGAAAAGGAAAAAAGAAAAAGGAAAAGAATGTCAAAGATGGCGGAGAGGGGTCAGCAAGCGGAAGAGAGAAATGCCTACTTATGTAGTTATATCAAATTTTTTTCGAAGTAATATCAGAAGCGACATAATGTGATATAATGTCTATTTTTAATAGATTCTTTGAAAGGTTGGAAACTTTTTAAGGCTCTTGACAATTAATTTTATATTACATAATGTTGCTAAGTGACATGTTTCGTTCTAGTCATTTGAATTTATATTTATTGTTTAGTTAAGTAATAGTGACGAAGTTGCATTTAAGTAAGTATTATCATTATGCCTATTACATTAGTATATTCTATATTTTGCTAATACTAAAATAACCTTATTTACACTAGTTACATACGAAGTATATTGACTGATACGCTAAAGTCGCGAAGTTATTCAGTACGTTAGTGTGAAAATACAACGAAATGAAGTCTCTAGGACTACTGTTACTGTAATATGTATGCTGACGAGTTATTAAGGCATTATACTGGTGAACATTCAGGACCTGACATAAGGAATACCGAACCAGAATAAAAAGGGGGAGTAAATGTGTTAGGCTGTTATGCCAGTCGCATTCCACCTTATCTCTAGACGGTGTCTACAAAAATCACAATGGTCCCTCAATAACTATGTTATTGTCGTATTGAAAAACAGCATGTAAGAAGTATTTTTTCATCGTGATTAAATTATTCTCAATATTAATGTGTGCTTTGGTTACTGCAAAATTTGTAAGAAAAGAATTCATTTGAATTTTGACAGTGCTATTAGATCATAAAATATTCCAATGACAGGTCTTGGATGAGCCATTATGAATAGCAGACTTAGGCCACTGGTCGGTGAAGTAACCTATAATGTTTTTAACATCAGATTTTGAACTCTAATAATTATCAATTCTTTCATAGAGAGCTTGATAGTCGGTCAGCTTCGATAGTTTGTTGAGAATCGATAGTTAAAATTACGAGATTGTTTTTATCGATCGTTCCTGTGTGACCCTTATTACTTAGCTTGTATCTTTATCAACGAAAGCGAAGACGATAATTATGTTTAATGTCATTGTGAGAGAAATTACTTACATGTGCCAAAACTGATGAAATCCTAAAAAGCACCTTTTTGTTCTACTTAAGGTTTTTGTCTATAGTTAAAAATCCGTTTAAAATAGTAAGTGTATTAAATAAAACAGGTTTAAAGGTTTTGTGGCACGATGGACTACAGTGGTCCATCTTAAAGTGAAAGTCATATCTGCTACGGTAGCGCCATCTGTTTCGTTTAGATTACAATTTGTAGAAAAAGCTGGGTCATTACAGAATTGAGGCAAGATATTCTTTTTGTTTGAAGATGTGAGGTTTTGGGGATTTAGTGTTTTGAATAGGTATTTGGGATCTTTAGACCGTCCTCCCTATTGAACCGTTAAATATGTTTTATTTAATGTCAATCGCTCGAGTAAACTACAGACAATACTTACATTACCTTATCATGAGTTTCTTAAAGTATTCGTTGCTATCGTTGGCGTTGAATATATGAAAAATGTACAGTTTATCAAGGTGCCAAAAATAGTATGCACGAAAACTAGCTCTAGCTGCTCTGTAAGTTTATTTGTACAAGAATTTAACGTCAACACTAGACGAGTAGCGAGCAATACTTTACCAAACTTACAGTTAACTACTGCAGTTTATAGTCGAGATATGACGTCATGGGGAAAATGCATGGAAAATCGAATCGAACTTCTACTGTGGAGTCGAATATGGAAATTATTTAATTTCTTGATACATTCGCCTCTCGCGCAGTAGCTCAATTTGGTTGGAGCACGGAACGCTATGGATGGTGATTCAAGTCTCGCCTGAGTCATCGATTATATTCAATTTAAATATATTTTTTTTATATAAATATGTCTCGCTGAGTAAAAATGTTCGAGTCAGGCATAAAAAATTATCGGAGTGGGATATGTCAGGTTATTTTCATTACGGAATTTCTCGATTCGGTCTCCACTCTCGATGCCCGCGATAGAAGCTATGCAATAGCTTAAAAAATATTTTAAAATACCAACGAATAACGAACAACGTGAAATTGTTGAAGTATCATGCGTTTTCCCCTACTATTGTCTTAATCGAAACTATCACTCAATCAAACAGGCCTCATCTCACAATGACAATCTATCTTTAATGTAATTTTTTGTACTATTTATCAAACAATTACAAATTTAGTGAATAATATAATCGTAGCGATCGCTAGTCATTAGTGCACTTTATTTAAATATCGTTCACTAACATATCTAATTAGAGTTGTCCATAGTTACAATTTTATGTAGTCGGCCGATCACTACTGTGTATGGCGATAGTAGTGAGGTATACTTTAGAGCCTAGAATTATGAGGCCGTAGCTGTGCTATGCTGCCGAAGTGGACGGCACAAACGCTTCGGATCTTTGTTTGCGGGCATTATCTGAATATGCATTTGGTAATTGTCCATTTAGTTCCTTAAGTGTTATTAGATTAATCAGTGCAGCATGGCGATTCCCACTGATTTTATTATTACTTGGGCACATGTTATATTTAAGATTATACACATTGAAGGACAAAACATTGTTACATTATATTGTTGTAACTGGACCAATGTTGTTTAAAGTTGTTTGGTGTTTTTCTATTATTGTAGATGTATTTGTTCGACGTGTATGTTTGTCGATTTCTCGTCTGTTTCTACTGTCCCGCCTGTGCTATAATCTATTTATCTTAACAAATTTAGAGGTGTAGCTTAGTGGGTAGCATTATTCGCACTTTATTACATACATCAATAAAGTTCCTCATATAATTCGTTAAGTTACCGCCATATAAAAGTGAAGGTAGTTCTGACGGCTAACTACCCTCCTAATAATTATAATGTGATCTCATTTCTAGTCAAGTTGATAAGTTTTGAAAGTTACACCTCTAGATAATGCTGCAATGTTAAAATCCTTCTACTATTACCTATTCTATATATTGGATTTTCTACAATTTAAAATATGATCAATTCTAAATAATATTCCGTATTTTAAGAACTGTTCAATTATGCTTATGCCGAGTTCGCATCTAATACGCCTATACATATATTTTCTGTATTCAGAAGTCTACAGGTAGTGTAGTCAATGAGTGAGCTTAGAATCTTATTTTCATGGATATGTCGTTAAGTTTCGTTAACCTCGGGGCCATTATCCATGAAAATAAGAATGATTCAAGAATATCTTACAAATAATATATTAACTAAAACTTCTTTAAGGTGCAGAATAACGAATATGGCAATAATATTGAAATAGTTTCAATCATAGAGGTCGGTTTTGTCTAAATTTTTAGTAGTGAATTGATTTAGTATAGATCAATGTATAGGGAACGTTACCACCCAATGTATAGTTAACAAAACGCTTAATGTGTAATATTTTCCCCTCTAGCCACGATGTTACTACTCCTTAAATACAATATTAAATTATTACACAAGTACCTTTGGAGGTAAGATTTATCTTTTGTACTGTTGTTCTTCGATTTCCGAACTTTGCACTAAATATGATTTCGTAGCGTGCTTCTATTTGAGGTGTCCTCTCTTTGCCTCGAATGTTTATTGCCCTTTGTATAGAACTAGTTAATATTTCGGTAGACTCTTAGACGTAGAGTAGGTGGACGTAGGCACCTCCGGGACACAGTTGAAGCTTGAATAAAGACGCGGGTACTTGATGGGTTACGTGATGTTATCAGGTAGGCGATGTTCGTAAAAAAGAATAATGTTTTTGTAGCTTATAGCCTTATGGCAATTTCTTCCAGGCAACCTTTGCAAGTAGACAAACAAACAGGATTTCAGTAAAGGACTAAAGGCAACAAGGAAAAGGAGAAAATTATCACTAATGAAAAAAAAAACAGAATGATCCTAAATGTGATCTAATTCTAAAGCCTTGTATACATTTCTATGTGCAAAGCAAGGTTTGAGATAATTTTGATTGAGCAGAGGCTTGAGCAGAAGTTGCTCAAAATTTATCAGTACACATTACACCGATTAGTGAAAAAACAATAAATAGCCATATGTAGACATGGCTAATTTCTATGTATTTTTCACAAATCGTCGCTGAACTTAGTAGTGATATAGTTAGTTTACTGTCTAAAGTCCCACGAAACATCGCCTATTTGTGAATTCGACTCTTCGTTAGTTTGCTCTACGCATTCGGAGTAATGTTAATAATGTTATGTTATTTATTATGAGGTTGCGAATGTTTGTTGACCAATAGCGTAGTTAAGTCGGAACTAAAACTTGCTTGACACTCCGATACTGTCGTATCATTGTAAGAAATAATGCTTCTCGTATCAGAACCGAATATTTCAATTAACTATAAATATTTTTTAATTTATCTTATAACACTTTCTCACTAAGGCATCACAGAAATAAAATATTCAAGATTATTTGTTTCTTTATTTACAAATTATATCATGATAAATAACACCAACCTGTTAAAGAAAGCTAAATTAAGCTTGTTACTATCACAGTTTTAAAAAATCACTTAGAATATACACATTAAATTGTCACTTGGCTTTGACGACATTTGACTAAAGATGGCACGAGAACCCTCGAATAATCCAAAAAGTTTATGATCCTTCTTCATGATGCATCACCGCTTCCACCGTGCTTTCTCTTGAAGACGATTTGTCTTTTCTCTTCATTAAAACTGGACTTAGCATTAGGGAGTCTTCCAGTGCTGGACGATCTCTTCATACCTGTACCCTGACTAACATTTGATATAGCTGAAGTAGTATTATTATTAGACTGTGAAACCGTCAAAGCTTTGGAGCATACATCTAAGAACCTGTTTAGAGTTTCAACAGTTATCCTATCGCCTTGGTTACCCTGTTCAACAACGGGTGGACCTGGATTTCCAACATTTCTTTGACGCGGATTCAATGCAATATTCAGTATATAAAATAAATTTAACTGAAATGGGATGTTGAGGATGTAATTGAATACAACAGCGACTAGCAACATTATTAGCAGGGCGTTAAATAGTAACACTAATGTGCATCGTGCTATTGTGTTGAAGGGGTACATCAGATCAGCTGTAACAAAAGAAATCCATTAATGAATGTTTTTAGGAGTAAAATCTTAGGAAATTTAGCTGGAAAGGATGGATTGGAAAAAGGAAATTTAACTTAATGAAACTCTAACAAGAGTCTAAGTCAAATTCGTCTTCCATGTAATTACCTGTTATGTTATGTAACATCGAGTTAACAACTGCACTAATCGTTATCATGGGTTCAGATATAAGAGTTGTGAACATTCTTATCGCTATCTTTAGCGGGTTCATATGCTTCAACATTATTAGTGGATCCGGTGGAGCTACTTCACACTCTGATGTCCAAAAATGCCATTTGCATGCATTTATAGCTGATAGAAATCTATTTACTTCATCTTTTTCAGCTTCCTAAACACAAAGTTTAATCATTTCTTACAATATAAAGGGGGAGATAAAATTATGTAATATAAATAAGCAATCTTCTTTTAAACAGATCAACAATATACTTAATAAATAATTATCAAAACTTTATGTAAATTAATTTCACTCTCTAATAATAAAGCACAGTTGTACCTACCTTGTAAGAAACAAACACTTCATACATATACAATGCTATGGCAATCAGTATGATTATATGATTATAGGAAATATAGTGCCAAAGCCAGAATGTGGCTGTCACAAATGCAGCTACACCAAGGCTCCATGTTATATAATCCTGCAATTAATTTGATTTTAATTAGGTTTTACATGTTATTTGAAATAAGGTATATTGATATTATTAGACTAATCTCATGAAAAATTATTTTTGTGTTGGTAGGGCCATTTATCAAAGAAGGTTTTAGCCTTTAAACACCCGGCTTTGACAAATAAGAGTGAAGACACCAAGGGTAACAGGGAAAAAGAAGATTTAACTACTTCCATAGTATAGTATACATTCATAGAATCGATTTTCATTCTAAATTAGACAGATCATACCTTATACTCCACAAAATATGTATAGACATATTCACTCCAAGCCATGGCTATTTTTTCAGTGATAGTAGGTTTGTATATAGAATCTCCTATATATTGCACAGATCTTCTAAACATATCTTCGGATAAGGCATTGTCGGATTTTATATATTCTTCAAGAACTCTCATCTGTTCTTGACTATATCTCATTTGCAAGGATATCTCAATAGACTTGTCTTCATTTTCCTGTAATTATTTTTAAATTTTACATAATGTGTTGCAAATGCATACTTTAGTTATGTACATTACTTTTAGAACTTTAATGAACTAAATAATTCCGGATCATAAACACAACAGTCAATTAAAATTTATTGTGTAGATATTTTTAGAGATTAACACGATTGTTAAGAACCTTGTTTTGTCCTCCTTTTAAAATAATCGCCAATAAACGTTTATAGAACCAGTCACTCATACCATGACTTTTTTCAGTTTTAACTTTGATTACTTCTTTAGGCATTCTTAGATCAAACGGCAAGTCGTCATCATTTAAAACATTTTTTTCTGCCTTTCCATCATCCCACGGGTCAGGGCCCATTTGAGTATAACAATAAAACGGTTGAATAAATAATAAACATAATAACATTATTGTTCTAAACATGTTGTGTTGTCTAGAAACAGCTGTCTGATACCGTAAACAACAATTATATTGTGACAATACTTATTTCTATTAACTACTAACTTATAATTATTTGATCAAACTTAAAAATATATTATACATTTCTATTTGAATAACGTCCAAGTTTTAAACAGTTTAAAAGCTGAAGAACTCATATTTTGACAACTGACATCTAGCAACAGCGTGTGTAATGTCAGGTTTTTGTCAAGTATAAAAATAGCATAGTCTGTAAGGTTTATATCAACTGACAACTCGTCAAATAAACAAAACAATTGAATATAAATCTATTCTATATTGCATTTAAGTTATCTGACTTAGAGAGAGAATATTTGTTCAATATGTCTTCAATAGATTTTGATCCGTCTATCAAACTATGTCTCAAATACTTACACTCGAGTGCGTCTGATTCTACTGAACAATTACGATTAACCTTAGACGATACCATCCGGCAAACTTACGGAAGCTCAAAAACTCTTGGCAATACTTTACCGAAAAAGTATATCAACGAGGAAAAGACTTCATCACCGTCTCGGTCCAAACATAAGAGCGATAAGGTTTCAAGTAGCGCCAAAACTATTCCTATTCCGCAGCAGAGTCCGCAGCAAATACAAATTCCTGAGAGGGAAGGTGATGTTATGGATGATGGGGAGTTAGCTTTCGATCTGCTACAAGAAGATCTTACCTGTGTGGTGTGTCGGCAAATAGCAGTACAGGCAGGAAACCGTTTGGTAGAATGCGATGCTTGTCATGCTTTGTACCATCAGGTGAGCTTCTTTCCGCCACTTGTCTTGCTGTAGCAATGTTCAACGAATACAACGCAACGTAACATTTGTTAAACTTTTTTCTTGTGTTATTTCTTGCAAATACTAGAGGTACTTACAACATTTTACTGTGTTGAAATGTATTGGAGCAGTGTTATTAATATGATTTTCTTCATATCATTATAATAATAACGATGATTTATTAATAAAGAAACTGAACTGTGAACCTATATACCTACCTTTTTTGACACTATTTATGATGTGTTAATTGCTAAATAATGTGCTTGTTTTGCAGGATTGCCATAAGCCTGTTATTAGCGACAATGACATGAGCTTGGGATGGCAATGTTCATCGTGTCTGACATCTCAAGGCTTTCCCTATGGCACCAAAGCAATACCAAAGTCTCCGACTAGAATAACCGAGGCAACAACACCAGTAAAAATAACCACAAGTGGAACAGCATCTTCACCACCATCGAAGGTTGTTACACCCAATATTAACATAATATCAGCTGATAAAAGAATTCAAATAATGAAAAAGAAGGCAGCCAAACAACATGAGAAGAAAAAAAGTAAATGACATAGTCTGCAGTGGTAGTGTAATAGCTACTGATTGTAGGTTAGGTTGTATTGTAATTATAGACTTAAAGGTTAATAAAATAAAAAAAATAAAATGGATGTGTATACTTTTTACTATCACATGTTTATAACTGTTTATTTTTGTTACATTTGAATTGATAAATTACATTTGGTTATTGCTACTACAACATATTAAGGCAGTAAAATAAACTTAGTTAAAAAGGATAATTTGAGAAATGAATTTTTTTAGCAAACGAAAGTTTATTTATATCTATTTACTTATTAATTTTATCTTATAAGATTTCATAGACAGGAAAAGTATTAGGACAATATTCATGTTATATTTTGTAGTTGTTTCAAACTGATTATGTTGAAGACATACCCACACAAGACCTTATCAGCAATAACTACGTGTGATGCAAAACGTTTGTTATTTAATAAAATATCACACGAAAGTTCATTAAAATTTTGGTGATAAGATTCATTTTATATGGTGTAGGAACTATTATTTGAAAAATGTTTAGAAGGGAAATCCCAAAATCTTTTCACCATACGATTGCATAGAGACCACCTCTGTAACCAGTTGGAGAATTCCTGGCTTGGAATCCCAGGGAAAGAATAGATTATTTCAATTAGACAACGCGACAGAACAGGTAAGTTAATAAAACCGATCAATGAAGCGGATTGAGATAATGTGTTCGCCTCATGCCCCACGGGAAAAAACGGTATTTCACTTACGTTTTAATATCACCAAACAGTAATATAATACCTACATAGATAGATTGTTGCTTATCTAAATGAAACATATACACCGGTAGCTTTTGTTTTTCCAACTGTGAGATGTAACCAATGATTAAGAGGGTGGCTCCTGATTGGTCGGATTTCCCGAAGGGGCGGACGGGGATATTTCAGGATGCTGCAAAGGTCTTTTCGAAACTACGCTTTGTGCTATGGAAAATAGAGTATATTTTATTACTTAGCACTTTGCAACACTTCTATAGTAGTAACGCCTTTCGTCTTGTTTCGTGAAAAGCTCTCAGCATCACGATATTAGTTTCAGGGTGTGTTAATGTGGGCGGTTGGGCTTAAACTCTACAGTAGCGTTGAATTTGACGATAATTAAGTAAATTATAGTTTAATTGAATATTTTCTTGGAATGAAAATAAGTGACTAACGTCCGTTATTGTGTTAAGTTTGTACTTAAACAGGTAAGTTTAAAATTATGATTAAAATAAGTAATTACTTTAGCGATTGACACTATTAAATATTTTGGATCAATAAGATTGTCTATGCTTATAAAAGTGGAATTAGTAGTAGTAGTAGTTTATGGTAGAAAAAATTATATTATTTGTTGTAAGTAGATAAAAGACAAATATTTGTATACATATGTACTTAATATGAAAACTTTAATTTTTTTCACATACATACAACATGGTAGCATTATTCATAGTTATCATTTTAATTAAACGGCAGATTGCACATTGTTACTACTAGTAATAGAATATGCAACAATAATAACGATTTGATTAAGAACTTATTATTTATAAGGAAGAATGAACAGCGCAAAAGCCAGGGTACCCAAATGTGCAAGGTGCCGCAACCACGGCTTGATCTCCAGTTTGCGAGGACACAAGAAAGCATGTGCTTATCGGAATTGCCAATGCCCAAAGTGTGGGCTCATCAAGGAACGTCAAAGGATTATGGCAGCTCAGGTGAGTTACGACGAAGCGGCTGCATAGTGCCGTTAGGTATACCTACTGTTAAAAACGAATAACTAAATAGCTATTTCCAAAATGATACCAACACTGTGTTGAATAGTGCTCTGAAATTGAATTATCATACAGATGCTGAAAGTTTACACGCTATCAAACGTTAATTAGACTGATATTGGAGGCCTATATCCGGGCTATTCTGTAAACCAGTGCTACTGAGTATGACAAACATTCAAAAGCACAGCTGAGACCGGTACCGATTGTCATTTCTTATCTTTTTTAATTTACACAGTTTAGTTATAGGTTTAGTTTAAGCCTACTGTAAATATGTTATAATGGAAATAAAAAGTTTTGAATTTGAATTCGAGACGGCTATCCGTTTTTCCCCCGCGACGACGGCTGCTGTAAAGCATCGAAACATCGGGTCTTAGTTAAAAAATATTTAAAGTGTTTTTCTAATTAGCGATTTTTATTTTTCTAGAGTATGAATGATCTAATGGCGTAAAAATCATTTGTTACAACAATTGAATCAGGCAAATAATAAAACAAAGTAAAGTAAAAAGAAACAATTTTCAAATCTCGCGCATATAAATCGTACCGTGGAGTTTTAACTTAGAAACTCTCATTTAGTAACACGAGAATTATTATAAGATATCCAATGATATCAATACCTGCCTTCAGAAATAACACGCGACGAAGGCGTTAATGTGTTTTAATGTAGTGAAATCGAGATCAGCTAATGCGATGCTGGGTTTATTTGAACAAGTGGCATGTGTTTACAGAAAACGCCGGATGAAACATCGATCGGTTTGTTCTGTAATGCATCGGTGTCCTCGCACTTTCGAGATTCGGGAGTGCTCTGAAACAAATTTGTGCTTAAAAATCTAAAATACACGATCCGTAACAGAACCGTATAAACATAAATATACTTTTGTCACAAAACAAGGAACATAATATAACACAAGAAAAATGTTAGAAATTAAGAACAAACGATGGCTATATCTTATTACTAGCTGCGTCAGCGACTTCGTCCGCATGGAATAGTTATCTTGGGTTTATTCTTTGTTCTTTAAAAACCTAGGTATACTTTATATTTATAAATTTGCTTGCTGTTAACCATGACATCAGTCGCGTCCCGTCGTTCTCGTCTAGTCGTTTTTGTAAGTTAATCTTAAAATATAGATGTGTAGTGTCGCGGACTTTTTTCAAGATCATTCAAAGATGAATAATTCTTTCATACATCCTTTTTGAGTATCTTGAACCGTTCTCGCAGTGCACACAAAGGAATCTCTCGACGATGAATAATTTTCCCGGCACATTTTTTGCACATTTCCCTCTGTTTCTTCGCATCTATTGGTCGAAACCTGATGTTTTATTAACGCCTTAATATTCCTCAAAATTTTCAATTCCCTACAATAGTTCCTGAGATTAGCGCGTTCAAACAAAATCTTCAACTTTATAATATTCGTAAAGATAAGTATATTATTTACAAAATAGTTGAGAACAGCGAAAAAGCTTCGCTGTCTCTAAAAGATCAATATTTATTTATTCCAGTAGCGTAGTGTATAATTAAATTTGTAGGGATCAGATTTTGTTTTTGTTATCAATGAGGCGAGCACGTTCGAGTCCCTCGGGTGACCGCAGACCGCTTAACAAACATTGTCTGTTTGTCATTGATTTTCCGATAAATTAATTTACTATATCGAATTACCAATCCTACGCTCCGGAATTGGAATGAATCATGACACAGCGTAAGCGTTGACATTTTGTTAAGGTTTTTTAATACTTTTTGGGAAACCCAGACGTTACGTAAAGCGTTACGGTGCCAATCTTTAGTTTGGGATTTTGAAACAATTGTAAGTGCTTTTATCTTTTTTATAGGATTTTCGATATGGAAGTGTTTATTTCTGATATTAATAAAGGAACGGTTACAGATGATTATTTTTTTAGTGTTAGGAAAGAGTAGTAGTATAATTTTTATCTCAAATAATTTAATTCACATCAAAGTACTGATACAGAAATTATACAACGATATAAGTAAATAAATCAATAGATTACAATTAACATAAAATACCTACTTTATCGTGGAAGGACATGAGCTGTTGCCGCAGCATCACATTCAGTGATGATGATGACTTTGATAATTTAATTAATAATAACAGAATACCAGAGCATAAGAATAATTGGTTTTTATATACAATCACATTTTGTGCCTTTTATGAAATGAGATGCGCCTTTTAGGCTATATGAGACTATTTTAATCCTTTTTAACACAGGTAGCATTGAAGAGACAACAGGCCGCGGAAGATAAAATAGCCCTACACTTAGCGTCAGTTGAAAGTGGAACATCTTTAGAGGCTTTGCCCCCGGGGAGGATTTACGGCATGAGAGTCACGGGACCGTGCCAGAGCCCTGGTCCAGAACCTGACTCCGCGGCTGATGATCACACGGTAAGAGTTTTTATTAAGGAAGAAAAGAAATACTTTTATCAAAAAAAAGATTTAATAAAAATATTTCTGTTATGCGTCATACATTTATAATAGTTATAATTTTGTTAAATAAGAACACAAACACAATATTGTTTCATATTTACGTCGCGTTGAAGTAATTTAACGCCAAAATACTAATTCTTATCACCAAAAATTAACAAAGAAGTCATAAATAAGAACATTATCTATTTGAAAAGGAAAAACAATAACACTCCTATGTTAGTAATTTTTCATAAAATACTATATTTTTCATGTAGTGCACTATATTACCTTAGTTCTTTTTTATATTAATAATACTATTTTTCCAACCCCAACCCGTTGTCGTAACAGAAACAAATAAGCGACGAAATGTTTATATTATACCTAATACAGATTAAAAACTATATTATAATAATTCCTGTATTTGGTCTTAGCCGATTCACATTGACAGCGAAACAAGCGATTCTCAGCCGGATTGTTGTACTTCACCAGATTCTTCGGCGCATACGTCTTTGGGGAATCGACAGTGGTGAGTAGAAAATAATCTCTATTTATTTCTGCCGCTTCTTTCAACCAGGAAGAAACGTCCCTTCCTTTTGTCCTTTTTCGGTGAAGTATCTATGTTTATTATGAGCTAAAACATCTAAACAAAATGCGCTGTCGACCTATTTTTGCTTTGCATATTCGGGAATCCACCGACTAAAACCGAAACGCGAGTAAGCTACACGGCTTTTTTATCTGTGGTCGTGACGCGGACGAAATCTCTATATTCCTACCACCGATTTAATATCTAGATTTCTAGACAAAGTCCACCGTGTTTGTGAAAGATTATAAATTGAAAAATTCCAACATGCTTGGACCCGGTGGGGATTGCGCCCACGACCCGTCAGATATCATTTATTCATGTAGGTAACGTGTATTCTATGTACACGTATGAACGTCACAAAATAATTAAATAATCTAACTTTACATTTACTAAGTTCTCAAATCAAGGGCGTAGAACGAACGAGAAGAACTGGCAATAAACTCGCCGTCCGATGAGGCTGTCGAGATTATCTCTATTAGATAATTAATAATTGATTTATATTTGTAGCGGTACATCAAATGATGCGTGTACCGATAGCGACAACCCTGTAAGCACTGCGGGGTTAGAAATGCTGAAAAAAACTATTTCCTGGCAAGAAAAGGTCGGTTTTGGAGTTAGTTTTAAGACGTTGCAACCATGACCTTCTACGTGCTGTGGAACATTGCAATGCTATTCAGGTGAGTAAATATGTTAACTAATTCTTATAGTAAATTCGGTATACATTAATACGGTTAGTATAAAATAATATGCTTAATGCAAGCACCAGGAAAGAAAGTAATGGGCTATTTTAAGCAGGGATTATCCTACTGTCTGTAGTTCACCCGAGTAGTACACATTTATATAAAGCTTTTTGACGGTTTAAAACGCGAAATATATTTGTTAAACTAATTTAACTATGGCCGCCGTTTCGGATGCTTTGCAGCAACCGTGGTTAGGTAGTTAACTAATATGCTTCTCGTTTTAATCGGTTAACGTGTTTTATTTAAAAAAGATTAATTTAAACAGTTTAAACAGATTAAGTGAAACAATTTTTCGTTTCGTCAAGTGTAATGTTAATAATTAAAAATAAGTTAATCATTTCTTTATTCGTATACTTACATAGGAAATGCAACCGCTGTTCTCATTTATTAGGTCAGATGATTAAAATTACGTATTAATTTATATGTTGCATTACTATGGCACGTATAATACATAGGCAAACAAATGTAACTAAAATATAAAGTCAGCGACCGGCTTTATTCATCTCGAGTGAAGGAAAACTCCTTAATTAAACCAGCTTACACAGACGCAAAATTTCGACGACTTTTTTTACCATGGAGATCTTTTATCTGTTTCAGGGTCCAAAAGACAAACTACCAATCAGTGTACCGAGTTCATTGAACTATGATCTGTCACTACCGAACCCTGATGAATCCAGGTGGTCGGCATTTAGACCGGTGGGCCCACGAGCTCCTTCTCTGATGTCAGCGCTTGTAATGGGCCGCGTTTGTGGTTCAGATTGGCTCGTCCCACTACCAGCTTTACCAGCTCTCTCTGCTCCATTGTTACTACCCCTGCAGCATCCGCACGGCCCACCGCCTCCCTGTAACCCATGTTCACCAGATTGTCGTCAATGCAATAGCCATCATTAACTTTTTTGCCAATAAAAATGTATCGTTTTATCTTTAGTCCGCCCTGAGTCTCTTATATAACTAATTTAATGAATCGGTGTCATATTTGTACTTGAAAAATGTTAATTAAATTGTTTTTGTTAAATCATTATCTGTGGATCTATTAAAGGAAAGGTCTTAAATCTATGTTCTTATTTATTTATCTTTTTTTTACGGTGGAGAGGTCAGACAAGGTTCTCGCGATTCGACTTGTCGGCTTTTTCATCGGCAGATGGTGATTTAAACTAAACGTGACCTGGACGGAGTTTTGATATTCCTACTACCCACTTTATATCCAGATTTTTAGAAAATACAACATTAAGATATAGGTATAAATTGATTAAAAACACATTGGATCTGGTTCGGATCGAATCCACTAAGATCGAAGCCCTTGGAATTTTTATTTGTTTCCTAACAACGTAGGTTTTGTTTGCCCTTTGTAGGGTTTTCTGGGGTCAAACCTTTGTGCAATATATTTAATAATTTAAATTATGCTATTTTATTGTTATTTCTAATACAATTTCATTTATGAATGAATGTACCCAATAAAGTACCTAATGTATAGAATACAATATTTTTATTTCTATATAGTCTGTAACTTATACTACACTTTGACAAAACAGTTAACTAGATTAACAAACAAACAAAATATCCCTGGACGCCCCTGGCTATTACCACAGACGGGAACAGATTGGTGTCAATACCACAAATGAAGACTAAAGTTTATCTGCCCCAATGTTCGTTTGTATTAATCAAGTTTGTGATGATATGACAACATGAGGTTCCAGGACATTTGAGATTCTCGTCAACCTTTAATTGAAAAAATGTATATACCATTTTTTTCCGTTTAAAGGAGTGAGAACACGAGCGATACTCAAACCTACACACGGCGACCTATACGCTTCCATTTGTAGATATACTGACTGAAGTTTAAAAAAGATAATAATTAAATTAATGCTTTAAGCTGAGAAGTGATTTTTTTTAAGGGCGACGTCAATGATTTTTAATTTTATAAATAGTTATACTTTATTCCTTTATTGGTGAAGACTTGTTGTTGTGGGGCATGAGGTAACATATCTTTGTGTCTGTGTCCGTACTGATTGATTTTTTTTTAATAATAGAGGACGACAGACAAGCATGGTTCACTTGTGGTAGGTGATATTGCCAGCCTTTACCATCTAAACAAGGTGTACTGTCGACCTATTTTGGCTTTGGATAATCAAAAGCCCACAGACTAAAACCGAAACGCGATTAAGCTTCACGCCTTCATCTGTGGACGGTGGTTCGTGACCCGAACGGAATTTCTATATTCCCACTACCCATGTAATATTCAGATTTCCAGAACTCAAACATGTTTCAGAAAAATGAGAAACACGTTTTACCTAGTTTACCACTACAAATACAAATACAAATATTCTATTAAAACAATACCCGTTGATTGTTAGCCATACATTGCTACCATTAGACCTGCCAACCCGTTCTGGTTCTTTAATAGCTTATTCATTACTTGTTTTATCGGTATTTAATGACCAATGGACAATAAGGTCGAATTAAATAATTGTAAACTACAAGGGATATACATATATATGTACAACGTTTGTATATATGGTTGCATGTGTGTGAAACCCCGTTTCCCCCTCGTGCGGCATGGGGCGAGATACATTTCTGTGTCCGTTTCACTGATCCGTTGTTTAACAGGCAAGTAGTTTAATAGACTTCTCTGCCCTGCCTGACCGAATCAATTGATTGTTTCCGAGGGATTCGAACCCAGGACCTCCCGCGCTTAACGCAATGCTAGGCAATACGTTTAACCATTTTCTACAGAGGCGATCATATACTTGCATAACCTAATGTAATCTCTTCTATAAGTATACGTTACATATACATAATATTAAATATACGTATTGTTTTTAAATTCAATTGACATTGACTTGGGGTTCATATGGAAATTCAAGTCGATTGTATAATTTAAAACAGAGACATTCATATCGAGTACATAATATCTAAAAGTATGTTTTTGCCCTGCTTTATTTGTACAATTGTGATTATTTACGCAACATGTGACATTTTTTATTTCTTACGGACATTTTTCACCGTCATTTCCGGTCGTCTATATCAAGAGAAGTGTTCATTGGATGATGTTACTACTATATACGGTGAGTTCTTATATGTAAGGTAATAATTTCCTACATAGAAAACTCGATATTGTTTGTAGTTTACGCGAGTAGTACACATTTATATAAAACACTTATCGGTTTCAAACGCGATATATATTAGTTTACTTATTTACTATTTATTTTACTACTGTCTAACGTTACGGATGCTTTGCAGCAGTGTTTTAAACCGTTAAAGGGTTTTATTTAAACTTAATATTAGGTTTAAATTTTGACGCCTATTTGTGGCATACATTACACCAACTAGTTCGTCATTATTTATTTCCGAAGGGTTTTTCAGGACTCTGCACCTTCCAGGATTGTGACATTTTCTTCAGAAGCATCCGGATAGCGAGATTAATTCGGGAAATCGACTTCGCTAGATATCACTTCTACGACCGAGCTCGTATTTATGAACGGAGTAAAGAAGTTGGTATCAAGTCCCTCCAGGGATCTACGATGACCGTGACCTATGAGCCCATACCACTTTTCGCACCGTACAAGATAGACACTAAGGTAAAAAAAAAACACAATCGTCTTTCGCAATATATAATATAGAAAATCTAATGGGACTCGTATTCAATTTAAATTATCTCATATTTTAATAAATAAATTGTTAAATCGTTAAAAGTCGAGAACCTCTTCTCGCTCACATCGGCCGAACAGCCCGAAAGACAATGATATGCTGAACGATGGCCGTGAAAGCCTTACACAATTTATTAATACTTAAACATTTCTCTGTTAATATTTTTAGCTAATTTACTGGGACGATAGATCACTATTCTTTGAACATGAGGTAGTGACATTAATGGATGGAAGAAGAAGATGTCTTTTAATCTCCCGGCAATATGCCATTGGGTCAACTAAAGAGACCACCAAGATTCTACTCAACGGACTTCCTGGATCAGAAACTGTACCAAAATGTCCACCACATATTGAATCTTGGTTAAAAAGCATGTCTATATCAAGTGTTGTACTTAGAAATAAACAATAAATATATGTATTTAATTTTTTTTTCTATACCTATTGCATATAATTTTAAGACGAAATTATTAAATAATAGGTAGAAATCTATTTACAGATACTTAATAATATTAGGACAAAGGTATATTTACAATTAGAGGATGTCATCTACCGCCTAGTTTTATCAAAATAGATTAAGCAATTTAGAGGTGTAGGAGAACAAATGTCCACACTTTTTTCTTATAAATAATTTTATGCTGTTTAATTTTTACTTACTTTTTCATTAGAGAATATAGAATTTCGATTACTTAAAAGTTAAGCATCAATACGATAAAAGCATTATAACAATACTTTGCTTTTTAGAAAAATACTAATCACTTGCAACGCAGGTTTGTCCCACTATGATGTTTATAGACAGTTTTACTTCAACACGTATTAAATAAAAGCATTTTAAATACTGTCTATAGCTTACGCGAGTAGTACACATTTAAATAAAACACTTTAACGGTTTAAAACACGATATATTAGTTAAACTTATTTGAAAATGATTTTTAACTTTGACGGGGGGAGACGGAGTCACCCCTTGACCACGGCTGCTGCAAAGCACCCGAAACGTGAGGCCGAACTTAACTAATATACCGCGTTTTAAACCGTTAAAGTGTTTTATTTAAATAAGCACTTTAACGATTTAAAACTCGAAATATATTAAATAAAAAATGTTTAAACTTCCGTGTCCAAAACTTTTGTAACGCATGAAGCTCAAGACATGGCCTAATGGCCATGTCTTGAGCTTGTCATGTGATGTAATCATCACAACGGGTAAATTTTAATTAAACAACTCAGCAAGCTCCTTTATGTCAGATTATGTTAGCAAGGTGCTTTGTTGGTTGAACGTATACGCAAAGAATGCGCAAGAGTACGTCAGAATTCCGATGTAACTAACTTCGCGCCTATGTAACCGGTTCAATGACATCATGACATAAATTATACTATCGTGTACTCATAATCGCTAACGTCAGTCGATTCAGATTTGTTCGTCGTACCGCACTTATTAAAATGTTTTGTGTTATTGTCAGTATAATTGCATTAGCGTATATGTTTTGGGATGTTAACTACTTCATACGGGTCGCTTTCACTATCGCAGTTGGAAGACTGTTCAAGAAGAAGAGCAGCATAAAGGACTGTACAACTATTTATGGTAAGTTTGCTGTGACTAAATTGTATCGTAAGCATTTCGTCAAACAGGGTTTTGGATTCGAATTCCCGAATGAATGGTTTCGGCCAGGGAGGGTACAGTTCTGAACCACTTTCGAGTGCTAGAATCGCTCAGTAAATTGTTTGCAGAGATTACAAGAGAGAAACGTAATGTCACAGATACTTTCTTTATGTAACCGAGGTGGACTTACCAGCTTAGCATAGCAAAATGACCCTAAAACTTGCAATCAAGATGCGCAAGCGACTTATTATAGTTTTAAACGTTTGGAAATCTACAGAATGCAAATTTTTCACTTTTTCTACCTGTAGACCACAGTCTACAGATGGAGAGGAGGTGGAGATACAGATATCTCTACCATCCATTTAATATCCACATTTGAACCAGGTAGTGGTTAATAAACTTTGCTTCCACCAACTTTAAAATGCTGTTAATAAAATATGTGCATATAAAATACTAATAGCGAATTTACACTAATTTACTATTAACATCGTGTTCGTTTATTGGTGTTTTCCTATTAAAACGTAATTAACTAAGTATGTAAGTGATTAAAAGTCAAGGTTTTCACACAGATTTTCAATTTTAAGTACCTTATTTAGGTATTTAAGCAATCGATAGCTATTTATTTGAATATTAAATAATAATATTCAACGTCAAGAGTCTTTGAATAGAAACTATAGGTATATTATGCATCGTAAATTATTTACAAAGAAATATATTCCAGCGAGTATCGTGGTGCATTTATAATCTCTATATTGTAAAGTTTTGGTTTTTGCAACGTATTGAATTTGTAAACACGCGGAGTTTGATTTTTTTAATGAAAATTTTATTACCTGTTCAATAACAAAACATGTCCATGAATACATAATCGAAAGTTAAAATCTCCTCTTAAAACCAGTTTTTTAACGAAAGGTAGTTTACAGTTAACATCAAAATATGTTTACTAGATTTTGAGTTTTATTGAATTTCTGGCTGATTCGGCAAAATTCGTTGTTTAACAACAAAACAAGCAAGCAAGATAAATATGTTGATACTACTCTAAGAAATAATTAGTAATAATGCATTAATTTCGAGCAAAATTTATTACCATAAAAACCGTTCTTGAAAGTTAATCACAAGGTATAGACATATACTCTCAGAAGATTTTTTTACTAATTTAAAGAGGAATCAATCTCTCACACATATTTTTTGGTTTCTTAAATCGTTTTCGCAGCGCACTTAACGGAAGCCCCTAAGCATAATTCATTCTCATTCTTTCCTTCATTCCTCGGTTTTTCTTCTGTTTCTTTGACTAACTAAACGTAATCTAACCAAAAATTATCGAGGAAGGCTTCACCAACCAATAGGTCTATTTATCACAAAAATAATATTTCAATTCGTACAAGTAGTTCCTGAGATGAGCGCGTTTAAACAAATCCTTTAACTTTATAATATTCATATAGATGAGTTTTAACTAGAGATTTGTCGGTCTACCCATAGCCGAAGCTTGGCTAAAGCAAACTGTTGTGGTCATTAATAGTACATACTTATTTCGCTGTATTCCTATCTTTATCTTTAGTAATTATGATTTGTGCTGTTTTTATTCAAGAAGACTTAGCCTTGAAACATATCATAAATAATTTTACTATTTAAGTATTCATACCTATGATTGTTTATTACATTTAACTTGAAAACTTTATTATTTTTTTACATGTTATTGCACATGAAGGCAATATAAAATTAAATTATCGAAAATAAATTGAAAAAATGTTTGACTCGGGCAGGACTTGAACCGGCATCGTCAGCGTCCCTGCTATTGCTCTACTAATTGTAGGACTCGGTAGCTCAATTGGTAGACCAATAGCACGGAACGCTGACGATGCCGGTTCAAATCCTGCCCGAGTAGATTTTTTTTTTACTTTATTTTCGATTTTTAAATTACATTTAACTTATTATTTTTTTGTATCAAAAAATTGCTGTGTGAGTAATGTTATAAGTGTTGGTGAACTTATAAATAAATATCTCAACATTCCATCTTCCAGGCTTCTGCACAACACAAGACGTGGACATCTTCCTACGACACATGAACAACGCCCGTTATGTACGGGAGTTGGATTTCGCAAGATTCCACTTCTATGATGCTACCGGAATCTATACAAACATAAAGGCGGTTGACGGTCACGTACTGCAAGGAGCGTCTTCGATAAGATACCGAAGGACTATACCTATATTTACTCCATACAAAGTTGAGACAAAGGTAAAAATTATTTTCCATCTTTGTAATGTTAATAGCTTCCAATAGTGTATGCTTGGCTGAGAATATTAATTTTACACTAATTGTCTATTTTGTATTGAATAAACACTTAACTATTGTCCGTACTTAACGCTATTAAAAACACACTTCTAATGGTTTAAAACGCGCAATATATTAGTTCTAACCAGGAGACAAGTTTAGTATCCACGAGGCCATGGTTGCAAGTTTGCAAAGTATTAAATTTGGGTCGTAGTTAGAAATGATTTAACTAATATATTTCACGTTTAAAACTTTAAAACGTAGTAAATGAAAGTAGTTATACAGTTTTATGATTTGTTTCGACATTATAAATATTTTTAATATATATTTTTTATCGGAGAGTAGACCTTATTTAATTAGCCTTCAATGACGTCACATTATACAAAATAAAACGTGAATTAATCACGACCTTCTTTAATTAAAACCGGCGGAAGGTTATTGCAAAATATTAACGTCATAGCCAGCAACGTAACGTGATCAGTTGATTTCGTGGGGTTTAAATATTAGTTAATATAAAAATAAAATAATATAAAAACGTAGCTAATATAGAATTAAATAAAAATAAAAGCTTAATATGAAATATCATTGAGGATAAATGTGAGAATATTTGTGAAATCATTGTCTGATGGATAATTCTTGCACAGGCAAGAATCCGTACCGGTACGACCATCAGTACAGGTACGATCTAATTACAGAATTTGATCGTACCTGTTTTGTGTCTTTGTTTTGTAATAAAATTGGTATCTATTTATCTATCACATCTAAAAATACGTTTTATTATTTCAGTTAGTTTATTGGGAGGACAAAACACTGTACATAGAACAAAAGTTTATCACATTTGACGGCTTCGTTCGCGCTGTCGTGTTGTCCCGTCAAAATCTCATCAATGTTGATGCCAACACGCTGCTGAAAAACGTCCCAGGCGCGGAAAGCAAACCCGAATGTCCAGAAGAAATTAAACATTGGTTAAATGCTATTGAAATTTCAAGCGCAAGATTAAGGAAAAAGGATTAACTTACGTAGAAAAGAATTAATAGGTTATCGGGTGTTTAATTTATATTTTTTATTACAATGGTTTCAGTAATCTGATTGTTTTCTTCGTGTACTCATGAAAATAGCTTTCCAGTAATAATTTACCTAAACTTTGTTTGATGGAGTTTCAAAAGAAAATTCCTTAGCGACATTTTTCTCATATTGTTCGCCTCGTCTCACTGTTGTCTAGACTAAGGCGCTACAAAAGAATTTCCCATTCCTACCAGGCCATACGTTAAGAGTAACATTTAAAACTTCAGGTGTTTGGAATAATATTGCAACATGTAAAAGACCGTACATAGTTAATCCATTTTAGTTACCATGTTTATGTGGGGTTAAAAATGTGTGTTACCAGATGTTAGAAGCGGCATTGGGGATATCCTATTACCATATACTTAGTGCACTGTGGTGCACTGATGAGCAGGTAACGGGATATCCTGTCAGTATAAAATAAAATCACTTGGGGTTAACAGAATAACCTTACAATTCACAATTGAAGAGATAAATTATTAATTAGAATCTCTAAGTTTGATACAAAGTTTCTCCAAGTGTCTAAGTTTAATATAAGTGTGTACTGTTCGCGTAATCTTCAGGGCCGTAGTAAATATAATTTCCAAATAAGTTTAATGTACATCGCGTTTTAAACCGTTAAAGTATTTTATTTAAATCTCCAGGCTCGAAAAGCTTCTATAATAGAGTAAATGCGGGCGAATCTTATATAAGTAATAATTTAAAATCTTGTTCCGTCGTGTCTCACTCAATTGATGTTTGGAAAATATTATTTTGGTTTTTAAGTTTACTACTTAGTATAAAATCAATCGTCTGTTTTCTATACATATACTAAATTATTTCAATTGTAACACTTAGATAATAGAACAGATATAATTCCACATCTGATATTGAAATAACAAAATTAACAACTAATAACACAGCAAGATTATACGTTTGTTTGTATGTGACCGAAGTAAACAAGAAGGACCACACACAGGTTGCTGGATGAAATGGTTTTAGTCCTTTGAAATAAAACACTTTAACGGGTTAAAACGCGATATATTAGTTAAACTTATTTGAAAATGATTTTTAACTTCGGCCCGACGTTTTGGATGCTTAGTTCTTATTAAATTAGTATTATACATATTTTATATGTTTGCTAAACTAATTGCAAATACCTCGGTGGTATAAAGTTATCGTAAAATACCATATGAAAGACGTAGAGATGTGTGTCTCGAAATTAGACATATTTAATAATTTTACGTAACCAGTTTAAGACTAACATGCCCGTCGAAATAGCTATTATAACAAACTCATATTTTAATGTTCCGTATTTAAGTTTACTTGTTTTTTTCGATAAGTATCAAACTATGAAATCCAACAAGGTAAGCCGCGGCGCTTAGCCACCATGTGGGTTCTGTCGCGTAACAATAATAAAATATCCATTAACTGTAGTGCCAGTTTTCTTTAGATAATGTTTGTTTAGTATAATTTTAGAAAGTTGTTCAAATCCAGATAATTAACTGTCGGAGAAATGTGGAAAAAGTTAGAAAAACAGCGGCGTATATGAAGACGCTTTTTTACGTGTTCCGGGGCGCCCAACAAGGGATAAATTTAGCAATTGGTGCCTTGTTTATGTACTTAACATAGTGTTTTTACCTCATCTATACTAATATATAAAGGTAAAGAGTTTGTTTTGTTTATTTAGGCTATAAAACATCGCGCTGTGATTAATAGGAGCGAAGAAACAATGGGAAATGTGTAAAAAACGGGAAATTTACTAATCTTTTTGAGTTCCCGATGCGTATGCTGCAAAATCGCTATCAGATAAGCCAAAATATGCTTGTTTAAATGATGTAAAACAATGTCCGCGACACTATCACTCTTGTTACAAAACAAGGACTAACTCTGAAATTTTGGTTTAAACCTTGGTAAACTTTAACGTCTGTACTGGACTATGGTACTAACTTAGATTCATTTAGACTATGCTTCAAGAGTTAAAGTAAGACTCCGCAGCTCTGGTTTAAACTGGCTTAAGTTTTTTGTAATAGGGCCGTATATCTTTTAATACATAACATTTTTAAACATGAAAAGGAGGTTTGCAATGTTCAAAATAATTATTCTATGCAGACGAAGTCGCTGACACAGCTAGTATAGATATATATTGTTACTACAAAAACTGCTAACCAAGAATAAAGGCCTCGGCCACCCATTGTTTGTTGCGAGGGAAAACGAGGAAGATATAACACAGTAGTACAATTACGCCTCATAAATTTTCTTTGAAGTTTTAAACGGTGGTAAACAATTAGTTATTCACAATGGCTCCTAATTAGGGGCTTCTGTTTATATGAATTCGGACATAACGATGTTGCTTCAGCGTATTAGTGGTATTATCGATGGTTTTTACGGTTATGAAATCGAGTTCCGTATAGCTTTGGACAAAAAGCAAGGCCTTTTTAAAACGTTATTATTTTTTATTGCAGAATAAAAGCGAGGGTGATCTATCTATATTATCTGCTAACTATTTCATACATTTCCCCATTCCTCCAAACACTATAACGGTTTAAAACGTGATATATATTAGTTAAACTTGTTTGAAAATTATTTTGAACTACGGCCCGACATGCTTTGCAGCAGCCGTGGTCATGGGGAGACTAAAGTTGGACGGTGACTCTGATGTCAAAGTAAAAAACTGCTACGCTAGCGCCATCTGTTCCGTCGAAGTTGGTATTTGACGAAAATAGTCGTGTCCTTGTAGAATTGACTAACGGTGCCTTATCGTTTATTTACAAGAATAAAACACTTCAACGGTTTAAAACGCGATGTAAGTATTAGTAAACTTATTAGTAAATTATTTTCGGCAAAGTTCGGATCTTTGATTTTTAAATAAGTTCAACATAATATTCTTTATATGTTAAATGTGTACTACTCGCATAAATTGCAGAGAGTATTTGGCATAAAACAATACAAAAATTCAACAAAGGATCTCCATTATTTTAAAGACAAATTATCGTTTATATTACAGCAATTATGAAAAGAGCGAAGCTTCTATCAAATACATTCTCCTATAAGCTTTTCGTAAATTCACACCTCTTAAGTAGAAATCACTAAAATGTTACTACGAAATTATCTGCAACCATTAGAACTGTTACTACAGATATTACTTGACCGACATCTTATAACATCCCATTGCGTTACAATTATTACTGATGAGGTTATAGAAATTACTTCACCGATTTCCCATCGCTATATTTTACTTCGAGGAAATGAGAGCCTCACAGATTTATTAATGGATGCTTCCGAGGCATCCTGTTCTGATTATATCGTCCGAATACAGGACCCTCGTAGATTTATGGTCGATTTTGATTACGTGTCACACCACGGTCTTATCAGGCGAAGCGATAGGAAAATTATTATACTACCCTCCGATTTACCTGATGAAGAAAATAAAGAACAACTTCTGGATGTACTAAAAATGAGAGAAAGCAACTTCGTAGTTGATATATTACTAGTTGTACCAGTTGATACAAATATTGACTGTCCAGTTTATGATATCGTTACGCATAAGTTTGTAGGTATTGATAGTGATGACCTCATTTATTTGGATAGGTGGAATTCTTGTTCAAGAGCTTTTGACAAGGACGGTCGTTTGTTCACCCATGATTTGTCTAATCTCGAAGGCAAACATGTTAAGGTCACGTGCTTTACGTATACACCTTATGTTTTATTAGACCTGGATCCTAATATTGTACCTTTAGGTAGAGATGGTGTAGAAGTCCGGTTAATGGAAGAATTTTGCAGGTAGATCAAAAAGAGAAGTGTATAAAGTCTTTTTATGATGCTTTGAAATTCTGTCGTATAATTCAGGTGGGTGAACTGCACAATCGAAATAGTTCGTGATGCCGGTGAAGAATGGGGTACAGTTTACGAAAATTTCACAGGGCTAGGTGTACTTGGGAACCTCGTTGAAGATCGTGCTGACTTCGGTATAAGTAAGTACTTAAGAAATCTATAAGTAATCCAGTTGTATATATTCCATGAGTCGAATGCCTCGTATATTTATGGTAATGACCTTAATTAAAAAAGTTTTTAATTATGCTTTTCAAGCTGCTCTATATTCATGGTATGAGGAATTTCTGTACTTGGACTTCTCCGGCTATGGTGTACGCACTGCCGTGACTTGCATAGCACCATCTCCAAGGTGGTTAATTCCATCAAAAAGGAATTCAATTTTGATATTATTAATTTTATTAAATATAATCAGGGTTATAATCTTTGTTGTTTTTAGATTGCTTGCAAGTTGGTCAATGCCGTTGTTACCTTTTAGTCTATATATGTGGATTGGACTAATGTTTACATTTATCTATGAATCATTTGCTTTATTTGTTGCACAAGGCTTTTCGTTGAGAAAAATCTTTTTGACATCTTTTGGTATTTTGATAACACAGGTGAGCTTCATTATTAGTCGTAGTTGTTAAAAGGTTCTAAGTAGTCAGTTGGATTTTTTAAACTGTTAGTTTTAAAAATTTAGCATTTAAATAATAATTATAGTTTTTACCTCTGTAGTCCTGGTGAATGTACATTTTTGACCTCCGTTTTGATTTCTACAGTCTATATCAGACGCAAGTTTTCAATCGTGGAAAATTCGAAGCGTCGTTGGTTGGATGATGCTGACTGGATTGGTTTTGGACAACGCTTACGGTGGAGGACTAGCGTCGACTTTTACACTGCCAAGATATGAACCTTCTGTAGATACTATTCAGGATCTGGTGGATAGAAAAATGATATGGGGCGCTACACACGACGCTTGGGTGTTCTCATTGACATCGTCAAGAGATGTATATCTAATTTATCTTACTTTATCTATGATCACGTCAGCAATTTTATTATAACTTAAAAGGAGATCACAGCTGTAATTATGAAAATGGTTTTCAGTCATCGTCACTATTTTATAGTTTAAAACGCAAGCATATTTCGGATCCTCTCCAAGTTTGGAGTTTTATTTTGATGTTTTGAGTACTATATAATTATTACTGTGTTACCTTTTTCTTTAGCATTTACTTCAGCAGTTAGTGCGTCAGTTTCATTCCTATGAACCAGAAGAATTAGAAAGCTTGAGTTTTACCAGAAAAATTGCATACGCAATAGAGAGGTTACCGGCTGGTGGGTATTTTTACTTGAAGCTCTTTATATCAATTTTTGTGTCCTAAGTACATGATCTTTGCTTGTGTTATTATTATTAAAGATCGGTCAAGCTTTTAACGCAACCAAACATTTTTGGCATCGTATTTTATAATATGAAGTAGGCAAAACTGTTTTCATGTTTCTTTAAAAAGGATAATATATTATAGGATACTTTGCGATTGGTGATTATATGACTGAAAAGGCAGTCAATGAGTATACGATAATGGTGCAAGACTTCTATTACGAATTATGTGTTGTGATGATGAGAAAAAGTTCACCTTACACACCCAAAATGAACAAACATATCGGACGATTACATGAAAGCGGATTGATGCTGGCTTGGGAAAGAGAGGTTTATGTTTTATTATCTTGTTATGTAATGTATTAGGAAAAGCTAAAAAAAATTGTAATTCTAAAAGATTGGATTGGAGCTAAAGTTTTCTTATAAGTTAATCATATAATAAAATAGTTCTGATTTATTAAACAAACTACAAAAAAATATTTCTAAAAAAAGAAAAAATGGCCTTTGAAACCCTTTGGCTTCTAATATATGTAGAATTAAGCAATAGCAATAAATCTGTAGATAAGCGTTTTTTTTAGATTGCGCTGAGTCTTTTAAATTATCGGGTGCAACGTGAAGTGAAGTTATCTAGAACAACGCGTGATGTTGAAACTATAGAACCAATAAGCTTTCGGTTAGTTATTGTAAGTATTTTTCTTTTTTGAATGTAAGTTCTTCTCATTATTTCTTATTTTGCCTATATAAAGTAAAATTTTTAGGGAGTATTCATTTTATACGGAATTGGCCTTCTTCTTGCAACATCGGCCTTTATCGGTGAAATTATTATAAACAGAAGAAATAACAAGAGACGACAAAACAACACATAAAAAAAATACTTATTTATTTATTTTTACGTACTGATCATTTCTATTATTGTAACAATTGAATGAATAAAACATATTTAGAAAATGAACAATATAATCTTCGTTTGATTTTCCCTCCAAGCGATACTTGACAGCAATATTTAACGTTGTCACGCTTTAAAAATTTTCCAAGGCGTGTAAAATATTAAGAACGAATACGGGTACATTTAAAAACAATAATTAAATAAAAACGGAGTATCGTGTGATATATCGTAATAGTATAGGAATAATAGTATATAATAGTATAATTATTCGTGAATAAACTATTTTTTACCTTCCTAAGTTAAATATTACATTTTTTACTATTAAAATCTGAGTATACCGCGCCCGTAACGCAGCGTAATTTGAGTTTTATAATCTGGCAACATGGTACCCAGTGCAGCCAACCTACGCAACGCAATATGTCAATGTTGGTACGCATGAATGACGGGGCGGCGCGAAAATCGATCGATACTGTAACTTGTTGAGAGCGCTTCGTTCGGTGAATGCGTTGCAGTTCGCTTATTAACATAAATAATGTGATTTATCCAAAATATATTCTAAACAATCTTGTGAGAGTAATTGTTGCAAAATGTCGTTATTTAAAATCACGTTCTTGGCTTTTCTGTCTGTCGTTTCGTCGGAGTTCCTTTGGAAACATCACAATAACGAGGAGTTGCAGTTGGTTTTGGAAGAAATTCACGAAAAGTGTCCTAATGTTACTAGAGTTTACGCACTAACTGAGCCATCTGTTAGAAATGTGCCTCTATACGTTATTGAGTTTTCGGACAGCCCCGGATTCCATCAACCTTGTAAGTGGAGCTTTGATTTATTCGTGAAATGACCCTTAAATGGCCACATTTTATTTTTAATATGAATTATTTTTAACATGATTTCATATTAACCAAAAAATTTTATAAAAGTTAGCTTAATTAAAACACTTTAACCGTTTAAAACGCGATATATATATTAGTTAAACTTATTTAAATTATTTTACGTTTCGGATGCTTTGCAGCAGTTGTGGTCATGGGGAGATGGAGGGTGTCTCTGATCGCTGTGAAGTATAAACTGCGATTATATATATCGCGCTTTAAAACGTTAAAGTGTTTTTTTTTATTATTATGTTACTACTCGTGTGAACAGCATTTAAAATTAAGTTATTCTATGTGTAAAAAAAATAACAATACATAAGAACAAAATTATTAAAATACAATTAAAAGAATGCCATTAGATATATGTTTTTTGGATAGAGTGTGTATTAAGTAATTAATTTTAACTTTTAAGTTTAATTTTGCTAAATACTTTTTTCGTCAATTACCAGACAAACCGGAAGTGAAATATGTCGGAAACATTCACGGCAACGAAGTGCTCGGCCGGGAACTATTATTGGGATTAGCTGATTATCTTTGCAATCAATATTTGAATCACGACCGCCGCATTAGAACCCTTATTCACAATACTAGGATTCATTTATTACCAGCTATGAACCCTGATGGCTGGCAATTATCCACAGATACAGTAAGTACCATTTTAATCTATACTGCTAGATGCCCTAAATTTTATATAGGAGAGAGAACGCGCGAAGACCAAACGTTACGTTCCGTTACGTTACTAAATTGGCTAGAATAGCTGACGAGAAACTTTTAAACAAATTTAATAACTCTGGACTAATACTGTTTCTTTCGTCAGTTGAAATATTATTATTCATGTGTTAATTGAAGTTCATGTGTCTCAAACACAAAATAAAATATTTTATATGTTGGTAGTTCACGTTTAGGTTTTGTTTAAAACGCCAACGAAAAAAAAAAAAAAATTTTTTTTTGGGGGGGGAAAAAAAAAAAAAAAAAAAAAACCAAAAAAAAAAAAAAAAAAAAATTTATATTTTTTTTCCCCCCCGCCCCCGGGGGGGGGGGGGGCCCCCAAACGGGGGGGGGGAAGAAAAAAAAATTTTTAAAAAAATTTAAAAAAATGTATCGCGTTTTAAACCGTTAAAGTGTTTTATTATATACCTAACATTTATAAAAGATGTGTGGTCGACTTATTTTGTTTTGGATATTCGGAAATTCTACAGACTGAAACCGTAACTAAAGTTACACTTTTAGGGTGCACAAGATTACCTGATAGGAAGGAATAACAACCACTCCGTGGATTTAAATAGGAACTTCCCAGATTTGGATGCGATTACATTCGAATTTGAACGTCAAGGCATAAGCCATAATAACCATTTGTTGAAGGATCTCACCCGCCTCGCCGCGCCAGTAAGTGTTTTGTTTAGATCTAGAAATATAATGATCTTATTTCTCTATTACAATTTGATCTAGAGTGTATTTTTTCCAAATTGGCAAAAGATCACAACAAATATGGCCGATTTTAAACCATAGAACTAGTGATGGCCTATAGAGTAAAGTTGATGCCACAGATGACACAATGATAAAAGTAATATCTATTATATATGTACCAAACGACCTCAATATTACTTTTTTCTGTTATTTAACTTGTATTAGTGGGACTTCTACCTTCTATTGTCTATCCCATACTTAGGTAATTTGACAAGGATGGGATGTGAGTAAAGTTAGCTAAAAAAATTTTAATCTGTGTATTTATTTATAATAATGTTAGCATGGAAGTTAGTCTCAAAGTGTTTTTAGTGTAAATCCACGTAAACCTAGTAAGTATATCACGATTTCATGTAAATTGTTTGTTTGTTTACAAAAACGCCAAGTTATAAAAAATACATTACATTACATGGGGAATGAGAGTTAACACAGTTGTATGTAGTTAGAACCTGAAACTCGGGCAGTAATGAGATGGATGATGGCGGTGCCTTTCGTGTTGAGCGCTGCCCTTCATGGGGGAGACCTGGTCGCAAACTATCCATACGACGAGAGCCGCAGTGGGGCTCCGGTCTCAGAGTACTCTGCTAGTCCAGATGACGATACTTTCAGGTATTTAGATTGCGGCTTAAGAAGTTTTAAGACGAAATCGTGTACCAAGTTTCTTTTATGTTAGAGAAGGATAGGCAAGCATGTGGCTCATTTGATGGTAGGTGTAATACCTTAGCCATATAAAAACTAAACATGATACGCTGTAATCCTATTTTGGGCTTGGATATTCAGAAATCCACAGACTGAAACCGGAACGCGATAAAACTTGACAGATATTTCATCTGTGGACGATTGTGCTCCCGTTTAATATTCAGACTTCCAGATATAATCCAACATGTTTAAGAAGTGTTATAAATTTGTGGGGATCAAACCCACGATCCTACAATTCAATACTTTATTCGTTTACTAACTTTATATTGGCTTATCTATTCTTTAACTTATAAATATGAATGAAATAATAACTTTATTCTCTTTTGTTCTCGCAAGTATTAGTTTTAAGGTTATTAATATTTGTCTCTATATGTCCTTTGTTTATAAACAGCCTTGATAGTATCAAATTTTGTCTCTATTACAAAAATAGAATAAAATATACGTGTCTTTCAAATACATCTTATAATGAATAACTTTTTTATTTTGCTCTAATTTATTCTACTGGTATAGAGAATATAGCATTGCGGAGTTTACCGTATTTATACATATTAATTAAACTGCGAATCTTTCTGGTAAAAAAACTCAACTAAATATTTAAAAACACCAAATGTAAAAAAAAAACTTTAATAGCAAATATCTATATCTGTATCTATATAATAGGGAACTCGCGATGACATACGCAGAAGCTCACGCAGATATGGCCGACCCCAAACGAACAGGCTGCCCAGTGTCGAACACAGACTCCTCTACCTCCTATAACTTTGGTAAACAGGGAGGCGTCACTAACGGAGCAGCTTGGTACAGCTTGAAAGGAGGTTTGTACCATCAATATGAGTTCCAAGGCTACGTACCAATTTATTCTACTAATCAAGTATATTCGTTATTGGGGAGAGTCAAGAGAATAGTTTTTACTAGGGTAAATTTAAATTGTCTTGTTCTCAAACCATCGATGGTTTGGCATAAAAGGTATTCAAAATTCCTCTACTGTTTATACTAAACTAGCTGATCCGGCGAACGTTATTTCGTCATGAAGTATTTTTTGTTAGTTAATCTTTAAAGACAATCATAGAATTTTTTTTAGATCATTTAAAGGGAAATAATTCTTAGGACATATTTTTTGGGTTCCTCGAACCGTTTTCGCAGCGCGCGCAACGGAAACTCTAAAAGAATAATTTTATCAGCTTTTTCCACATTTCCTACTGCTTCTTCGCTCCTAACCAACACAAAAGAACTTTTCACTTCGAACCAGTAGTACCTGAGATTAGGGCGTTCAAACAAACAAACTGATCGACTTGCGAACGTTTATCTCATGTATGAATTAAGATCCAAGTACCCAGAACAGATAAAATGCTGTAATTTTCATTGAATAAGGCAATTTTCCATTGTTCGTGTCAATCACGTGTTCGACCGTTTTGTAAACAACGAAACCAAACTAGGTTTCCTGAAGCTGGAAAACAATCCATTTGTTTTAGGAATATTCATAACTGTAAAACTAAAATACATTGTGTAACGCCTAAAAGCCCAACGGTAGTTGATGAGTCAATGGTGCATACGCAAATAGCATAAGGATAAATTACGAGATAAAGAAAGGATTTGGGTATTATTTGTATTATGTAAATTCCCTTAACGTTGTCTTTGAAAATAAGTAGTATACCTTTTGCCGTTTATAACTACGACTCAACGTTACAGCAGTCATGGACACTCTCTTAACGGTTTAAAACGCGAAATCTAATCTAATCTCTACTTGAGCTTCTTTCAATAATATTTTATCTATGCCCAACGTTTTGGACATTTGTAGTCACGTATAAGTAAAATAATTCGTAAATAAGTTTGACTAACATTTCGCGTTTAAAGCTATAAAACGGGTTTTATTTAAATTTGTACTAACTCGCGTAGGCTACATATATTACAGTGGTTACACAATAAATAATGAGATCGCATTTTTATTTCAATTAGGTCAAAAATATTTATAGATGATGTTTTCGGAACTTGGACGTTTCTGACGCAAGCTTAGTACAAAGATGTTGGTGTTAATATCGTTACATAGATAAAAAGGCTAAAACCAGAACTCGCATTACTAACAAGCTGTGCCCACGACTTTGTCCGCGTGAAATAGTTATTTTAGTTTACAAACGGCTCAGCTGTTTGATTTTTAACTGTTATCCACCATGTCGTCTGCGTCACGTCTTTCTTACAAGTTAATTTAAAAAGTTCGATATATAATGTAGCAGACATATTTTGAGAGATTTTTTTTATTCATTTTTATTTTTTTACAGGGATTTTATTCGATAATTTAACTCGATAAATGGTCTATCTAATACAAAAACATTCCTTCAATTCAAAGCAGTAGTTCCAGAGATTAGCGCGTTCTAACAAACAGTTCAGCTTATAATATTAGTATGGATTTTTATGCAAAAGAAAACAGTTGTTAATATAAGTTTATTTATATATATGATCACCACTAGTCCTCTTACAGACGCACTGTAGTACCAATAGACAAAGACAACAGTGGAAAGTAAATGGCCAGATTATTATAATTAATACGTCCTTTCTGGACTCGCCTCTTAAGAGCAACGGGCGCTTGTTGATTGTTGTTTCCTTTCGAGAACAGGAAGCATTCATAATAATCGTAATCCTCTGGCATTTACGATTATGTAGTTAGCCATGAGTCGCGAACTGGTTCGTTTATGCTAATTCGTTACTATTGTACGATTCTTTCGAATGTAAATTGAGTTCTTGTTGAACGCATGTTTGAGAAAACAGGTATTTTTAGAGTTAGAAACGTCTCTTCATAATGATATGAATTGTAGTCACTAAAAAATATTTAATGCAGGGACAGTTATGCGAGTAAATTATAGCAAGTAAAGTAGACAATGTAAAGATAAAAGACATTTTGTTGCATGAGTTTAATTGTGTCAAAATTGAATTTGAGACCAAATAAAAGATTAAGGGAAATTCAGTTTATTATATATAACGTGTTGGTTACCAAATACTTCGATAAAAGGATTCTTCTATTCTAGGCATGCAAGACTTCAGTTATCTAGCCACCAACGCATTCGAGGTAACTCTAGAACTGGGCTGCAAGAAGTACCCACCAGCTGAAGAGTTGGAGAGAGAATGGCACAGGAATCGGGAAGCGCTACTCGAGTTTATAAGCAAGGCACACGTCGGGGTGAAGGGTATCGTGAGCGATGACTCCGGTTTCATCCAGAACGCAATTATATCCGTGGTGAATATAACTGGACCAGTGCCAAGACCGATTCGACATGATGTAACTACAGGTAAGACTTATGTTGCGAATTTGAAAGTAAATGGCATATTTATTTATTATTTATTACACAACACATACACACAATTACAATGAACCAAAAAAATATCTATAATCTATGGCGTGTGACGGGCGGTATCTATTAAGCGATCTCTTCCAGGCAACCCTTAAAATTCCCCTTAATATTATAGATGAGCACATATAAGCGTGACGTTCTCTCGATAGAAGGTAAAATACTCCAGTCATATTAAATTACAACAAGATCACCTGTCGACCTATGTTTGTTTTCCAATTATGTAAAATCCATATATTATTATATTATATATTCGTGACTCGGACGGAAATTCACTCATTGTCTAAACTAATATTAGACAATTCATTAGTAGTAGTGAAGTCCCGTATACCGGGTATGGGGCGAGCGCATTTGTGTTTCCGTTTCACCGTTGCGTTTTATTAACAGGCAAGTAGTTGATCAGACTTCTGTGCCCTGCTTCGTCGGAACCAATTTCTGTTTTACCGGGAGTCGAAACCAAGACCTTTCGTACTTAACACAATGATAGGCAACACGTTTAACCATGTAGCTACAGAGGCGTTTTTATTACTTTCGAAGCTAACCGAATTTTAGTGAATATATTATGCGGAAAAAAAATAATTTAATAAATAATTCCTTGTATGCTCACTTTTGTCGTACTAAGTAATAGTAGGAAAATTAAACAAAATATTATGTTTTCGGGAATTCTTGTACTTGATTTTTGACTGATAAGAAAAAATACAGATTAATTATGAACACAAAGTTAGAGTACTAAACTCTTACTCAAAACATTGATGGTTTGGCAAACCAATAAATGAAATTTATTTGGCTTGAACCTCGTAAAACCCACTGCATTCTTACAATCTGGAACATTCAAGATTCTAATAAAAAAATTAATTTGACTTCTATCAGTATTATTATTAGTTAAGATGACTAGCATGCATCAATCATATACTCCTATCTCAACACATCCTGTGCATAGCTCCTAATATAAAACACATTACACATAGTAACACATTATGATTTATTCTGTTACAAAATGTGACACAACACACATAAGTTACTTTTACTTAATGTACTAGATTAAGTTTGATATTAAATTAATTAAGTTTTCTCTTTTAAACAGTCTACTTTATTTTCGTCACACTTTACTCATACAAAAGAACAGTATATCGAATCTTATATTAAGAGCTTATGGCGTTGGATGCAGATATTTTCAGGTTAACTAACTTCTTTAAATTGTTCTTGCTTGTGTATTATTAATTATTATACTAGATGGATTAAATAAAATAAAAAAAATCACCAAATATAATAAAAAGTAACGGTATACTCTCGTCTGAAATATGATTTTTATTGGCTCCTAATAATTAATTATATTTATCCTCCTGTTAAGAATAAAGAAGCATAATATACTAATTAAAAAAATCTTTGTGTTTTTCTCCTGTAATGTCAAAAGGACTAGACTGAGAGTCAACCAATATTGTCTATTATTTCAGCCGCATACGGTGACTACTACCGTCTGCTAACTCCTGGTCATTACGAGGTGACTGCCAGTCATCCAGGATACTTCCCGGTCTCACGAGTGGTTACGGTCCCGCATCACCAGACTGTTGCTAAAATCCTTAACTTCAAATTAGAGGTGAGATATATCAACTTTCAATGTGTGTAAGTTTGAGGTGGAATTTATACAGAAAACATTCTTTACAAATTCTAAATTACGGTTTCTAAGAATAAAATTACAAAAATCAACGATATTTTTTGCAAGTGAATAAAAGGTGTATTAATAGTGGGGTCGATGTAATGAATGGTTCCTTTAAATGTAGATTTCTTTAGCATTTGGCAAACTTTAAAAATCTCTAAAAAATTTCTTCACATTCGATATTTGAGGTCGCTATGGCCAAAGTAGCCTAACTGCAATATTATGACTTGTTTTATTTTTATTGAAATGTGTTGCAACTGTAACATAATTCTCTTCATTTTGCCTAAGTTAATTGCGCATTTTTATTTTCCTCCTTATTGTAGATATTTTTTTTATTAGGCCACTCTGGCTCTAGCAGCCTCAATTCATAAGTAATTCAAGTTGCAATCAAACAATAAATTACTGCATTGTCACGAATTTTATAACGATATTTTGTTTTTACACTCAGCAATACTTGCTTTTCAATTTCCTGCTCAACTTTCATAGTCGACCTTGATCTATAAAGGTAGTCTCAATTACTTGAATACTTTTACACATATGCCGTGACGTCACAGTCTCAATTGGTTGTGACGTCATTACGTATGCAGTTCGGGAGGTTTGGCGTAGGCGGCAAAATTAAAAAAGTTACATGTCCCCGTAGCACAATGGTTAAACTGAGTAACAATGAGTTTTTTTGTTCGGGCGAAGCAGAGTCTGATCTGCTTGTAAATAAAATCGATTAGTGAATACACAGAAATATGTTCTTTTGTTTCGCCCCATTTGGGGCGTGGATGAAAAACCGAGAAAATATAATTTCACTTATATTCACATTTCTGACGTCATTAGATATGTACGCAGGGAGTCTGGGGAGTGGTTTTATCTGTGTAGGCGGAGAAATCGATAGCTCTTATCATGAACGTACTTAATGATTTATTACCTTATAGAATTGCTTTATTGAACAATACGTTAACAAAGAACATTTCAGTGATGTATAACTAATATATTATATTTACGAGTTATTTACAATTATTAAGTGTGTTATTTATTTAGCTTACGTGACTTTGCAAATAATATGCACCTTTCTTAAACAACAAAACAAACTGTATATATATTTGGGACGTGTCGGGTCTTACTAAGTTATTTGACCTATAGTATCACAATTCACACACGAAGCATTCATACAATATAAAAAAATTATACCATATTAATTATTATTTATTTCACACTTAGGTATACAAAAACAGAACAATCTAACAGATAAACTTTGCAGTTTTAAAACTGTTGAGTGCACCGGGCCCGGTCTTATCGCTATACGCGATCTCTTCCAGGCAACACTATACATATATTAAATATTTATTATTATTATTTTGTGTATTTTAATAACAAACATACAAATCAACTATTAGTAACAACGAATCGTAATTATACAAACAGTACTTCTGGTATAACAATTCGAAAGTATTTTTAAAGCTTTCATATAAATGAATGAATCCTAAAATACTTCAATAGTAAATTAAAAATCTATTTTAATTAAAAAAAAAGGGTAGGATTAAAACGGCCTACCTACAGCGTTCCGTGCTGTTGCTCTAACCAATTGAGCTACCGATATGTGACGACGAGAAGTGCTTTTTTTTATATAATGCCATCATGTGTAACGTGAAAAATATTAAAGTTCTCAAAGAGTTCGATTTTAGTCCTCGCTGAATAGTGGGGGTGGTCACTTATATTATTAAATCATTTAAATAGAACACTTTAACGGTTTAAAACGCGATATATTAGTTAAATTTATTTGGAAATGATTTTTAACTTCGCCCGCTTCTTTCCAAATAAGTTAACTAATATATCGCGTTTTAAACCTTAAAGTGTTTTATTTAAATGTTACTACTCGGTAAATATAACAGTATTTTATTAAATATTTTTATTTATAGCGTGACTATTTTATTAAATCATGTTTTATTGCTTGCAGCCGACAACCAGCTGGTTCGACGATTACACTACATTTGGGCTATACCCGTACGGACTGAGGGATGGTCAGCCAAGGATATACAAACGGTCCATATACGAACAGGTCACTAATATGTTTTTAGATAAAAAGGAAACGCCGAAACAATAAAGACATACTCAACGCGTGATATAACGTCACTATGGCTAAAATGATTTTTTCCTTATTAAGCATAACAAATGTAAAATAACATAATTTAAACTGTTTAAAACGCAATATTTATTAGTTAATTGATGGCTTAGCGAGTTCTGAATAGCCTCCGAAACATCGCAGTTTAAAATATTTTTTATCATTTATCGTTATAAACTGCTTTAAACTTATATTTTCCCTATAGTATTAAAGGACAAGAATTTTTAGCTATAGTGACGTCATAAATCGATTGACATTTGAAATTCGAACCAAAATCAAATTCAAGCAACTTTACTTTGAGGTTGTATTTCTGTTATATTAAACTCCGTACAATTATAATACGTACAACTACATATAACATTTATTTCTATCTGAGATAAACCAAAGAGGAGATGGCGCCATAAAGTGACAAATAGGCGAAACTGCATTTGTAGTAGTCTAATGTATTTACAGCGAATAAAACCGGATCAAACCGGTTCATAATGTCGCTTTTTTAACTACTACAAAGACGAAATCGTCACAATCAATAAAACATTTTGTTTTGGTTTACTTAGTTTATTTATATTATTCTTGGACTGCACTGTCTAACTTAGTTACCACGTCTATAATACGGGCGGGACCCGATCCCCCGATCTGTTTGCATTGAGGCTTGACAAATATGTATGATTTAGATTATTTTTTGGCAGTTCTGCATAAAAAAATATATTTCCTGTTATAGTTTAAAAAAAATATTTTAATATTCATAGTTGAATAATGTAGTCTTTGAAAAGTCTTATCTAAAATATATTGTTAAAGCATTTCGTCATTACGAAACGCTTTAATTCCATTGAATTAAAATATGTTTCAGTGAATAAAACACTATATTATTAGTTCTATCGACTAGAAACGATATATTGTGTTATATTTTATTTAAAATAAGTTTTCTTCATCTTTAATATGTATGTATTTATATTGTATTTCTAAAGGTGTCTTATAACCTTCAATATGAAATGCCTACTTTAAAACACTATAGTATTTTATAATGAATGTCTTCTTAGTAAAATGTGTAAAACACGAATAAAAATACCGCGCAATCTTTCTTTTCTTTTATTGCCTAATACCCAAATTCCATTATGTACTTATATAGTTAATTCAAATATCTGTCTCTTCTTTATGCGAGTAGTCCACATTTAAATAAAACACTTAACGATTTAACAACGCCCCCGGTGACCACGGCTGCTGCAAAGTATCCAAAACATCGTAGTGAAAATAAACACAAGTTAACTAATACATTTCGTGTTTTAAACGTTTAAAAGGTGTTTTATTTAAATATATGGTTACACGAAAAGGCAAGTATGAGAATGGTTCAATTTTATCCTGCTCTATAAACAGTTAAACGAGACGAACTGTCCAAAAATTTCTGTATTTAGATATTTGTCAATTCACAGATTAAAACTGGGAATTCCCAATAGCCATTTGACGGCCCTCTCGTGTTTAGGAAATTTACAAAATTATTAAACAAATATTGGACAAGTTGGTTATTAGCCATAAAGTTATTATTATTATTTTCTTTCGGGGACACCTGTGGTAGGACGGGTGATCAGTCCATGTTATCAGCTGACCATTTCACCCATTTCCCCATTTCCTCCTTGTAGAGGCCGCCATAATAGTTACTAGCACTTGTAGCACAGTCAATAAGTAAGTTTAAGTCGTATGTAAAACAAAATGGTTATTATGTCGTTAATCAATCAAGTCAAAAAGACAAAATTAATTAAAGTTTTATGTACCACGCTTTAACAAAAAATATGTGCACTTAAAATACGTAAAGACTAAAATAAAACTGCGACAAAAGGAGTGGCGGCGAGTTTTTTGCCAGTTCTTCTCGTTCGTTGTACGTCCTTGTTTTTAGTTGGTGGAACGTTCATAAGTAACGTTCCACCAACTAAGATATTTTTGAATTTGACTTTAAATACTCGTCAACATTTATGATTATGAGGTAGGTATCATAAATTAAAGAAATTTTGAAAATATATCGTTTATTTTAAAATTAGTAGGTACAATAAACCTTAAATAAAATATAGTTCGGTTCGTTCAAATATTTCGCAAACATTAAGGACGGGAAGGCATTGAGCACAGATAGATATTTTATACAACTCCTACACTATATTAGGATGTATACTCTGTATATCACACGCTTACAATTTTTAGATATATTTATTATTTACATTAAAGATACACCTATGTTTAAATTATGAATTTATTCAGGTTGAAAAAAATTGCCACGGGCGGGACCTGAACCGGCACCCTTATCCGTGCTGCTCTAACCCTCTAACTATATTAGCTACCGTGTCGCTATGGTTGTTTCATAACATCATCGTATTATAGTACAAAAAATATTCACAGTTATTCAAACTGTCAACGTTTAACCATTTATGTTCAAGATAGGTATATAATAATTGGCGGTAGTCGTTAAAGCCCATTAACACGCACTGTACCAGCATGGTGGGTCTAAATTCTCCTTTGAGAAAAAGGCCAGCGTTAGCCCAGGATTATAGACCTTAATAGGGAGAAGCAGCACTCAAGAAAATTTCTTAAGAAAAATCTTTAGAAATGTAATTGGAGCACCATTATAGATACTATCTCGGCTTTTATATTAACATGTATTTGGTTACACCATTATACGAATAACGTTTCTTTTATTACGTATTCTTACATAGAGTTAATAATATTATCATGTTTCAATCTCCAACTACACAAACTAGGTCTCTTTACAAATATCCTAATTTCTTCGATGTAAACTTGACTAAAGGCTGTCAAATACGGGAATGATTTTCAATTCTTTTGAAGCATAGAAATTATGTATATTTGACGTCAGTTTTATTACCTCTAAGGTAACAATGGCACATTAAAATTATTGACAAAATGCTACAGAGTTAATATGCGTTTAAACTTAATACAGGATTCTTAATTTTATATTATTTACAGTGTTACTCTCTTCTTTTACAAAACGAATAAACTTGGTTTTGTTACTTGTGATATTAAAAAAAGGCAATGCTTCGTTTTTGTTTCCTTAAACACTTCCTTATGACATAGTCTATTTCCTACGCAAACATTCAAAGTTTCTAGAAGAGCTTCTTCTATGTGTTTTATATTATACTAGCCATTAGTGTTCGTCAGTGTCTACTGCGGTGCATTCCGGAGTGTCGGCTTCCTGGTCTGGATTGTACTATTGCGTAGTGATCGCTGTTATCAGATACCGATCTAGAAAAAAAACGATCCTTATAATTGCTTTTACTACATTCACTTTGAGTTTTGTTATAATCTAGAATCATTTTGGATTTTCTAATGAACAAAACCAAAACGATGTGTTATCAGACAGGTATTTCACCTTCCATCAAGTCCATGTTTGTTCCTCCTCCTCTGTCATAAGAAAATACTAATTGCATTGTATTTCGTCGTCATTTGTTTCGTCAGTGACTGATGGGATTACAAGCAGTTGTCTAAAACATATATTTCCTTATCAATATGCTTTTATAAATATAATAGCTTGTCGTTACTATTTAATGTAAAAACGAGCTAATAAATCAAACGTACGTCTAGTATTTCTATTTTCGTGTAAATATGCTATATTTTCACACTTTTGTTATTGACAACAAACAACATGAAAACAATAAAAAACTACTTACCGATTGGCTATTAACCATATACAAATAGTGACCATACAAAGCCTAAAAACTTTTAGGATAGTCCAGGAATCTATGTATGGACCAGGAGAGTTCAAGAGGCTAAAGAGGTTTGTTATCATACTAGTAATGAATGGATGTTACCTCGTCGAGTGTATGGTGGATGATGGATAACGAGTCCCATATTGGCTTCCATGCCAGCTGCGGTAAGGATCATAGTCTTCTACAACTGACGGGTCCTTTTCTATTACCTGTGCGTAAATGAACGTGATTTTTAACGCGTGCATACTCAAGGCTATAGACTTCGTGACTTAGGCCTTTCTAAGTTAAACGTTCGTTAAAAGTCTTTGAAACAATGTAAGTCATACCAATCGTAAGTCATCGCTCAAAACTGTTTTTGGTGTACTTTAGAATTTTGCATGGATAAAATTCATTTGTTACTCTGTCCTTATTTTAAAAACTCCTATGAATCTAATATAACTAAAGCCTTGAATATTAAGTATAGTGCGATATGATTACACACATGGTTAGTGACATCACAACTTGAAAACAAACAAGTAATAACAAATTAATCGTGTCTAATTAAGTTACAAATTAATTTAGAAATCTAGTGACAGCAAACAAAGATACATCTTTCGTTACTTACATCAGTTCTTGCGCACGAGCACGTCATAGCTGTGCAGAGGAAGCAGTTGATGAGTAGCATAACCAAGAACATGACTCCGAGGGCTATCGCCAGATATAGAAGCCAAAGAGGATGTACTCCTTCGTCGACGCAAGCTAATGCTGCAACTATTATACATTGGTTTTAGTATTCATATAAAATCCTAACATACTACGTTATGAATTACTATAAGAGACAATCAAAGATTGAATTTATCATGGCTTTTCACTATTGCTTAATCAATAATTTCATTGAATAATTCTGTTAATACCTTCTCTGGTAAATTTTTTTTTTACTGAATATTTATTAGAGAACTTTTTTTTATTTCAAAAGATAATTATACATAATTTGATAGATATATATGCCTTTATAAATTTTATTTTTAAAGATACATAAATATGTAATATTCCGTCTATTGTATTAACATAATGTTTCTCTGTTTTACTTGAAAAAATTCTAATATTTGGTGTAAAATTATTCTATACTCGTGTAATGTGTTCTAATATTTAAAATGTAGTAATCATATTTCATATTTTATATTCTTTTATTGTTCGAGAATTGTTTTTTGTGCAATTCAATAATTGTATAGAATTGTGGATTATTACTTGCACTGTCGTTAGGATCCAGTACAAAAACTCCAGTAGATGCAGTAACAGTGCCTTCTTCATCGTTCGGTTCGGAACCTTCTACAGAGCAGTCTATGGCTGCACACGATACTGTAAATTAATTAATGAAATAATTCAAAATTTTTACAAAGGTATGCAAGTAAGATTGATAGGTAATAAAATATTCTAAGGAGCACGGTGTTTTATTTTCGGAGGACTTTGAAATTATCAAAATTTTGATGGAAGCCGATAAGTAACGAGTATGGATTGACAGGATTAGAGTTCTATTAGCATGAGAATTGTTTAAGTAAGGCATAGTATTAATGAAACTTTTTGCGTATAAATAAAATCGATAGTCGAAAATAAATCAAATACGACTTCGCATTATGTCTCACAGGGTAGAATGGAGTAGGACTTTATTTACCTTTACAAATTCCAATATCACACTGCAGGTTTATCTGTGTTGAGTCTGAAAATCTAAACATTTCTGCTATAGCTATTTCAGCACTATTCGTTGCAGATCTAACCACGAGGGTCTGTTGTTTGACGGGACAGCTGTAAAAGAAACACAATTCTTATTAGATGTAAGGTTCCACAGAGTATTTTCAAAATAAAAAGGTTCGTGACCTTTAATAATAAAAGTTGTATTCAGTTAGAATCATTAATAAAAAATTGTAGATAACGACCCTCTTTTGTCCAGAAGTTCTACGCTAGTGTTGCGCATATTGAAAGCGAAGCAATTCCGCATACGGATCCCATGTGTGCCTGGAAATATGTGTAATATATCAGAAGGTTAAAGTTTGTCAGGCGGAAGTAAGTGATCGATTTGACATACGACTGAATCCTTTATTATTAATCTTCTTTTAATGTTATTTTATTCACTATATCTTTTTTAATTGTATGTATGTAGTCCAAGATTCATATAAACGGAAAACCTTTTTAATTGCGACATAAATAAATATACATTTTAAGACACCTTAATTGCCAAGTACTTGGTAGGTCTAATTATTACAGAATATCTAATTGCACCATGTATATTAAAACGTAATAAATAATGTATATTTTTCAGAATATCGATAATAAAGTACAATAATAGAGTACAAGCGCTAAGCGAACTAGTAGTGTCGTCGTCTTGTGATATGTCTACTTGTACCCGAAGGCTCTCCATAGATAATCTAAATATCAGCCGGTATGTACACAAACATTCAAATAACCCTTAAATTACTATAGAAAGGCAGGACAGGTTGGAATCGTAATTAGTACGAGATATGAACTGACAACTATACGGAGTGTGAAGTTAGCGCGCTTCGATAGCGTCTAGCTTCAGTTCGGTGTGTACAAGATGGATAATAAAGAAGACTTCACCTACACTAAAGTTTGTAAAGTTATTTCAAGTCCCTAATAGGGACTATATGAACTATATGAAAAATATTACCATCAGGTTTGCTCATCTCAGCCCGAAGCACATAAGGCATTCCGAAGCCTGCATTTAACACTTTCCTGCCTTCAGAATTCAAAAGCCGTAATGATACTAATGACGTCTCGTTTCTGTAAGTAAAACATATTATAATTATCTCTACATAATAAGGGAAGATTTGGTTTGAAGAAATCATATATATGTTTACTACTTAAATAAGCATGTTAGTTAAATTGTTAAAAATCGACTTCATACAATAAATTGAAGTGGAATCGAATATAAGTAATCGAAGGAAGCAAAGGAAATATTGGGCAATTAAAGACCTTTTCTACAAGCTAAATAAATACAATTCTGTTTATTTTTCTTGTTTATAATCTTAACCTTTAAGCTTAAATAGCTAAAATTATTACAATAGTCAAACTGTATTCTCTTTATTATAGAGGTGACATTTTTTGTAGCTTCACTGTAGTATAGGTTGTCTCACTTTATTTATTGCTCTTTGTACTAAGCTTCTCAGCTTCATGTATATATAATATTAAAATATAACCAAAACTATGCAGATTAATCACAAATCTACTTTTGTAATTCACGCAAATGAAACCTAGGATCAATGCTTAGCTCCGAGTTACGAGGAAACCTACAGAAACCGATCTAAAATTTTGCTTGTTCATAAAAATTGGTCAGTGAAACAAAGAAATCTGTCTGCCCATGTGTACCATTTTATTTTTGATACTAGTTCTCCGGAGAACTACTAGAACTAGACCTCCTAATAGAACTACTAGAATTTCTACAACTGTGTAATAACAAATATGTTTCTCAAAATTCAAAATTCTCATTTTTGTCAGATCAAAATTAAGACTTCGTTCTTAAAGTTTAAATTAACTTTCTTCGTAAAAACGTATTTTGTAAAAAATAATCTAAAACTTTAAAAAATACTTTAATCAGTTCGGTACTGTTCTTAAGACTTGCACTTATCAAAGTTCATTTTTACATTGCTTACGCTGAGCTAATTGGACTTAATATTGATGATCTGCATTGCAACGACCCGTACCTAAACTGGACCTCGCTCACCTTGCATTTCTGAAGCCGGCCTTGCCGCACGTGATGACATAGAACTTGTCGTCGGCGAGTTCCAGGGTTCTGTGCACACGCACAGCCAGCGGTAATGATCGTTCATCGGTGCGCTGGAAGAGAAAAAGACCTCTTGGAGTTTCAAAATATAATGACAGTTTTTATAAAAGGAGGTTGGTGGGCCGTGAGAGGAAAGGGGTAAGGGGGACGGCGGTCAAAGGGATAAGGAAAATAGGGTACAAAAATAACATTCCAAAGTCAAATTTCTCAGGATTGTATTGTGCTTTTTTAAAACGATTTCATTATGCATATGTATTACTAGCTGTGTCCGCGACTTGGTCCGCGTAGAATAGATAATTTGACAAAGATGAATATTTTTTCAGTTTTTTCCATATTTCCCGCTGTTTCGTCACTCCTATTAGTTATGGCACGATGTTTTAAAGCCATTCCTCAATAAATGTGTTAACCAACACAAAGATAAAATTTCAATTCGAAGAAGTTACAGAGAAACGCGCTAATCGTTTACAAAAAAACTCTTCAGCTTTATATATTAGCATAGACTTGATTTAAACGGTTATTATACAACTTTTATCTTTGATGTCAAAATATATATTAGTTCTGCTTATTAAGACGTGAGGAGCAAAAGTAAACAATCAAAGGACAAGTTATACATGAATTATTATTGTCATGGCTGTTCAAGGCCTTGTAGGTGACTCATTAAAATGCTTATCTGTTTATGATTTACCACGTACCAAACTACGTGAATAGAATTTTTGCGACACTGCATATGCGATAAAAAGATTGATTTCTTGTAACCTAAAGAAAATAAAAAAATTGCAACCATTCGTTTTTCTCTTTCTAGGAGAGTGGAAAAAATGTTCGTTTTTTTATAAAAAATTTTTTCGTAGTTTTTCCTAGGAAGATCCCATGTTCAGTAGAAATCGAAAGCTTTCATATTAACAGGAAAATATTTGATTGTCAATTATTTGAGGTCGTCTGTTACAACTAGGGGTCTAACGACGACATATTGTACAATATAATATGTACAATAATTTTATATGTTCTTGCATATTATGGCCCCATATAAATTAATAATTGAAAAAATTACGACGCAACAGCACGGGACACTGTGGATGAATAATGTTAAAGTTAACAAACCTCTGTATGGGCCTCGATTAATCTAAGGCCAGCCCGCACTTATGATAAATTTTAAGGAATTCAAGATTCTATATACCCCTTTTCACTAAGACAATCCATTAATTTGTTTGGCAATTCAAACAAAGCTCTTTTATCTACTAATAATAACACCAATATATTATCAACAAAAATGTTACATAGAACTTACGTTATTCCAGTAAACTCCACAATAATCTGCCGAACCTTTAACGGCGTTGAGGTTGATGTCGAAACCAAGTGATTCGCTTCCATTCCCCATAGCCATGCAAGCTGGACTCCTGTGAAACAATTACTTGAATAACACACATACAAAGGAAACCTTATCGAATCTTTACGACCATTAGGATTCCAAAAAAATATTCTTCTGTACTATTGCACATTGTTTAGTTCCGAATAACAAAAGTTCGAATCCAAAATTATAAAGAAAATTGTCATAATAGTGATTTAACAGGGGATTTAATTTAAATAAAACACTTTAACGGTTTAAAACGCGATATATTAGTTAAACTTATTTGGAAATGATTTTTACCTTCGGGGGGGTCTCCCCGTGACCACGGCTGCTGCAAAGCATCCGAAACGTCGGGCCGAAGTTAAAAATCATTTTCAAATGAGTTTAACTAATATATCGCGATTTAAACCGTTAAAGTGTTTTATTTAAATGTGTACTACTCGCGTAAACTATAGACAGGGGATTTAATTGTTACGTTGTCTTTTGTAAACTTTAATATTTTTGACACGTTGTATTTGATGGCATTATTTAATTTGAACATCGACTTAAGAATGATATTACTGCGCGAGAGGTGAACGTACGAATAAGTTGAAATAAATCGACGTGTAGGGCATGGTAGCTCAATTGGTTAAAGTAACAGCACGGAGCGTTATGGATGCCGGCTCAAGTCCTGCCCGTGTCGTATTTATTTTTATCAAAAATCGTTTTTCTATTTACGTTGTGTTTTTAAAACATTCGTATACAATTTCTGAAGAACTTCTGCACTTCATGTATCGTACAATAATCAAATTGATTTTATTCCAACTAAACTATGTAAAAAACAATAAATCCCTTCTGTTTCTTAATTTACATATCATTACAATGTTGATTTGAACTTAACTTAAATTGTACGTAGATTATGTTGAACTGGTTGTAGATAGCGATTTAATACTGACCTATGCTCCCGCGCATGTGTCACGCCATGGAACGGTTGACTGAAGTTGATTCTTATGGACATAACTCCGCTCTTACATGTCGCTGTCACTACTGGGGAGAAATCTCCGCTGCTCTCTGTATTCTGAAACACCAGTGATATCCTAATTAGTAAAATCATGTTCATACTTGACTATGGGGCAGACACTTCTTTGTGTCTGACTAGTTCTTACTGCACTCTGCGCGCCCTCTACTATTTTTTAACCTTTGGTTTACCAGACTTCAAACCAACGATCTCTGGTGCTTGATTATCGATTTTTTAGACAAATTAGGTAGCAGGTATATGTATTGAAAAGTTTCGTTACCGTTTCTTGTATAATATAACACATATCTATACGATAATTAAATATTTAGTCGTAACTTCAGTTGCTAATAATTCTTTTGTTTTTAACTTGTGCAGTACAATAAAAAGTATGTTTAGTTATTCGAACTAAAAATACAAAGAAAAAATAACCACACAAAGATTGGGAAATATTGTAACATATTCAAAGGACCAAACAAGCGACACACTTTATATTCTCGAAGAAATATCTCAATAGGCCTCGTCAGCTTTTGTATAGAGGCTGGTACGACTGTAGATGATTTATTTTGTTGCGTGAATTGACCCTTCTCAACTGAAATGTACTTCATATTAAACATGTATAAGTTATTTTTTTCCCCCTTTTTATATTCCTTTTATCTTCTCAGTTTGAATAGCTATTTTCTGTTGAGCGTCTCATGGTCTAGTGGTTAAAATACCTAGGTTCTAATCTGAGAAAAACATGATAATGTTTCAGGTTGGCATAGCATAAGTCTGTTCAAGTAAATATAAGTAAATACTGTCCATAGTTTACGCGAGTAGTACACATTTAAATGATGTTTAAGGTTTAACTAATATATCGTGTTTTAAACCGTTAAAAAGATTAAGTTTAAATAATATATCGCGTTTTAAACCGTTAAAGTGTTTTATTCAATTAAATATAAGTAAATCAATTTTGGAGTGGACGCAAAAATGTGTTCGACCACAATAAAAACGGCTTACATGTAGATTATAACTATTTACTGGCAGACATGAAAACTTTTGTGGTTGGTAGAATTGATCGGGTTTGAACTTAAAGTTTTTGAAGTCTTGAAGTAGCCGTTCAACTTGGATTTCGGATGTCTAAAGCTAAAATAGACCGACAACGCATCGTTTTGATGTTGGTCTCGAGTACTTCACCGTCCACAAGTGAATGTTCTGTCGAGGAGGATGTGTGAGATGCCCATAACCAAGATACGTTAAGTGTTTAGATTTTATATGGCATAGCTGACCCGGCAAACGTTGTTATATAAATAATTTCAGGAGAGGAAAAATGATTATATCACTAAAATGGCTATTAAAAATAAGGGTTGATCGTAGAAGGGTGAAAATTGAGGATTGTATGTATTTTTGTATGTTCTATCATAAAAAAATAGAAATTCAAAATTTTGTCTAAAAAAAAACAAAAAAAATTAGGGCTGGACTACCCCTAACTTTTAGAGATATAAATAATAGATGTTGGCCGATTCTCATAGATACCGGATAAGCACAAAAAAAATCATCAAAATCGGTCAAGCCGTTTCGGAGGAGTATGGCAACGAAAACTGTGACACGAGAATTTTATATATTAGATGAAGTGAAACTCTCATATATAAAACGAAAAAGTACTCGCTGTTTAAGTGAAAAGAGCGCTCGTTGTTAGTAGATTCTTCTAAATTGCAGTTTAAAAAGACACGGCTCTAACGAAATTGCTTTCGCAGAAAGCCTCGGGAGACATGAAATATAAATCTCGTAGCATGTTAGCCGGTTTGTGGCCGGGGGGGTCACGCCCTTAGGGCGACCGGCGCTCACGATTCTATCAACTCGACCTAGTCCGTATCTTACCTTAGCTGTTAACAATCTAAGCTAAGAGGAAACGCTGGTTCGGTAACGTTTTCTCAGTTATTCTGTTACATAATGAGATAAGAATTATCACCGCCATACTTCCTTGAAATACCCGATTTTCCAGTCCAATTTTGATGTTATACGTAATTCGAGTTTTCAGAAATTTCGCTTGAGTTTGCATACCTTTATTTATATCTTGCTATCTAAGATAATTTTTTAACAAAATATTTACCTGGTACTCACTCGAATTTCACAAATTTTTATTTATTGGTTGAGATTAGCCATTGTGTTTTTACGGATTTGATCACAATACTCATATAACGACTATCTATGTGTGACAGTTGTTATAGTTCATTTTGACAGTAACGTGAGGTTTTACTTTAAATGTGTCGAACCTGAATAGGTCGATAGGACATCCTTACTAATATTATAAATGCGAAAGTAACTCTGTCTGTCTGTCTGTTACTCTTTCACGTCAAAAATACTAAACGGATTTTAATGAAATTTGGTACCCAGATGTCTTGAGACCCTGAGACTATTGCGAAAAGTGGCTTGAAAGGGGAAGGGGGGGGGGGGGGTGAAATTTTTTATGGAAATTCTTGGTTTTTGAAGCTAGAACAATGAAACTTTCTTCTTTGGCTTTTTGGGAATAGGAGTGGGAGTGGAGTGGGAGTGGGTGGGAGTAGAGTGGGAGTTAGAGTAGGAGTGATGTCAAGTTTGAGTGTTGCAGCAAAGTAGCACTTACAACATAGATTGGCTGCGGTAAATGCGCAATTACATAAATTAATAAACAGCCTAAAAAATTAAAAATTCTACCCCAAGTCATTATCCCACGCCAACGAAGTCACGGGCACAGCTAGTCTTGTATATAAATGGGAAATATTGCCCTCCATCAAGTATCCATTTGTTGTCCTTATATATTATACTTGTATATGTACATATTCTAACACTAGTTGGCTTAGAGCATTGGAAATTCACACACAACCGAAACGCGATTAAATTTCACGGCTATTCTGTGGACAGTGGTTCGTGACCCTGATGGAATTTCGAAATTCCTAACCTCCCAATAAATATCCAGACTTCCAGACGAAGTCCAAACTGTTCATCTATGTAATTTAAAAATCGAAAATAAATTGAAAAAATTTTCGACTCGGGCAGGACTTGAACCGGCATCGTCAGCGTTCCGCGCTATTGCTCTGCCGACTGAATAACATGTAACCAATGGTAAGTCTAAATGTTCTACCATTACACCGATGAGCCGGACAAAAGTTCTGGCATTGAGCCTGTTCACTCCAATAGAAGATAGATAAGTAAGAGATAGGCCGATTGTCAATATATGGGAACGGTAACATAGGGTCGAGGTCAACGCACGCTTGACCACTTGCATAGCGACTCGTATTGTTAAACTGATTACACGTATTTTGAAATTTGCAGCTATATACCTTAGCTGTGTCAGCGACTTCGTCCACGTTGAAACAAAATTTGTTTGTGCAAACCTCTTCTTCAACTTTATAAATTTAAGCTGTTATCCACGACTTAGTCCGCGTCCCGTCATTCTTGAAGCAAATTTTAATAGATAGATATTTACTGTCGCGGACATTTTATACATTATTTAAAGAACAATTAAACTGTTTTCGCAGCGCACGCAAAAGTTGAATTATTTTCCCTGTTTTTTTTTCACATTTTCTTCTGTTTATTCGCTCCGCTCGGTCACACCTGATATATTATAGCCTAAAGCCTTCCTCAATATGCAAAATCTTCAGTTTTATAAATTAGTATATATTATTTTTAAGTGTGCCTCGTGATTATTGTTAAGCCTTTCAAGTAAGTTTTGAGTACAAATCCAAAATAGGTTATTTGATTCAATAAACTCGAAATTTTTTTGCAGTCCTTCCCTATATAAAACAGCACTTAGTTGATGGAATCCTTAGCATACTAAAATTGCGACCAAAATAATACCAATTTTGTGTCTGAGTAAAGCGAGTCTTTTAAGAAACTTTCTTCTAAAATTATTATAATAATCTGTGTAATAGATTCAAATATTGGATTGAGGAAGTGCACAGTGTAATTACTTAATCACAATTACATTAAGCAATGTACCTATGATTATCCAGCCTCCATAAGTTCGATTACTTATGTTTATCCCGTTATGTATACGGTATAGGTACTTTTCACTAGTACTTTACAGCAAGATGTATTAAAATGTGCTATGCTTTTGATATGGTTACGTTAATGGACTAATACTTCTCCGTTATTTATTTCTAGTACCGTTGCAATAAGTTCTTATGATATACCAATTGGCTGTAAGAACAATAGTAATATAGCTACGACGTTAAGAAACACCTTTCACTAGGTTTATTTATATTGCATAAAGACATTCTTTGCACTTATAAGAATATTGAAAGACAATTTTGTTGAAATAAAAACAATAAAACACTTTAACGGTTTAAAACGTGATATATTTTTGTTAAGCTTGTTTGAAAATTATTTTTATTTTTAACTACGGCCTACTACTACCGTTAAAGTGTTTTATTTAAATGTGTACTACTCGCGTAAACTACAGACTGTATTTAAAATAATAAGAGTTAATATTTAAAAGAATAATAAATTGTAATAATAATTTACTTAATAAACTTACTTATTTACTTTTTACATTGAAAGAACCGTCGGGTCGTAATAGAAATTATTGAATCAGTTCTGGCGTTGCTCTTATTTACGCTAGTAGTTACACATTTAAATAAAACACTTATAAAGATTTAAAACGCGAAATATAACCTCCCGAGACCGTGGCCGCTGCATCCAAAACATTGGGCGGCAGTTAAAAAAATGTAAATAAGAATACTAATATATTTCGCGTATTAAAGCGTCAAAAGTGTTTTACTGAAATATTAAGGTTCCACTAGCAATGGACTTAACAGTGATTGAAATTTGGTTACAATATTAGATCTGTTGGTTGCGGGTTCGCGTCCGGACAATAAAACAAATCTTAAACTTATGTAGGTAAGAATTACGATTCCAGTTTTAATCAAAGAAAATTATTCGTTGTCGTCGTTTAAATATATTACGCAGAAACAACAGATACAATCAATTTCTGTTCTGTTTATTAGCTGTTAGTCTGTAACAAAGGAATGGGTGCAGGCTTGTTTAAAAGCCCGGGGCAAAAGCTAGTTTTAGATAAAAATCTCCGTCAAGGATTGTCTAGT